AGTTGAATGGGGATTAGTTGACATATTTTAGATCATATATATTCAATTGTGTGTCTTGTTATCTTCAAAGCATGGGAAATGTGTTTTAAACACAAATATACATATTAGAGATAAAATTACTACACTACCAAATTTTTAAAAGATTACTCAAAAATAGAATAGTGCGAAATAATTTTGTTATTTCACAGTTTATTCTCATATGAATCAAAGGATATGTCTATTACATGATTGTTCACAACTCTCGAACTTAATCCAGCAACAGCCTGATTTTTCAAATCTCCCTGGTTCTATGTTAGAGCTGCATTTAAGTCATTTTGAAGGTCTAAGCTGCTCGTGACACCACAAGCTATATATTCAGATATGTAAGATCTCTAAATAATTTTTATAGTTCTGAGAAACTCATCCTGAAATGTTGTCCAACAATGTGCACTATGTTGTTTATTGCCACATGGACAAGTAGCAATACACCCTTGACTAGAAACTTTGTATATGCAATTTTCCCTGCCTTTTGCCATTTTACATTTGCGAATTGCCAAGGACATATGTTTCTTGTGTTGCTACGAAGGTTTGTTTGTGAGTACTGGTACAAGACACCCATCTTTGATATATCTTCAAATAGGTATTGCACTTTGAGATTCATATAGTAATTTAGAATGCTACCTTGAAGGACATAAGAAACTTTAAGAGCTCTTTTTAACTCTCATCCTTCTTTGCAAGCAACATTCTGTATCATCAGACTGAATACAAATTCTCTCAACATTGAATTCTTTTATCTTGTAGACATGGGCCATAAGGAGAGTGTCAACTTCTTCATGATCAGTATTTGATAGATTGTTGCAACCATCAGTTTTGCAAAGTTCAATAGCAGCTCTGCCATAAGTGAAATTCATCCCATAGAGATACAGGGTGTCCGGAAAGTAAAGATACAAACACTCTAATTTTAATAGATTTAGGTTTAGATTATAGAGGAACTATATTACAATTCATCTACCATCTTTTATAACATAAACGTGTTAAATTTACGATTGTCATGGTTACGGTGGTCAGGGGTGGTTAGGGGTATGCGGAGCAGTTCCATGATATCGCTAAATTATCATAAATTGCTAGAATTTAACCATTTGAAACAGTGTTTATTATTGTATTTCCTATCAATGTTTTGTTTTGTTCAATATTGATTCTTGCTGCCATAGTATTCTCTTTAGACTAATGATATCACTGATGCATATCATAACTACAAAATAAAAATATATAAAGTCACTAAGCAGTATAATCAAAGAAACATTATTTAAGTGCTTAAAAAAGGTCCCTGGATTAATAGGAAAGTCAATAGTGCACCTCCTGAATGCACCAATTCACAAAGCAAAGAAAACAAACCTTACAATTGAATGTCTTGAAATTAAACCTTTTTGTACAATGGCCCATATTACACTGATAAGGTCCCGTTGGACTCCTACAATGAAAATCTTAAAGCAATATTTGTTAGAAGTTCAACAAGAAAATGAGACTGCTTGAAACCTATTTTATCAGTAATCTGAAAGATGGACATCAGCGGTTTTGTCAGGTCTTAAATCTCTGGTCAAGATGCACCATGAATGTTTAGATAATGTTGGGAAATACATAATACTGGATAAAAGTAGTAATGTCAAATGACCAAATAATGTTACAGTACTACTTCTTTTGCTGTTGTGGTACATAATTTGATGTATAATACAACAGATGATGGAGTGTCAAGATGATATGAGCAGGAGAAAAAAATTATAAAACATAATTGTGACGCTGCTCCACATACCAGGGACTACCGTTACCATAACAGCCATAACTTTTTCATTTTGAAACAAATTGTCATGACAGTTGCAGGATTAATTGTTCTAATGTCATTCTATAATCTGTAGCAATTTATCTTACAACAGGTAAATCTATTGAAATTAGAGCATTTGTATCGTTACTTTCCGGACACCCTGTACAGTAACCAATATCCATCATGAACTTCCTAATTACACCACACTTAGGTGTAATATGGAAATCACCAAGCCTTTGACAACATTGCAATTGATATGAGGGAATTCAATCAATATGGCTTGATCACTGGTTATCATTATCACACTACTATACCCCATTACTTTTATATATATTCCAAGTGTTCTACTATAATTGCATAGATTCATGAGCAGTTTGCAACATATTATAACCAGAAAAGCCCAAATGGACAAAGATAGAGAATACCCGCCCCATTTGCAACTCAACTTTAAATGTCTTATTTTTAGACTTGTATACTCATGAAGTTCCTGACATATCTGAAAAATAGTATTGAACTAGAATAGCGACAACTTTGTTAAAGTCTATACTTTGGAATTGTTTGGTTTTTATATTTCTGGTTATTTTTAGAATAAATGAGGTAGGGGAGATATGTAAGCTCTAATATAATGACAGGCTTTCCAATATACATTTTTAAATACCTTAAATCAAAGTAGGCAGGCAAAAGAACAGATTTGATCAAGAATTCATCAACCAATCAGCATAAAACTCAAGATATAAGGAACTATATGTTATTATTAAAAGTGGAAATGATGAAAAATGGATGAAAAATGACAAATTTTGTTCTTAAATGTCTAATTTCTCGACACTAGTATACAATGAAGGTCCTGAAAAAATAATTATAGCATTCAATAACACATAAAGAATGGCTACATCTTTGTTAAAGTTTATACTGGTAGTTTGAAGTTATTTTTTTATATTTTCCGGTCATCTTCCCTAATAGATGGGGTAGGGGAGAGCTGAAAGCTCTAATATGAACATTGTTTGTCCACTATACATTTTCAGTACCTTAAATGGAATAAGACATGTACAAGAACAGATTTAATCAAAAATGCGTCAACCAGTCAGCATAAAACTCAAGATATGAGGATCAATATGTTACTGCTGAAAGCAGCATTGATTAAAAATGCCAAGTTTTGTTCTTAAAGTCTCATTTCTAGCCACTTGAATACCAAAAACAGTTCTGAAAAATATTAAAAACATTAAATAACACATAATATTGATATAGAATAGCTACAACTTTATGAAAGTCTATAATTTCAAGTTATTTTATTTTTTCATATTTCTCATTTATTTTCCATAATTGATGGGGTAGGGGAGATCTGAAAGCTCTGATATGAACATTGTTTGTCTACTATACATTTTCTATACCTTAAATGGAAGAAGACATGCACAAGAAAAGATTTGATTGAAAATGCAACAATCAGAAAGCATAAAACACAAGATATGAGGAACTATATATTACTGCTGAAAGCGAAAATGATAAAAAGAAATGCCAAGTTTTGTCCTTAAATGTCTCATTTCTAGCCACTTGTATACTGATATAGGTTCTGAAATATCTTAAAAACATTAAATAACACATAATATTGACATAGAATAGCTACAACTTTGTTAAAGTTTATTATTTCAAGTTATTTTATTTTTTCATATTTTTCGGTAATTTTCCATAATAAATGGGGTAGGGGAGATCTGAGAGCTCTCATACGAGCATTGGTTGTCCACTATACATTTTCTATACCTTAAATGGAAGAACACATGTACAAGCACAGATTTAATTAAAAAAGCAACAACCAGTCAGCATTAATCTTGAGATATAAGGAACTATATGTAAATGCTGAAAGCGAAAATGATTAAAAATGCCAAATTTTGTCCTTAAATGTCACATTTCTAGACATAAGTATACTAATGAAGGTCTTGAAACATCTGAGAAACCTTACATAACACAAAATATTGATATAGAATAGCTACAACTTTGTTTGAGTTGAACATTTTGACTTCTTGTAGTTTCCATTTTTAGCCAATTTTTTCTAAAAAATTCAAGGTATGTCTTCTTCGGACCAGTATTTAGATATGTTCGCAAGAGTTCTATGCTTCGCAGGCGAAATCCTTTATGCAGGACACCCTAATAGAATAGAAAATACACAGAAATTCCATCCAGCTCAAAAAGTCATTTTTTCCTTAACGGAGCCTCTTAGAAAATTTTCCACCCCGAGTATCAAGTAGTATCGTCTCCTTTTGGCAAAATCTACACATGACGTGATGGGATGCCAATAGGGATCATCCTCCGAACGCAGGGTTCCAGACGTCATCCACAGTCCACTAAGTTCCTTTCTTCTTCCAAGAGGATGGAGGTACGAGTTCTGGAGGTCTGTCTTCGGAGAATGTTAGGGAATTATTAAATTCTTTCTCCAGTAGGGGTCTTATGAGTTACGACCATTTATCTTTTTCATATAACATTTGCCCAAACTCCTCTAAATGTTTTTATGCGTTTTTTAATGAAAAATGGAAATCATTGTCTGCATTTGAACCAAATGCGTCAACAGGTATCATATTATTATTGTTTACGCAAAGATCTTGGCCATTTTGAAATGACTGGTCATCATCTTCATAAACAGACGTTTTATGATCCCAGGTCATCAGAATATACAATTTGAACCCGAGATCTGTATACCCGCTCTGTATACTGTAGTTTTGCTTCAAGACTATAATGCACGTGTTGGAGAAATAGATAGAGGGGGGTTCAATAGTGTTGAAGCGAGACTATGTACAATGCAGACCAATCTAAATTTGAAAATCCGAAGAAGATGTCACATCGCCTTTCATACCTCCAGTTCGACTGGATGTCACTCTATTTTGCTAATATAACGAATGTTGCGCCTATCTGGCATGACATTTAAACAGAAGGCACTAGATAGAAATATAATTAGTATAACCCAACAGCGATCTGGATTCACGATCTGCATTTCGCCCTGAGCCATTTGTGTTTAATTAGAGCCTGCAGGTTGCGCATACTGTACTCGGCTACATCTCATCTTTCGACATTCGCATGAACCATGCTCCCCTTGATGCGCAACAAGTAGACTCGTCCAATAAGCTATACAGCATTCAGGGCGTGTACTTGCGATCATCACTTTGGGAGAATAAACGGACGTTTAGTCGCTTTTAAAGGATAAGTCGATCGAAAAGAAAGCAGCATGTCTGGTGAATGGAGTAATGGTCTTTTCGGGTGCTTCAGCAACTGTGGAGTTTGCATCATCTCTTGGTTGGTACCTTGCTACACCGTCGGGAAAGTAGCAGAATCCGTCGGCGATAACTGTCTTCTCTGTGGACTCGCGTTCTTCGTCCCTTTTGCTAATTTGTTCTTTGGCGCTCAGATCCGTGGAAAAGTCAGGGAGCAAAAGGGGATCGATGGAGGTTTCATAACAGACTTATTAGCGTATTGGTGTTGTACGTGCTGTACAATCATACAGATGGCAAATGAGACTAACGCCATGGGACAAGCACAGAGCATGGACAGGGAGTAATATACATCTTATACTAAAAACTTGTCTCCTTTAATGGTGATACAAACAATTCATTAAACGCATTCGGAATTCCACAGGGCAACCTCTAACATATGTTACAGAGACCTTATTCTATATATGGAACAGTATGCATGGAGATAATTAAAACACTGCCTGTTGCTGAACTGTTTTAACTGTTACTAGCGATAATACTGCAGTATATGCGATGGATGCTTCCCGATACGGTAAATTAGGAATTGCAAATACTGTATGATGGAAATGCCCATTACTTGCGAGTGATTCGACACTGTAAATGATGGATTCCTCCATTCATACGGTATGTGTGAAGATTTGGCGCCCTGTTACATTTACATTTATGCAGAGTTCATGGCTCACAGCGAAATTCGAGATGGATGTTGCTGTTGCAGCTGTGTTTGGCCATAATGTATACATGTATGCTATAGCGTTCACCATCCAACGCTGCAAGGGTGAAATGGTGTAAGGGTTGGAAAATGACAGTAACGTGCCTAGTGATCTGTACAACATTTAAGCCCGATTACGATATTATGCCGATGCATTTGCATTTATGTAAAATGGCTTCGTAGTGCCAATGAAAAACATAGTTCGAGGTGGTTTAACAGTTGAAGGCATTCATGTGCAGAGATAGCGATGAACGCCCACTTAAATCCTCTCAATAACTATCGAAACCGAGACTACATCATCTAACTATGCAGGGCGCCCTGGGTGAAAGCCAGGATACATTTGCATTTGTAGACTGTATCACCCTTACATAAAATCATCCTTCAAATGAAATATATATTTTTATTTGACTGAGGCAGCTTTCATTTACCATCTGGTGCTATGTATCTTCCTAAGAGAGCATATCCAAATTTACTGTATTAACATGTACACATTTCTAATTTTTAATTTTACAACGATATATTCAACTAGGCTATATATATCCAACCAAAAGCATAATTTGACTGACTCAAATATATTTTTACATTCGTCAATCAAAATGAAATCGTCTTTACTATTTCTACTAAATCAGCTCATGACTCTTTTTTGGCATTTTCTATTTTTATCTGTTTACCTAAGAATTTTTAACTGCAGCTCATATTAGCGTTCATCATACTCATGTCACGTGATTTAATGCGTGGGATTGTGGGATAGCCAAACCTGGTGTGAACATTGAACAACCATGACTGGTATTTTTATGATATTAACTTTCAATGCCTTACTCAAATGTTTTATATTAAATTTAGGTAGTTTTAATAAGTGTTTTTATAACGTATTGGTCGTTTCGTACAGAAAATTAACGAAATTTAGTTAAGAAAACAGCTGTGTATAATTATTAGGTGCTATACTAATGGCGATGTAATTTTCCTATCTTGGGAGTTTTTTGATCGTTTAATGAAAGAATGTAGAATTTTCATAAATGAAACCGAATGTTGTAATAAATGTATTTTATCATTGTATACTATACTCGATGTTATGTTGACCAGGTTTATTTTGCAAGGGTGTTTGATTTACTGGCCTGTTGTTTATTTTATATGATTGCAAGTGGATTGAAAAACAGCGTCGTCTTTAAGATTTAGTGGTAGCCCCTCTTCACCATAAAACCCCGATGTCGTTAATCTCTTGCAATCAACGGATCAAAGAATCATATCTAGGTTATAACCAGCTGATATTATATTAAACCATTTCTGTAAGCCTGAAGAAAACGAAAGTGCCATGCAGGGTGGGCCATCATATGCTTGTACAATCAGAATGGGTAACATGTTTTGGCCCACCCTGTCTTAACAGTTGACTTAGCATCAACGGTATAATTAAGTTATCCAGATTCATCCGAGTCTCTGGTCAGTTTGTATAATCAATGTAGGAAATATAATCCATCCTCTTTAAGTCTGGCTCAGTCCAGAACATTTTTCAGCCTTACTCTTATCTGTAACTGCACCGCAGATGAAAAGATTACCATAGTAATCCAAGGGGGCACAGGAATGCAATATTAGCACAGTACAGACAAGATTGTTGACAGAATAGTTATATGTATTCAAAGATTGACAGATGATATAAAAACGAACGAAATTCAATAACAAGAATAAACCTGATGAACATGATAAACAAAGAAAATAGTAAGACGACAGATAAATGGACAGATTGATAGAGTTATGAATATCGCATATAACAGATATTCTATGCTAAGTAGGACAATATTCCCTTGTACGCTTTCAGGATGACTTTTTGATACCCTGAGAAGAAGACCGAAGACGAAGTCAACGAATGCAAAGAGTAACTTTTTGATATCAGGCCGCTTGATTTTGAATTCACGATGGCTGAATTGCCGTAAGCTTCTCAAATAAAATCCCGTGAAATGATTCCAAATTTTATATTAAACTACACCATAACCTATACAGATGTAAAGTAATTATTGCCCACGACAAGCTTCGGGGAATAGTGCCCTACTATGCATGCATAGAATACCTAGATATTTAAATCTACTACTATTTAAAACTACTGGAAAGGTCTTGGCAGCAGAAAGTATGAGGAATAATCTGAAGTATATTGGTTGTGTTTCAAACCCTCAATACAAAATCATTATAAGTGTCATGCAAAGTCTGACATGAACTCTAGAGAACAACATAAGCAAGCCATGAAAAGAAACCATTAACCCATGTCATGATGAAAAACCAACAAACGACATGTTATGGAGTTCTTTCTGCTTCTACCCTTTGCATTCGTTTGACTTCACTTCTTAAAAGAGAGCTTCGTCTTCGTAGTTTAACTAGACTCTGCGCGCAGGGTAAACATTGCATCATTACTTGAATTTTATGTTTATAAATTGAGTAGTTGTATTACTTACATGATACATGATTGTACGTATTTCGTTCACCAATTCAACTGTTCATGTTTCTTGTATTTCCGTGTATTCTATACTGACATGACTGAGGAACATATCAAAGTCATCAAAGGTTTTTAAGTATTTCATATGTTAGTATTTACCAATGAGATTTGCACTTAGCATTTATACCGTATTTATATCGTCAAATGAGTAGTTTAGAGTTCTATATACGAACAAAATAATAAAATCAACCATTTCCCATTGGATTACATGGGAATGACGATTTTCAAAAATTCATCAAATTTATCATCAATTTTCGACCTATTGTAATTGAGGGAAAAAATTGAGAAAATTTGGAGGTATTGGAAATAAAGTCAAGTTACGTTTCCATCAATATTATAAGTTATTTCAACGCCGGTTAAGTAAATAAAAATTCAAACGTAAAGAGGCTTTAACACGTAGTTCAATGGAGAAAAAAGGTTGCCAAACTTATGGAGGGGAGTGTATGTCCTATCTTTTTCGAATCGTAAATATTAATAGTAAAAGTAAATAGTAATAGTGAATGCATCTGTAACAGTTCTAGGGTCACGTGACAATTCCTCGAACTAGACTTCGTTGAAGGACGCAATAAATGTTCCTGGTTTAGGATCACGAGAACCTTTGCGAAAGTTTCAGATACCCGCCATTCAAAGTACGTGGCTATTTAGGGTTACGCGACAATTCTGCGAATATTTGGGGAAATACGCAAGCTTATTATTTGTAATACCATAATTCTTATTGATAGAACTCCATGGCATTTGTTTGACATTTACGAAATTCGGAATGGCGTTTAGTAATGAATCGGGTCGACACAATATTAAACGCCTTTGGATATATTATTTTGGACAAAGTTTTACTCACTTTATGAACTTTATTTGATGGATCATGTAATATATAATTATATATTATATTATATATACATATTCGATTTATCATTTTACGTGTTTCTTTTTGAAAATGTTATATACAGGTGATGTATATGTTCAATTGATGTTTTAAAGGCAGAATCAGATCAATGGGGGTGAAAGTGTACAAGCAATGTGTACAATTGACCTACCAATCTATTCCTTACAATCTCAAACACAATTTATCTCCCAAAAGATTCACGCTATGTTATAAATTGGTGAAGTTAAAATGGATTCAAAGTGAAAAAATGAGTGAAAAATGCTTAAATTCCCCCAAATATTCTTATAGAAAAATAATACGTTATTGTAAATATCTTTAGTTTTCCTGAAATAAAGTATGCACTAAAGTGATTTTAAGAAAATAGACATGAAAAGGAATGACATGAGCTGATTCTCTCTTTAAATAAAAATACATTCGTATATATAATTACAATAGTCCAACCGTATAGCTCCGCCGAGTAGAGCATGTACCTCTTACGCAAAAGGTCCCGATTCGACCCCCGGCTTAGGCAATACTTAATTTACATGTTTGCGTAAAGTACTTCAGGGTGTTTGACTGAGTGGTCCACAACTCGTAAAAAGGCCTTCTATGTACTTGTATGACTAAGTATGAGTGCACATAAAGGAACACAGGGTTTCTCCAAGGAGGGGTTCTTGGGTCTACCTTTCACGATGACATGCGTTAACGACTGTAAACAGGATATTAATACCCAAGAGGTATTGCTCACCTTCATTGGTGGTAAACAAGATAAAATACAATACAATTCAATAAATTACATACGAATATTGAAACAGGTCACTTGGACGCCATAATGCCTGAATGCCAAGATATTCCACCGACTTTTCCTTAACATAGAAAAACATTTCCCCATACTTCATTAGAGTACCAGAGACTTGTAGCAAAACATGAGAAATGATTTGACGGAGTACTATACTAGTGTTTAACATGTTCATCTCTAGGCCATATGAATTTATGTGATACAACTTTTGGGTTTACACAAATAGTACTACATGTACTTGAACCAGGACCGAATAAACGATAAATGGCCATGCATAAAAAGAGTAATTTGAATTTAGAGGTACAATGATGGAGTAATATTACATGAAGACATAGTCGGCGACCCATGCTCTCTAGTTTCTGAAAATTAAATATCCATACGACAAGATCTATTGATCAAAACTGGAAAATCCTGACGACTATTTTGGAGGATAATATATCCTTGTGATCCCATATTCGCTAATAAACTTAACATTCGGTTGACTACACTGTGGACGACTTCACCCATCCGGGTACTACGGAATCGGTGCCCCAGGGGGCTTCACATCCGGTTACACATTCGCCTGTTGGTCCCCACACAAGGACTTAACTTAGTGTTTTAAGCTTTTGATAAAAAAACGATAGCACCCACTTTTGGATTCATTATGATATCTAATAAAAGAATCCTCGTTTAAATACAATGTATCGATACTTAATTTTCAGCCCACCGTGTTTATTAACGGCCTTAGATAAAAGTTTAAAAATAACATTGTCATGCCATCAGTCAGAAAAATGCATTGCATTAGTTCACGCCCGGTGATCACACAAAAAAGATGGAAGGGGATCGGATGAAGGGGGGGGGGGGGAATTTATACATCTTTACGATGGAACAAATTCACAAGAACTCGTGTATTTGAAAAAGAAACTAAAAGATACTAAACTCAGTACCCCAGTAAGAAACTGGATATTATATATCTGGAGAATGAAAAATGGGAAAATTTTGAGTCATAAGAATAAATTCAAGTAGCATGTCTTATCATGTCTTATATACACGTAATCCCCCCCCCCCACTCCATCCGATCCCCCCTCCATCCCAAATTAATTTATTTCGATTATTTTTTGTATAACGCATGGAAACTTACTTTAAAAAGTGAGCAATGTCATTAGTATTGTGATAATAACGTTCCTTATACCTATTTATTACAGGTCGTGTAGACCATTGTTGCCCGATTTATAACAAAAACATTGACTTTTGCACGTTGGTGATGATGCGCCTTTTTTAATAGATCGCATATTATATCTTAGAAGGGTATTAGTTCAAAAAAATGATAGATGACCTAACATATTTTGCCATGCACTGTGCCTATTCATTTGGCAATTCAGTTGTAATTTTTCTCTTGAAAAAATAAATTTTCCAAATTTGTTGAGTTTTCTTGCAGAAATCGCCTAACCCCCCCTCCATCATTTTTGTACGATCACCGGGCGTGTCAGTTGCTATAAACACAATAAAGTACGTACATTACTGCAGAGACATATAATCACGTTATTCAATGTCTCTGTTTACTGTTGGTACGTGTATTTTATACTAAACAACTATTTTTTATAATTTACAGCTTATATAGTTTTTGAAAGGGGTTTCCTCCATGTATTGGCAGTAACCTTGGAGTTTAAGTGAAAGAAGTCTTAAGTGTGCCTTCAATGACGGTTGAGGATAGTTTTGTGAATAAAGTTCACAAAAGGCCTAACTAGCTCTGAACGAGGAAGTAACCAGTAGTATTAGTTAATCGTGTATCAAGTTTTCTAGAGAGTAGAGGAACGGGACTATTAGTCACACAGTGTTGTATCTGATGATCTTAAAATCTCAACTTTTGTTGATAAATTCAAATATTTGAAAATTAACACCAACGTCTCATTTTTCAAAACTCAGCATTCAAATAAAATACAGTTTATGATGGCAGGAATGATATGTGGATGATGAACAATCTTTCCAAAATTTGCCTGGAGCCTTTAACTTTAATCTGATTGTATAGCTTTGTTTTGTGTAATTTTAAACACTGGATAAACACTTTATTTTGTATATCAAGCCTCTTTAACATGCTAATTCTTTCAACACTTCCTCTTTAGTGTGAAACTCAGTTTCGTTTTACCAAGGTGGGGCATGGTCACTTTTAATGTCACAATGTAAGTCCTACTCCAACTTTACATTTAAGATTGTGTTTTCTTACTCTCCAGATGCTCGGCAGCACTTAGCATGAAAAAGTGCAAACAAAGGGTTCTTTGTTGACTCATCAGGCATTATTAAAATATTTTGAACACAGTTGCATTCCACTCCCCCTACACTGGCATGCCCCCCCCTCCCTTGGGTGGGCCCAGAAAATTTTCAAGGGCACTATAAATTTTGAAGCCCAAACATTTAGTTGGACCTCAAAAATTGGGCCTTTTTTGGAAAATCTTATAGGCTTTTTGGTCCTTTATAGGGCAACTTTTCAAAAATTGGGCCTCAGATGCAAATTTTGGGTTTTAGGGCCCTTGTTAACTCCTGGATCCGCCAGTGCCCTATTATATCTATTTTCTCAATGCCAGGGAATATGTGACCTTGTGTTAGGGAGATTCGACGCTAACACAAGCACCAGAGAAAATGTATTGAACTAATCCATCACTAGTCCACTATACGTCCCAAACAAATACATCATTTTAATTCTCATATTATTTCTCAGAATTACTAGGGCGTGTTTTAAATGCATTAATAGAATAGTTTCATACAGAGTGGACGACATTCCTTAGCAAAATATGCTCCTCTCCCGCTTAGCACTATTATAAAGTGACCTAATTATAAGTCTTACATCTTACTTTAAACGTAAACAGGGCCATATATAAGGGGTCATAAAATTTCTGGGGACTAGTATTTCTCTTCACATTCACTTAGTTTATCTTTAAAAGTATAATATATTATTAAGCATTTACATTGATGTACTGTAAATGCACATGTATGGTTTGCAACTTAAGTAGCTGTTTCAAGTAATGTAATTAAGCTACTTCTCTAACTAACCTCTGTGGTCAGGGTATACTTCTCTGGGAATGATTCTTACAAAGTAGTATACTGTATGTATTGTCTTTATTGATACATTTTAAATGTTAATTGACCACATCAAAACATCTGACCACCATTGGTGATGATAAAACTGGAGTAAGAATCCCCCAGCTGAGGTACATTGACCTTTAACAAGTTTGTTTTGCCGGCCGGTTTTGGGTTCGGTAAACAGACGAGTTTAATATTAGGGGTGCTACCCGTATGCATTTTGTTTAAAAAGTGTAGGTTATACATTAAAAATTATTCGTGTACACGAATGAGTGGAATCTCTTTTTATGTTAAAATGAAGATGAGTATTGTCTAAGTTGGTGGTTACACGGGTGATCCGCTCGATTACGCAAGTTACCGAAACGGCTCGTTTCGGTAACAAAATGTCGGAACGTCGAAGGTACGGTTTTTCTTTTTTCCTTATTTCACGCGTTGTAGGCAGAATCCTCAGGACGTTTTTTCTCACAAATGTAAATGAGTATAATATGTTTTAGAACATGTACATGTTTGCGAAAAATGGCTCAGAAGACAAGGAATCGTCGGTTTAATTCCTCACTTAGTTACTTAAATAGTTTGGGTTAAAAGTGCAGATCTTATGTTTTTCGAAATACCGTGTATGTAACTTAAGTGAGGAATTATTCGAAACTGAAGAGTTAAATCGACGATTCTGTTGTCTTCTGAACTATTTGTTCACAAATGTGTACATTTTCTTAAACATAGGATACTGATACACGTTTGTATTAAAAATGTCTTGGGAATTCTGCCACAAAGTGTGAAATAAGGAAAAAAGAAAAATCGTACCTTCGATGTTCCATTTTGTTGATGTTGATGTTTTGATGTTTCATTTTCCCCATGATTTTTTACTGGGACTAGGGACTTGATGGGTTTTATTTCGAGGGACAATATGATATGTATTTCCCGAGGGCCTGGGGGCAAGAGGGGAATATCATATATGTCACGAGGAATTAGAAAATCAAATTATTAAAATTAACCAATATTTAATTCCGACCAGTAACTATGCTGAGATGACTTGGTTCATAAAATCATATCTGATTTTTGTATGAAACAAAACCAGACTATATATTATATCTACAAAATATGACCTTTATGACATTTTGAAATATCATTGAAATATCATTGTTCAGCATCAAAAAAATTAACAATACGTATACGCATATTGCTCAGATTTTTATGACCTGATGACGTTTGTCCGTGCATGGGCGGGCTTCCAATCCCATGGTCCGTGTCAGAGCATGATGATAAAATTACAATTTGTTGATAGGCTTAAAATGGGACAGCATCCCAGGACGCGAATATGAATTTCACGTGCGGGATTGAGAGGTAAATACGATTTTCGTGAGAGGGATTGAGTGAAACAATACGATTATTTTCAATATCAAAAATTTTCCGATTTTTATAGACATAAAACGTTTTACAACAAATTACTAATTCCCGTAGGTAAGGAGAAATAAGGTAGGAACAATCGATATTAAGCTTGAATAACAACTTAGGCCCATCATCCTATGTAATTGTCCAGTCTGGATTGTCAATTATTGTTGCGGTCCACTTCAGCTTATGCTGTTATGGGTTATTGTCAAGATCTTAACTTTCCGTATTTGACACTTATTTACAAAACAATCAGTGATCCTCGTTTAATTTATCCCTAAAATCACGGCATGATGAAGAGTATGCTAGGTAGGCTACACTTGCCCGTATCCAGGCTCCCATGCAAGAGGGAGAGCTTTTGCCATGGAGGAGCTCTTTTACATACTTCAGTGAAACTGAAAAGTGCTAAGAATGGTGAAAATTGCATGATTTTGTTTGAAAGAATTTCTGGCCGGGGAGGGGGGGGGGCTTCCGGTGCCCAAGCTCCCCCTGGCTACAAGCCTGGTACAGCCGGATAGTTTTAATCGGTCTGCTAACATAACATTGTTACATCACCATCAGCAAGTGCATCGTTAACAAAGAACATTTAAGAAATGACCAGATAAGTCACATAGCCTTGACTTTCAAATATCATGTGAATTTTGCACGATCGAACAACATCTTATGAATACAAGCCCGTTTCTAAAAACTTAAGGCTATGACGTCATATTACGTGACCCATTGTCCACTAAGTATTATGCCAGAGAACAATTGCATTGGTAGAATATTTCCATGGTAGCATTCTATTCCCAGTAAAAGAAAAGAAAACATGTAGAGAACAACTGAGAATGACACTTCAATAAAATAAAATAAAAAAATGCGGAAAGTGGGGTTCCAGGTATCTCAAGAGTCTGCCTCGGAAGATGGAGAACCGCCAGGCCACGCAAGAAAACGGGTATATATTGAACGTTTTTGTAAAATGAAAATGTAGCACTTAACATTTGTTTTTCCATTTCTTTCGGCGAATCAGCAAGCAATAATCTAAAAACTGAGAAACCGAGTTGAAGAACTATTAATCCAATCGGAGGGGGTGTAAGTTGTCACTCGTTATTTTTGTACCTGACTTTTTTGTACCGAAATTCCCTACAAAATTTCCCTGCTAATCACTCTAATTTCCTGATGTTGAGAGAATGTGTTTCGAGCAACAATAAAAGGTCAATGACGCAGATTAGAACGTGGTGTAAATTTCAAATTGTGAATTAAAGTGTAAGCATTTAAGGATCTACGTTGGGATCTGTACCGCCGATTACGGTAAAACCTGTGTTAGTGAACACCAATACCCCTCAGCCCAGTGAACCCCTATCAATAGTGAGCGCTTTATTTGGCAAAACCTTTTTCTCCCATTGGTTCCCATGTTACGGTTCATTCCTATAGTGAACACCTACCAACTATGAAAAGTGAACACCAAATCTGGCAAAATTAATTTAATTATCCTGTGTACATTGAATATTGAATCAGATATCAATGATTTCTCACATATAGATTTTCCGTAATTGGTTTCAGCGGTTATGTGTGACTTATTATAATTCTAAATAAGCTTTTTTGTGGTTTGGTTAGGTTTAAGAATATTCACGTGTTTGCATGTAAGAATTTATGATCCACTCGAAAATATTTCGTACATCTCCATTTGCCATTTAGTATCATATGACTGTTTGATATAACCATAAAGTGACCATAGTTTTACTTCAAGACTGTGACCCCCCCCCCATCTCCTTCGACAACAATAAAGGGGGTGGGTCTAGGGTCTTGAAGCAAGACTAAAAATTCATAACAATGGGTCAATTTACAGCACTATATACTAGTATTCGGAAAAGGTATTACTGAGTCTCGTTAAGTGAGTTGAGTCGAGACCCTCCCCCAATCTAGACCGAAACGCCATTGTCGTCTGCGTTTGTATGATATGTTGTCATTTCAGGATTTCAACGCTGCATACTCAGATTCAAACTCTTCGATCGACGATGGATCAGAAATTAATACAACCGTACATCAGAGTTTACTGGGTGAGTCTTATATAAATAACCAGGCACCATGCAAATTCATACATTATTCGCAAAGAATATAGAGAGCAATCAAGCAGAAGAAGTCACGCAGTAGGAAAAAATAAATTTCCAATTATTTTTTGTTTCAGAAAACAAAGATCTCCTTGCCCTCGGTGCAGGTACAACAGAACATAAAGACCCCGATCCTGAATCCCCGCAATGGTACAAGGAGCTGAACGAGGAGCATGTACAAGCATTCAGAGAGGTAAATAAAAAGAAATAAAAGGCACTTGTCTTTCGTTTTCAATATGATAAGATTACACGGTACACACAGTTCACAGGACACAGTTCCTCTCTGACTGAGACGAATTAAATGATATCTCCTAATTACAGGTATTCGAACTTCTTGATGCTGATGGTGGTGGAAGTATTGACGCATCTGAACTGTACGTATGCTTGAAAGATTTGGAACTGGGCATAACTAAGGAGGAGATTGAAGTTGTACTTCTTGATCTGGATAAGGACGGCAATGGCGAAATTGATTTCGATGAGTTTCTGTACGCTATGACTGAAACAGAGCGCTTCTTGGATAACTTACCCGGTACATAGTGCTAATCTCACCATACCCTCATTATTATATAGAACACTCAAACATGTAATGCGCAAACCATCCTTTACGTTATTTGCATTAAGCTTTTTATCTGAAGGTAATTTCAAGAGCTGCTTTCAGTTAATCATGACACCCATGCTCTAAAAGTCAGTGTGAGAAACATAGATATGTGTTCCATTTCAGACGACGACACTGGGAAGACAGATGCCCGTGGATACAGCGACAGACAGACCCTTTTCTTCAGTGCAATTACGAAATTCGCTATTAAAAACTCAGTTGGCTCAGTTGGGCGTTACTATTCCAACAAAGCGAGGCAGATGCCTCATGTGCTACATCACTACACCGCTGGGGCACGACTTATAGGTCTCACCGACCGGCAACTCGCGCGCCATTTAAAACAAATGCAATCGGACAACAAAGGCAATAAATCACCATATGCCCAACCGTTACAATTTGTCATCTCATCCGGAACCCCTAAAAAGAGAAAGATAAGGAGACGCCCTGCAACAGCCGCAAAGGCCACAGCGACCACATCCACACGTAGACCTGCATCTGCTCATGCCATTAAGCGGGGACCTTCGTACGACAACAACACGCTGAGTGCAGAGGAGTATGAGTACATGATGCGACAAAAGGGATCGTTCAGAGGGAGGAGGACTGCAGTCACATCAGAATCACCGGAGTTGAAGAAAATTTTGGTGAGAAACGTAAAACAGTATTCCGTTCTCTCTTAATTTTACCTGTAAAACAAAGTCAATCCTGCACTTTTCAAATGAAAACCACACTATAGTTTGTTTTCCCTGCAGTTCGCAATTTCAAAAGAAACGTGAACTTTGACAAGAACATATTGTTGACCTCTCTTTTGAAAAGAAACTTTTGTTCTGTAGCAAGAAGCTTTTTGACAAGAAATATCGACGCAGTAATGAAACATCAGTGGAGACTTCCAAAAATAGCCCAGACTTATCTAAAGTTCTTAATTGATTCATTATAGAAAACATTTGAACACTGGGCAGAGAAGGGAAGCGTAATGGCTAAACTACCAGGTGCCCATTTGGTTCCAGAAGTGAAGAAAAGAATAGGTGAGGACTCTGCTACATTCAACACTGAATCTTACAATATTACACAAGCTAGTTTTGGCATTCTGATAGAATTTTTGAAGTCCAATCCAAAGAAGATTGAGATTCAATTGAGATTCAAGTACACTGTAAAAACAGTAAACAATTATCTCAGAACTTTAAATATAGTTAAGAAATCCCGGGAGAAATCTCCGACATCCTCTGGTGTAATATAGAGTATCCATTGAATATTAAATTTGTAATTGAATAGAGTACTGATATGTCCCTTTTACAGAAGACGGGGCACTAAATGAAGACAATCCTTTGTGCAGTAGCCTCAGAAAGCGCAAACAACACCAGAAAACACAGAAAGCTCTTTCAGAAGCTGGTAAGTAAGGCCACAAACAGGCTCGTTGATATTTGTGTATTTATATTATAAGATTACTGGTTGCTAATTTCAGGCGCAACGGTAAATTCAAGAGAACCATTGCTATATATAACATATGTTCTTCAAAATCCGATACGAAGCATTATATGGTTTATTTACCCAGAATCTGGCAAAGTAAACAAGAAGGGGAAGCCTAAGCCGAGAGGTTGGACCATACCACGAATAGAAATGGGTCAGGTTGAGCTGCCATTGCTTAAAGTCAACAAGAACTTCAAGGGCTTCACCATAGAAGATCTCCCAAATATAAGAACCAAGGTGAGGGTTTCTTTAAATAATTTCCAAAAACATCTAATAATCCAAATTAGTGTTATTGATTTTGGAGGAATCTCCCTTGGCATATCACTATGTGCTCCAAACACTTTCACCATAAAAGAGCTCAAGAAAGTGTAACCGAAATTGGGACAATTGGACACTAAGTCTGATACTCAATGTTAAATAAACTAATAAATTCCCAAAAATTAAGGCCAGTATACAAATATACATGTATAATAGAAATGAATGAGTGAATGTATCCAATTCACTGTTCCAAAGCTGGATGACTCTACCTGCAGTTAGGTTCATTCAAGATGGTTGCCGAAATTCTTTCGTTTTCGATAAACCTCCGATTTCAGCTAAACTAAGTTGAATCTGGATTCCAAATGTTTCGCCATGTAATTTAAAATGCGCAGCATCTCGTGCATCAAGACACAATGCATTGAGTCTTGGGTTTAGATTCTTCTTACAAATTGCAAACTATTCTCTACCATGTCACTTAAAAATCACTAAAAGAACATATTTTCAATGAAACTTTCTATGAGGGTTAAGTTGGCAAAGCATCAATTTCAATCTGTAGTGTCAAGTTGTCACCTTGACAACCACATAATGAGTGACCTTGGATGCGGCGATTGGTGATATAATGCAATGCACTGCAATTATATGAAATAATGTGTTCGAATCGGATACACCTTGCCTAGCTATGTGTGAATTGACGATTACAATGAATATTGTACTTTTTATTGAAAAATTCAAAATGACCATCACGTTATTTACCCAACATGCCCAAGACCTAAACAGATACTGGCACTAGTCTGCTCTTGCATCTGTAGAAAGTGGTTTTCCTGATCTATTGATGACAAGACTGTTGTGACGCCAGCAAGCCCAGTAGCACGAGATGTCCACAATATAGCACTTGGAAAAGTGCTACGAAAAGATTGTGTTGCATTTGATGATTATTGTCGAAATTGGACGTTCATCTTAAACAGCAAAGTGTTGCTTTTCCAGGTATCTGATGTGATAGACGATTACTACACCGCGCTAAGACGATTAAAGGTGAAGACGGCATTCGAACATTGGGAGAATTTACACACTGACAAAATCCCAACTGTGAACCTACAAGAGAGTTTCAGGAGGGTTTATAGGGCTTACTCTCCACACGCGGAGAACGAGGTGTTTGTCGTATGTCCTTGGATACCGGGCCCAGGATATACTGGTGTAAGATCACCCGAGCACACATACCGCCCTACTAGTGCATATAGTGGCTATAGTAGCTATGACGATTATGGAAACCATTTCTCAAAATGTAAAACATGACCTTATCATAAATATAGTTTGGATATTACTTTCTCGCATATTGCATTGTTTAACTGTTCGACATTCATTTGACATCAAACGTGTATTATGACATAAACTTTTTTTAACTACCAAGCGATCTCTAAGCACAAGTGGCTGTTAACAACTATAAGTGCCTTTAAATCATTGTGTGGGTAGACAGCATAAAATGGGAAAGTGAAGAGGCGTGTCAAATAAAATACAATTTGTAAAAATCAATTTCAATAACAATAGAAAATAAAAAGTCTAAATGTGATATTTTATTATTACAGGTGCGCCACTCTTGTGTCTAAATCTAAAATACACAACATAAATATATAGCACAGTATTACATCGTTTACTCGAGACACAAACTAACTCATCTAATTCATACTCAAGACATGAATCTATTCATCAAACTCAAACTCCAGACACGAACTTACTCATCTAGCTCAAACTCACTCTTACTCAAGACACATAATTACTCATCCAACTCATACTCAAGACACAAACTAACTCATCTAATCCATACTCAAGACACGAATCTATTCATCTAACTCAAACTCCAGACACGAACTTACTCATCTAGCTCAAACTCAAGACACGAACTTACTCATACAATCTAACTCATACTCGAGACAAGAACTTACTCATCCAACTCATACTCAAGACACGAACTTACTCATCCAACTCATACTCGAGACACAAACTAACTCATCTAATTCATACTCGAGACACGAACTTACTCATCTAACCCATACTCAAGACATGAACTTACTCATCTAACCCATACTCAAGACACGAATCTATTCATCTAACTCAAACTCCAGACACGAACTTACTCATATAACCCATAATCGAGACACGAACTTACTCATCCAACTCATACTCAAGACACAAACTTACTAAAGTACCTCGTACTCAAGACACAAACTTACTCATCCAGCCCATACTCAAGACACGAACTTACTCATCTAACTCATAATCAAGACACGAACTTACTCATCTAACTCATACTCAAGACACGAACTTACTCATCTAACTCTTGCTCAAGACACGAAATTAGTCATCTAACTCATACTCAAGACACGAACTTTCTCATCTAACTCATACTCAAGACACGAACTTACTCATCTAACTCATACTCAAGACACAAACTTACTCATCTAACTCATTATCAAGACACGAACTTACTCATCTAACCCATACTCGAGACACGAACTTACTCATCCAACTCATACTCAAGACACAAACTTACTCATCTAACTCATACTCAAGACACGAACTTACTCATCTAACTCATACTCAAGACACGAACTTACTCAACTAACTCATACTCAAGACACGAACTTAATCATCTAACTCATACTCAAGACACGAACTTACTCAACTAACTCATACTCAAGACACGAATTTACTCATCTAACTCATACTCAAGACAAGAACTTACTCATCTAACTCATACTCAAGACACGAACTTACTCATCGAACTCATACTCAAGACACGAAATTACTCATCTTACTCATACTCAAGACAAGAACTTACTCATCTAACTCATACTCAAGACACAAACTTACTCATCTAACTCATACTCAATACAATTGTGCAAAGACACATGAATGCTGATGGCAGACTTCACCATTGTGCAAAGACACATGAATGTGGATGCAGACTACACAATTGTACAAAGACACATGAATGTGAATGACAGACTTCACAATTATGCAGACACATGAATGTGGATGCAGACTACACAATTGTGCAAAGACACATGAATGTGAATGACAGACTACACAATTGTGCAGACACATGAATGACTGACTACACAATTGTGCAAAGACACATGAATATGGATGACTGACTACACAATTGTGCAAAGACACATGAATGTGGATGCAGACTACACAATTGTGCAAAGACACATGAACGTGAATGACAGACTACACAATTGTGCAGACACATGAATGTGGATGACTGACTACACAATTGTGCAAAGACACATAAATGTGGATGACTGACTACACAATTGTGCAAAGACACATGAATGTGGATGACAGACTGCACAATTGTGCAAAGACACATGAATGTGAATGACAGACTACACAATTGTGCAAAGACACATGAATGTGGATGACAGACTACACAATTGTACAAAGACACATGAATATGGATGACTGACTACACAATTGTGCAAAGACACATGAATATGGATGACTGACTACACAATTGTGCAGACACATGAATGTGGATGACAGACTACACAATTGTGCAAAGACACATGAATGTGGATGACAGACTACACAATTGTGCAGACACATGAATGTGAATGACAGACTACACAATTGTGCAAAGACACATGAATGTGGATGACAGACTACACAATTGTGCAGACACATGAATGTGAATGACAGACTACACAATTGTGTAAAGACACATGCATGTGAATGACAGACTACACAATTGTGCAGACACATGAATGTAGATGACAGACTACACAATTGTGGAATGGATTTGTGGATGTCAGTATCTCATACTTAAGTGGGTTTGGGGTAGATATCACTCGGGAATATATATCATATCTGAGGAGCGGGCAGGATATATTGTATATGTCCCGCTCCAGGCCAAATGCGGGCAGATATAATATATCCATCCCGCTCCCGGGAATTTTTCAAAAGTTTAAAAAAGTTTAAAAAAGTATGAGATACACCAGTTATGCACGGTCGGTTTGGATGCATGGAATATCCCTTGGGATATATTGTATATCCCTCGGGATATTCCCTGTATCCAAAACCTCCCAGTGCATAACCCTTATATATATTACAAATCAATAAATAAATCTGATAGAAATATAGTTAGATTCTTTTTATTCCTGAGACATTCAATATTACATTAAATATATAAATAGGAAAATAACATATTTGAAGAGGTTAAGAAACATGATGTATGGCACTGGCACATTTTGCTCAGCATGCTAGATTCAACAAAAACAAACAGCAAAGACAATAGCTGTCAACAGTACAGTATAACAAACAGCAAAGACAATAGCTTTCAACAGTACAGTATAACAAACAGCAAAGACAATAGCTTTCAACAGTACAGTATAACAAACAGCAAAGACAATAGCTTTCAACAGTACAGTATAACAAACAGCAAAGACAATAGCTTTCAACAGTACAGTATAACAAACAGCAAAGACAATAGCTTTCAACAGTACAGTATAACAAACAGCAAAGACAATAGCTTTCAACACTACAGTATAACAAACAGCAAAGACAATAGCTTTCAACAATACAGTATAACAAACAGCAAAGACAATAGCTTTCAACACTACAGTATAACAAACAGCAAAGACAATAGCTTTCAACAATACAGTATAACAAACAGCAAAGACAATAGCTTTCAACACTACAGTATAACAAACAGCAAAGACAATAGCTTTCAACAATACAGTATAACAAACAGCAAAGACAATAGCTTTCAACACTACAGTATGATTAGGTCACACTAGTAAACAGCAATGCCTAAAATCAAAATGACCACATAAAAATTTACCCAGCATGCCCAAAAACTATGAAACCCATCCATTCGCTGCCCACCTGCTTAGCTAACAATACAATGGATACCTTTTTGGAGTGGGATAAAATAGAGTGAAGTACATTTAAATGGAAGTAGTACATTGGAATCATTTCTACTTAATTGTGACATATCAACATGTTAATAAGAAATACACGTTATACCACTCTAAGTCCAATTATAGTTGTATAACATGGGTCTATAACAATGATATACAGTGGAGAGTGGTATATAGTTATCGTATACAACTCCTTCGTATACACTCCAGCTTACTTCGGTCCAAAGCCTTCTCTATATTCCGGCTTTGAGGAGGAAGATTGAGCTGCCTTAGTATTATAAATATTGTAAATCATTGTGTCACACGCACAGTAAATATGGCATAATAATATGAAATATACCTTTATGTATAGATTTGAAGAACACCAGCTCACATCCCCGTCTGAATCTATTGTTATATTTGATTTCTTTAAGCGAGAATAATTTCAAAAAGTTATTCACGTCCAGAACCGGAAGCCATTTTTAGCTACAGCGAGAAAATTTCACCATGTGTTGAAACTCCGAAATGAAATTTTGAAATATCTAAATCCAGACAAGCAACGCTTCATCCTAAATATAATTAATATTCTTAAAAATATTTATAAAATTTATTAAAAATGAGTTCTAGGTGCGTGTAGGTGCGTGTAGCACAGTACATACGAAATCAATGAAGTTTCGTCTAGCTGTAAGCTAGAGACTCGAGTAAACTCCAGCGTATACCACTGTAGAAGTGCATTCTGGGAACTAATGAATAAAAAAATCATGAAAATTTTCATGATTTCCTAGAATCAAGTGACGTCATAAATGGTGCCGGCATGATTTACTAGAATCAAGCCATGTCATAAATGGTTCGAGGTCAACATCAGCATTATTGAGTTGGCTATGGGATATTTTTATGGTTTTTATTGTCGATTGTGTTCGAATCAACTGTACTTGAACTTAGAGTGGCATAATAAGATTATATAATGGTTCATTCTGTATATCGTGCATTTTATACTCTCTTGAGAATATAATATATTCACTCATTTACTACGCTCACTTGTGAATATATCATATACTCACTCGAGTATAAACACGATATACAGAAAGAACCATTATATAACCTCATAATACACGTAATAACATATATGCATTAATATACTACTTTCGTTGAGACACTACAGTATATGACATATATTAAAAATATAGCATTAAAAACTTCTACAATATATAAACTTATATTCTGCATTTTCTATGACAGATCAGTAAAATGTATAAAATAATGTAATCAATTGTGCGTACGTTTCTGTTACAGTACACTTTAAAATTTATTCAAACATCTCAAGTGTGTTTCAGCCAATCAGCTTAAAGCATTCCAGCGTGTTAATTTATTGATATATGCATGATAAAGATTTTGCTGTGCATTTAATTTTTGACGGACTGAGCAGTTCTATTCTTTAAAAGGAGTGACAGCATATCATCCCTGAGTTCATTTTAGTCAATGCAATGATTTTTCAATGATTTGATTTTTTCAGTTTTTCTGCAAATACGCGTATTTTGACAAACAAACCCTTCTCAATGGTGATCAAATGAATATATCAAATGTAACCCAACACCCCTATTTAGTATTTGTAGATAATAAATGTGTCCAAAAACATATAAAATTTAATTTCTTCAAAGACAACAATAGATGTAAAATGGTAAACTATTCTACTTCATCATTGACCAGAGTCATGTTTGGATAGCAATAAAGAATCATGTATCATTCTATATTGGAAAAGCACCAGTATATGTAACCCATTCTGATAATGCACTCATGCTTTCCAATATAAAATGATAAATTATTCTTTATTCCTTAAATAAAGCATTGCATTGCAGAGTATTACTAAGCAATACTATTGTATGCATTGTCATGAATTGTCATAACATCTATTGCATTCCATCTTCATTTTCCTAAAACCCTATTGTTCAAAATATTCTGCATAATGAGGTCCATTCCCATAACAGGAATGTTGCAAGTGATTTGCTGTATATCTTGAGTTTACACAGCCACAGCTTTTGTTGAAAGGTCAAAATACAGTTTGATGTATCATAATTTAATGGTTTCATCTTCAATGACGCCATAACTCTGCTTGAATTAACAGTCCTTAACTAGAGTCCTTGCTTGAAATGCTAGTCCATTAATAATGCACTTATCTACTGCTTACTTCCTGGTAAACTATTATGACACGGCCCCTCTATCATAGGATTACTTTGAGTTGACCCCCCAATCATATGGCTGGTATGTGACCTTGAATTTTGAACCAAGGAGGAGTTCCACAAGAAGTGAACGTTTCTCACCATCTCCCATTGCATTCTTAATCCACTGGACAACCTGAAAATGGGTGAGAATCTTATTATACAATGTAGCTACCATGGTGGAGTATTTAGTGAGTACTGGGTTCACACTACTATACCTAACACCTAGAAATGCATAAGATACTTTGTTTGTCTAATTGAATTGTTTAATATATTTTTGAAAGTGCCTTACTAGCATCTAATTTTCAACCGATAAACCATTCATAAGGAACAGACAAATAAAAACAAATACATAATCATTACTAATAAGCCAAATGGGTTGCTCATGAACACCAAATGCAAGGTATAGTAGTGTGGGGTTAGGTGATCTAGATAAAAATAAAGTTATCATTATAATTTAGGTATTGACCAGTCTAAAAACAACCACTGAAATCACACAATGGAACCAATGAAGTAGTTCATCCTAACAGTTGGGTCCTATTGAAATTCAATGTCTAAGTGAAACCTGTTTGACAGATAATTTAACAATAAGCCTAATAACCTATCATAATAATCATATACATAAATTGTGCTAATCAAATTGACCATCTGGAATTTTCTAAAAACCCTGTACAAAAGTAATTAACAACATTCTGAACACCCTGTACCATACAGTACAATAATAATTACTATTTCTGATCACACATTTGAAAATTGCATGTTACGTGTGAACACTGAGGTCATTCACATTCATTAGTGTGATTGGAAACATCAATGATGCAGGTGTACATCGATTGCAATCATAAACAACTCAGGGTGCTATCAATCACATTTTGGAGAGCACATGATTAAATATACAAACGCATTGAGTGTCATTGATGTAATTACATAGCATATTAGCTGGAATCCACTGAGTTCTATTTCAGTGATTGTTTATAACGAGTGTAATCAACAATTACTATGATTAGGCCTAAACAAAAATAAACCATTAATAACAAAATTGTAAATCATGAATATACCTCCTCATTTGTATCTCCAAAGTCAGGTTTGTACCACTTGAAAATCTGGGATAAGCTGACCTCCTTCTTTGCCATGTTTATAGATATTCCATCATCTCCCTCTAAAAATGACTCTGCCGCCACCTTTAGTTGAGCCATGACATCCTGAAAGAAATACAGGAATTAGTAATCAATTGAAACCTCCAAACTATCCAAAATTACACTGAATTTGTCATGCATCGATTCTTTCTAAATGCAAGTCTTTCTATTCAACTCTTCTCTCTAAATGCTAGTATTCTTTCTATGAACTTACATCACTAGAGTATGTCTTAATGGGAGGACAGCTCTTGGCACCACAGACCAGGGCAAAATGAATCAAAGGTTCAGGTTCACTTAGGGCAACAGTCAGCCTTGCATCTGTCTTCCCAAATGGTTTACTGAACATTCCTAAAATGCCGTCAAGGTTATAAAATTAGCTCTTTATGTTTTAAATTGAGTGTTCAGATAAAATATCAATGAAAACTAGAAAATTGTAACTCCACAGAGAAGCAAATTTGTCCCTAGGTATGAACATATAAAATTTGAACCAAATCTCTCCACTGCTATGTGAGTTCTCAACATGGGCTTTCAACTATCTAATTGAAAGCCCATGGTTCTCAACAATTCTTTATAATGAAAAATGGTGGCTATTTTGAAATTCAGCTGCCATCTAGAAAAATTCTCCTTGAGCAGAGCTCCTTTATCTCTAAGCATCAGCATATCAAGTTTGAACCAAATACGTCCACTTGTAACTGGTATTTGAGTTATCAAAGATTATGTTTTTAACGAAAAATGATGGCCATTTTGAAATTTTGTGGCCATTTCGAAAATGTCTTCTTGAGCAGATCTCCTTTGTCTTTAGGCATCAGATATAAAATTTGAACCAAATCCCCCAACTGGGATTTGAGTTATCAAAGATTACATTTTTTACAAAAATGGTGGCCATTTATTCTCATAAGGTTTCTTCCAGAAAATTTTTAACTCAATCCATAAATTGGTATTTGAGTTATCACCCCAGACACACAGACAATCAAATGACCAGATGGACTGATGGACGGACGAATATGCAGATTCTTTACTTCTCAAACTTGGTTCTGAGTGATAATAAGGCTAATATTATAATATGAAATAAACAAGATGTGTTAATTTACAGAACAGCCCTAAGGTCGGGCCTGAGGCATGCCTCGTATTGAGGCGATCCAACAATTTCAAGTGGCCTTGTTCTCTTCAAAATAAGAGTATCTACAAATACATACCTACACCTTTCCTATTGGCCCTTAACACACCATTCTCGATATCTTGAAGTGAGTAGGAGTGACCTGCAATTATGTAGCGCACTGTGTTGAAAAACTGAAAGAGTGAAAACGTCAATGTATAAAGACATGTGAACATGAAGGTGGGTGCAATGAGTAGAAGAAAGGTTGAGAATTTAGTAGTCTTACTTTTCCATTCAGGCTTTGTGGTGACCCCCCCCCCCCAATCCTTCATATCTTCCTTGAACACAAGACCCACAAGTGATGGGACAGCAAGAATGTCCATACAATTACAATAATGACAACTCCACTATCCTGCTGACTATATCCCATGGGTGGTAAATACATATATGTGTACCTCAACTGATATTTTAGCTTGTATAGATGAAAGGGAAGACTTCTACGTATTTTTAACTGGAATTATGGCGTTAAAATATGGCTGTATGATTGCTAAATGAGGACAACTGAAATTTCACATGTTATTCTAAGGCAGATCCTTATACATGTTTGATTAATATATTAAGTAAATATGTTATTTTCAAGTACCTTGTACCTCTGCCAAAGGTTGACTGGTGGGCCTTTCACTACATTTGCATGGATAACCAATGCATTATAGATATTAATGAAGAATGCCAACTTTGTCTCTCTGGTGGCGCGCTCTACCTGTACCCGTACAAGCTCTTTTGTTAATTTCATGTAAGTTGCAAAATCAGCATTGTTTGCTATACCCTTGTAGTCAACTTTCTGAAGGTAAAAATACTATGTCACAGGCTGGTATCGAAAGATTTGTCCGCTGTGACGGAGCATGCTATTTTTCATAAAAAACACTAAGAATGCTTCACAATTTATTTTTTAACTCATATGTTTCGTTATATCAAAGATAATTACTTACTCCATGCAATGGATATATCACTTGCGTGTAACCTTCACTCCTGTTTGAAGTCCAATAACGCTAGGAGTAAAATCTATTGAAAACGGCGACAGAGTATCAAACTCTAAAACGTACCATTTCTTTTTTAACTTTTTAATGGCATGATATAGTGACACGATAATATTAACATATGTTTTCAGCATAACTCTGAATGTATTAATGAGATATTAATGCATTAGGTCTCTATTAATATTTATTGTCCGCTGTGACGGAGCATTTTTACAGTTCACATTTGCAACTGCTCCGTCAAAGCGGACAAAATAATTAAACATTATTTTTTATAAAAGAATTAAAAAGACCAAATACATCAACATCTCATTCATACCTTCATAGTTATGCTGAAACCATGTGTAAATATTATCGTGTCACTATATCGTGCCATTAGAAAGTTAAACAAGAAATGGTACATTTTGAAGTATGATACTCCGGCGCCATTTTCAATAGCTTTTCTTCCCAGCGTAATTGGACTTCAAACAGAAGTGAAAGTTAGCCGCAAATGATATATCCATTGCATGGAGTAAGTAATTTTGTATGGTATAACGAAACATATGAGTTAAAAAATAAATCGTGAAGTATTCTTAGTGTTTTTATGAAAAATAGCATGCTCCGTCACAGCGGACAAATGTTTCGATACCAGCCTGTGTATGTAAGTAATATTTTCCTATAGTAAATGTTAAAACATATGTTTTGAACTTTCGTTTCTTGTTTGTTATTTGATGTAGTTTGATGCTGGATCCCAGTCCAAAAAATGCTGACTATAATTTTCCTGAGATACGTTTATCTTTCATGAAAAGATATTAGTATGTATTCACTGTAGTGACATCTTTCATTACACCTGGTAACTTCTGGCACATTGTCAAGTTAGTTCCTAACTGTAGTGACATCTTTCAATCAATACATATTTAAAAACATAAACATATTCTTTAGTCTACCATTGTAGTTCTGCACTCACATAACATCATTTTAAAACATTATCAAATACATCATATTGTACCTTGCCATCCGGTGACAAATGGGCATTGTAGATTTTAAGAATCAGCTTTCTCAGATCTTCACCTAGTTCAGAGGCTGAAATTATAAAAAAAGCAGTATAACACAATGCATTTATTACACAAAGTACTGTAATGTCAACAAATATGATGGACATGAACATTGATCTACATTTATGCAAGTTCATTGTGTTTGTCTACGATTGTCAGATTCAAGCAATTCACAATATCACATAGCTAATCTTACAAAAGTTGATCGACCAGTTAGGTATAAACCTCTTTGTTAGTAATTGCATCCATTACAAAATGAGATACAATACATAAGGTTCATTTAGTGAGCTTCACAGTGATGTGTTTCAATTGTTTGAGGCATGATGACAGCCATGTAAAAATCAAGTGAGTCAATAGAAAACATAAATCATAAATCCATGAAACTGTTTAGAAAGGTCATGCTTACTTCTAGTTACACTAGCACTAGCCTATTTGTCAATACATTGATTTGCAAGATGAGAATAGCAAGCAACCACCACTGTCAATAGCAACCACCACTGTCAATAGCAACCAGCACTGTTGATAGCAACCAGCACTTTTGACAGCAACCAGCACTGTTGATAGCAACCAGCACCATGATGTAATATGTCACTGGAACGTTAGAACAACTTTCAAAATGATGCTACTTTGTTTCAGACACTTTATTACATTATAACTACATACCTGGCCTTGGTTGGCAAGATGACGTTCCCCCAGCATTCAAAGCACTGGAGTCGTCATCTTCTATAAGTCTGTAATACGTGGAATCATCCAGGAAATGTGCCTTGGTATCTACCTGGTTACCAAAATGTTGATCAATCAACTGCTGACCAATATTCACTGCAGTGACTCTACCTGAGAAAGCAGAAAAATTACCTTTAAATTATGGGGTCATTAACAGAAACTTTGTAAAGTAAAGAATTCCTAAAACTTGCTGTTCTCTTACTATGGCATCATTATATCCACAGTTAAAACAATTTATTTTGGAATTTTAACTCAGTGATCAAAAGACTCAGTCGTCAGCCTGTCGAGACGACGACAGGTGTGCTTTTTTTCTGATGGGTGTTCAAGAATGTAGGTTGTCAATCTTGACGGGTGTGACTGAGTCCCGAATTAATGATTGTCATAGTCCTAGAATAATAAAAATCCTACACTTTAAATACCCGAGGCATAATAACACTGAGATGGGAACTTACCTATCAAAATATTGACAGGTGAAAATTCATTTTGACAGTGAAAAAATTGGTCACCCATCAATTTGATGGGTATTGATTTTTTTCTATTTTGATTACTATAACTTTTTTACAGAAACTTCTAAAAGTGCAAAAATCACTATCCATGTCTTTATGTGGGTGTGCAAAAATCACTATCTAAAGTCTTTATTTGGGTGTGCAATGATGGGTGAAACATATAATTATGTTCGGAAAATATTTGTAACAGCATTGGAATTAATGTTAAAATGTTTGATTTTAAGTATTTTGCACTTACTGAGATTCTTAGTCTTGACTACCCAATCAACAAACTCTTTGCCAATAAATGAGTTCCGATGAACCGTGAGACCCTTGCGATGGTCCTTGATTAACCCACTCTTCTTCAATTCTTCTACTAATTTAGCATATTCATCAGGCTCACATATAAATTCTATCTCACCTGAAATTTTTGAGAAAAATTAAGGTACATACTTCATGTATTATGTATATGTACACTGTAGGTTAAAAAATATACATACACAACACAGACTTGTAACAATAGAATGAAAATATTTACAAGGAATTTTTCTTCAAGGATGGGCTTTAATACATTAACATTCATATATCTGTTTAACATACTCACCATCTGCATCTTTCACCTTGAGTGAAGGGTCTGGCATTTTGGGAGCATCAGCAGGGGGCTCATTATGTTTAACATCTTCAAGCAGTTTCTCCCAAGCAGGGCCATTCTCTGTTATCTAAAAGTACATTAGGCAGATGACATGTCTGGCTTTCTAAGACAATGGCATAATATGAGTCCAAATTTCAAACAATCTAATTGGTCAAAAAGTTATACACATGTTGGCATTTTGATTTAAAAAATGACTTGGATTTGATGTATACATGTATCTGGATCGATTGTTATCCAGCTATGTCGCGGCCCTGATGAAAAAGATGGGTCTTCCATTGAACCAATATTCTCGGTGTATATTTGCCACTGCATGCGTATTCTCCAACTTATGACCCACCACCATTTTATACTGTATTCTTTTAGATGTACATGATGTCATTTCTCACACATGCACAGGTACATGTAGGCCATGAAAACAACAGTGGCTCTCGCGGCAATATGAGGCCGAGACAAGATTCCTCAAGTTTCCAATCCATTTCTTCTAGTCTATGCGTGCATGTACCCCCTCCGGCCTCCCTTAGTTACTAGACAAGCATGGGCTTTCAATAGACAAGTTCTAGAAGAAGTGATATTTCACTGACAGTAAATATACTCACAAGAGTCTGGAGCTCTGCATTGCCACCTATATGTGTACTATTGAAGAATATCTGAGGCACTGTTTGTTTACCAGTCTTCTCTTTTACAAAGCCCCTGCACTGGGGATAGTCAGAGAGGCTGATGTCAGTGTACGGGAGGCTTTTCTCGGTCAGTGTGTTCTTGGCCTGCATGCAATGCGGACATCCAACGATGGAGTACACTACAATTCTTCCTCGTAAATCCATCGTTCGTGTTATTGTAAACAATGGTCTAAGAGTGTTGAAACCAAGTAAATACCGCATAAATGCATAACAAAAATAAATTCCTTCAAAAATTAAATTCCATACTAACCGGATGTACATCATGCCATCTATCATAGAAGACAAGTGCCACGCCCACTTGATGGTCCAGTATAGTATACTATAAGTAGTCTAGTCTATGTTGTTTTGTTCCTCGTGTTATTGATAGATCAGATATTGTTATGGCTGTTGTTATTATCCATCAATCAATGGAATAACAAATAAGTTCCATGTTTAGGAATATAATGTTGAAATGTAAATGTCTGCATGTACGAGGGGTGATCAATAAGTAATGGACACTTTTTTACACAGATGCTTTTTATAGACCAATCCCTTCGATTTTCTTACCAGTGATACATCATTCAATTGTCTATCAACTCTGAAGATTTGAAGACAAAATATATAATACATGTTGATATATCCTCATTTCCGTGAAGGAGGTACAGGTACCCCGGGACCGACATTTACGTCATATATTCTGAAGCTATTTTAGCTTGTTTAACACGCAATGCAGTTGAATGCAGGCTGAACGAAACAAACCATTATGGTCATGAATTACCCCATTTTGTGATGCCATAGTTGATTTTGAATATTTTATCATCACTATGTGGTATTCATGCCACATTCATTCCACAGGGCCCTCTAAATAGGTTCCATCAAGTGCTACATGTACACAATTCCTCATCATCTTAACTCAAGATTGGGAGACGAGGCTGAATCCATTCTCTGACATGGTAGCAAGATGCAGTTGCACGGGTTGTTTTATTTAATCAATGTTAATAAACCTGCGTCCTTTCTCTATAGAAATAAGTAGTATAGAAATAAACAAGTCACATGTGAGCATATGTGGATAATATAGTGCATTGGCCAAGGGTTCAATTTTGAGGTCCAGGGATTTTGCTTTCTGAACATTTTGAGATCTGTGGGCAGGTGAATTGTCCATATGGAGTAGGGTCTTCCCTTCTCTCACCACCCCTTTCTTCCACAATGCTCTCTCAAATTGACCTGCAAACCCCTTCCGTACAACACTCTGACATTACAATACTTTCTGATTATGTGTTACCAGTCAGCAAAAAATTTCAAACAATACAACACTTGTTGCATATAAAAGGTTCAAATCTAACTCAAATTTACCAAACTGGCTAAAAACTGAATATGTGACGTAAATGTCGGTCCCAGGGTACCTGTACCTCCTTCACAGAAATAAGGATATATCAACATGTATTATATATTTTGTCTTCAAATCTTCAGAATTGATAGATAATTGAATGATGTATCACTGGTAGGAAAATCAAAGGGAATGGTCAATAAAAAGTATCTGTGTAAAAAATCGTCCATTACTTATTGATCACCCCTCGTAAATGTAAATGCATTCCACATTACTGAGGCAAATAATATGAACTAAAATGAGTGTGCATATATCTCATCTGAAAACCAAGTGCCACCAAAGTATGCACTTATCTAATTCACTTGACATAAAATGAACTTGACCTTTTTATCTTGTAGAGCAGTTGAGATAACAGCAAAGTATGAGATCATAAAAGCCATGGTATTTTTAAATTATTGATTTGTCTGGACAGAAGTCTGAAGTCCAATCTCAAACATCCTCCGATCACAGGGCTTCAAAATCCAGAATGTATTCTTTCTTTTTACCCCCTGCGATAAGCAGTTAGCCTTTCCCCGATTAAGAACTCGCAATCTGATTGTCATGTATAAGTCATTGCGCATAATAAGATCACGTGATTCAGTTTAATCGGGCGCTTCCAAATTGGTTATAGCAGGGGTAAGAAGGAGGTACAGATTCTGGATACCTGCTTAGGAGGATAAATCTCAAAACATCCAGATTTTCTTTCTTAAATAATCATCAAAATAGAAATGAAACAAAATGCAATTCATTCATTTGAGACTTTTGTATTCTTTTTTTCTTTTATTTTACATAAGCATATAGGCACATGTATCATGCATGATATATACAATTGTGGGTATTTCAAAATATCTATGGAGAAATAAAATACAGTATAAACAAAATTTGTATGAAAACTGCAAATGTTGAACTATTCCACTATAAAGTCACTACACATAATATTGTTTGTAAGACCTTATGAAATACATGTGGATTACAAGAATACACATCCATACAAGTGAAATATGTGTAGATTCAAGTAAAATACATCTGGATTACAAGAATACATGGACGTTAAAGAGAAATACATGTAGATTTCAAAAATACATGTCTTTTCAAGTGAAATACATGTAGATTCAAGTGAAATACAATGTAGATTTCAAAAATACATGTGGATTACATGTAGATAGCAAGTGTATGTGTATATTCAAGTGAAATACATGTAGATTATAAGAATACATGTCCATTCAAGTGAAATACACATAGATTTAAGAATAGACATCCATTTAAGTGAATTATATGTAAATAGCAAGAGTACATGTACACTCAAGTAAAATACATGTAAATTCAAGTGAAATGTATGAGTGAATACATGTTAATTGCAAAATACATGTATTATATAACAAAGTGATTCACATAGTACTGTATACATGAACATTCAAATGAAATGCATGTTCATAGTATACATGAACATTCAAGTGAAATGCATGTTCATAGTATGCATGAACATTCAAGTGAAATGCATGTTCATAATATACATGAACATTCAAGTGAAATGCATGTAGATTATAATTAGTTCCATTTTTTACAATATCATTCTTTACAAGCCTACCAATAAGTCAATTAAATATTTCACATGAAACTGCAATAGCAACACCCTGCTAAGTTTAATGTTGAATCTACTCTTGTTCACAATGAAGATCTGGCCAAATAGTAACAAATAGCAAGTATTATAAATAGTCATTATACAAAATGATGACATAGGCTGATGTGATCTTTAATGCAAATATTTTGTAATGTTTTGATATAGCCCAAGATTCATCTCACAGTGGAAAGGATGCTTTCCAAATGTGTATCACATTTTCATATAAATAGTATCTTTATGTGCCCATCTTATAACTGTGGGTGATGTGCTGTGAAACCATGAAATATATAATAATCGTGTAAGGATGTATGCATGGATGTATGGCTATACATGTATATGTATATGAGTAATAAAAGAATAAGGGGTAAGGTAAGAAGCATTTCAACATAAAATAACAGAAAAATAGTTTTATCATCATTAAGACCTCTTTCTTTCTTGTATCAAATCATGGTAAATATCACAAATGAAATATTTCAGACAATACACATCTCAGTTAAGAACTTTGAATATAAATACATGTACAATGAACAAATTACACACAGTAAAACCTGTATATACCTCTCTGATGAGTCAGGTTTTACTGTATGGTTATATTTTTGGTAAGTTGACAATTCACAGTCTCTAAAATACTGGTAGATGTTTTGGCAAACACACAAATGAGGTTCTTTTCTACAAAAGAGGTTCTTTTTGATATTTTAATCTTTTGTGCAACATTTTACGATTTTGTTAGGATATTTTTGAATCTTTTGTGCAACATTTTACGATTTTGCAATTTTTAGTGCAGCATTTAGGATTTTCCTATTTTTTGTTGTAACATTTGAGGAATTAATATATATTAGTGATCTGGTGTTTTGAAACACATGGAGGCAAATGTTGATGTGGGTAGAGCACTACAATATGTCTTTAATACATGAGGACATTTTTCAAACTGATGGAAGAAGTATTACCAAAATGAACCTCAGGTCAATATTCATCTCATTAAGTTGGATGAAGCAACCACCCCGATATCCCTGTTCATTAATTAACTACCATATACCATGTTTATTGTTTACCCTCATATAAAATTGGGTGATGAACTACCATTATGAGGAAGCATGAGAAGGTGAATCACAATATCCAGTACAGTAAAACCTGTAAAGTGGAGCACCTCTGTTAGTGGAACATCTCAGAGTGGAACTCTTAAAGGTACACAGGTTTTACTGTATATATCTACTGTCTACTGACATGACAATCTGTCTGACTGAACTTATTTGGGGCGTTGACACATTCCACAGGAGTTTTCTCAATTAGGATCAAAATCTAAATTTTGAATACCTATTATCAAGACTTTTTCTCAAAATATCACAATTTTTCACTGAATACAAGTTCTCCAATTCTTTAATTAATCATAAATTATAAATCATTATTTGAATTTAATGACAGTCCTATCAGTTATTTATTTAAGACAAGGAAAGGTGAACATTTTGTAAACTTTTTGGAGATCCTTTTTTCAGCTGTATAAACAGAGATCTCTATGTACAGGCCTACAAACTTACCTCAATTTGGATTCAATTTCAAAAAAAGATCATTGCTTTTCCACAATATAATTCCATCTAATTTCTTCATTCATAATACTGTTTAACTTAACATCAGGATTTGGCAATGGAAAGAACTGGCACTACAACAAAAGTCATGTCCAGTAAAATTTCAGTTTAAGACATACACACTGTAGTGCTATATGATAATCAACTCTCGTCATACAAGTTAATGGTTCCCTATGAATATGCTGTTTCACAAGACAAGGTGCACTCGCTTGTGTGTTGTGTCCATACTCCACAACAGAGCTCCTAGTCTAGACAAGATATCCCCACATTTGTATTAATCCAGCCTCCATGTTGCCCTTAAATGATATCTATATCCAATGTGTATTCTGTATGTGTGTGGCTCATACATTTAAAGCATCCATGGCTGGTAGATGTATCTAAATCTGGATATGCCTACTTTCCTAAAGGCGTATACATATATTAAATGATTGGCCCTAGCTGGTGTTAAGTCTGCTATATATAGCCAATCAGGGGAATTGGGACAGTGTAACTTAGCAGCACTTTGATTTTGTTGCTTCCTGTTTATGAACGTCTACACCGCCACTGTGGCCCCCAGAGTCCTTACCAGGTGTCTGGAATACAGTAACAACAATGTTAACATTTTATTATTAGTTAATGAGATCCTGTTCTAGCATTGACGTTAAAATGACAAAGCAAACACCAACTAGAATATGGAAATACCATGGAGTAGCAAGTCCCAATAGACTAGTACGGGACAGTTCAGAATGACAACAATATTCTTTCCTCCTAGTTCAAGAGCTCTCATTTCCTGTACAGATTTTTACATCTGAGTTCTTTCCCATTGAAATGTACAGGGTCCTATTTTGAACGCAACTTTACAGCTTTAAATGAGATTCTTCTTCACCTACATTCGCACAATCGATAAAAATATATGTCCTTATGACAAACATCAAAGCATTTTCACAAATATTTTTTGAATCTGTCAATAACCTTGAATTATATTACCTTGACTTCACTAACTCCATTCTCGGAAGCCGTGACCCGGTGAGAAACAAAACCAAGTTCTTGTGTATATAATGTGGGTTGATTTTATGTTTATATTTGTTTGACTTGTATAGATTGTGAGGGTTATATCTGAGTAAAAACTTTGTTGTCCCAGCAATATGCAAGAACATGATTTTAAGGTTGGGAGAATTCGGTATTAATCAACGGACCAATGAAAATGAGTCCACTCAACGTGATGCATTGCGGGAGATACTGATGTTGATGACCATATTTTTGTCTATCACGTATTAGTCTATTAATGACGGTTTCATTTTATTTAGCTCTAAATGGTTGAGAACATGTTATTAAATAACTATTAAGATACATCAAAGCAAACAAAGACTGTTGAGGATCAAAAAAAGAATGCAAATGAAAGTGGTTTGAAAGTGCAAGATGAAACCTCTGATACAAGTGATTTGAACTTTACAAAGCATAAATGAAATGATTCAATATTTGTGATCTAGTACTTTGAAATCAAAATTCATAGAAATTCCTGCATTTATGCAGCCATTTAGGATTTTATGAACCAGCAATAAAAAGAGTATAGTATATGCAATCTTCTCTGAATTACATTTAATATGAGTATAATAATGACAAACTGAGAAAATTGGACTACTTGTATTTGAGTTATGCTCTGGGTGATTAGATTGACAGACAGACAACCAGATGAAGGACTTCACAAAATTCATAAACGTCATTTGTGAGGAAATATTTGAATTGATTTTGTTTGGTCATACATAAAATCAAAACCCTGAGCTCTGGTTGAAATAGAATCTACTATTGACTCTAAGCAAATGCTCAAATATGAAATAATTGAACTTTTTGGCAAGAACTCTGGCATTCTACAAAACAGACATAGTTTCACCTTATTTAGAATTGCTTGAGCTAAGTCCATAAATCCCTTTTCTACATTTATGTTAGACTTTGCACTAGTTTCTAGAAATGGTATAGCATGTTCCCTGGCGATGGTGTCTCCTCGTTCTTTGCTCACTTGTCGTTTGTCCTCCATGTCACACTTGTTACCCAAAATCATCTTCTCAACATCTTCGTTGGCATGCTGCAAGCAAATCACGGAACAATTCTGAATTTCAAGTTATTTAAAATTGAATTTTCTAAATAAAGATGATGGATTGTGTAGGAGTTGTTTATTTGACTTTTTATAGATTGTAGTAGGTGATAAGTAGATGGACTCTTTGATAAAGAATCTCATGGATTTAAAAATAATTTGGTGTCATCAGAATTTATTTGGCTTTCATTTTCAATTCAACATTGCACATGTTGCCACTTACTTCATCTATATTTCGTAGCCATTTGGATATATTGTCGAAAGTTTTAGCATTAGTGATGTCATAGACAAGCATGATGCCCATGGCCCCCCTGTAGTAAGAGGTGGTGATTGTGTGGAAGCGCTCCTGGCCAGCGGTGTCCCTGCAAACACAAACAAGACAAAACCATATACATGTACAGTAAACTATTGGGACTGACCATGTGTTCAGCTTTGCAGGTGTTCACATCCTGACATTTCAAGGTTTTCTTTAAATGTGAGTCTATGTGAGATGACAAAATTGGGACCAAGGAAAAGTATTCACATTGAGAGGTGTTTGGAGAAGTGGAGACAGAAATTAACCCAAAAGTTAATATGGTTTCGCTTTCCATTCCAAATATATCCCTTTTCGATCCGTAGAAAATAATAGATTTGGGACCTTTTTGGATTTAGTGATATGCCTCAAACTCCAAGCAGAGTAAGTTGAAGAATGGATGAATGAATCGTGACTTTTTCAAAGACCCTTACATAAACTATAAACTTTTATTTGAATTATCCTGTGACATAACAAACATCTTATTAAATTTGTGTTGACACTTGTTATCTTTTATTTATTAGTATGAGCCAAAACAATAGTGTCTGCCAAAATATACTGAGCCAAAAAATGAAATGCCTATAGGTTACAGCAACTCCTTCTTTGGCACACATCTTTTTGCAAAAGCTTCATTATTACTATGATCTATGTATATGAATTAATATTAAATTGACCAATCTTGCTTATACCAGTCACAGGAAATGGTTTATATAACATGATATTCAAATATAGTTACAATCAGGCGCATGTATACCTACATATTTGGCTATTAGGTCATTTATCTGGCCAAGAATGATAACACTACAATTTACATGTACTTGTATTTAATAATAGCATACATGTCCTTATGAAGCGCCTGGAAACAGTTATGAAATGAGATAACAAGTAATAACATTTGAGATGCCAAATCATCAGATTATCTGTATACTGTAGTGTAATATTTCTACTTCCTGGATTAAAGCACCAGGGTGCTTGCTATTCATAGTGATTTGTTTACTTGTTAAAACTAAGAGTCTAATATATATACCATACAAGAATTTGATGGCCAGTTATATTTTGGAAACAAATATTATATTAAATAATTTGGCATCTTACCATATACATGTACTTAAAATATAGTATCCCTATTGCATATGATATCCCAACTGACCCCCGTTTGGAGGAAAATCTTCATTAAAATATATCATAAAATATATGCTTACCATATCTGTAGTTTTATTTTCTTTCCTCCAAGTTCTACTGTTTTGATTTTGAAATCTATACCTGAAAATTAAATTAAATAGTTCCTTATATGAGATAGTGAAAACACAGAATGAAATCTTGTGCTAATAAGGGCTGATGTGAAAAAGTCAGTCCACCCCAGTGGGGATCGAACCCATGACCCCTCGCTTTCCGAGCAAGTGCTCTACCACTGAGCTACAGGACTGAATGGCTTTTCCAATGTCCGCATGTATGGCTTGAATCCACAATTATCTGGGTTTGTCGGCAGAACGGGAACACTTTTCTTTTTCATCGAGAGAGATTGCATCACTTTTTAAGATGGCGGTTGGATTTAAAAGGGGATTCCCCATTTGACTGGTAATTTGACGGTTGAAATAAGTTAAATATTAGTCGCAAACATTGCGATCAAAAACGAAAATTTCTTTGTTCTGCCGAACACAAAAAGAATGCTAAAATACCAAGGAATCTATTAGGTATCCAAGGTATCTTAAGTGTAAGAGGTGTAGAAAATTCTCCCATGTTGTAATCGTACAGGCAAAAGATTGAGACGTTCTCAGGACTATAGACCTACTTTTTTGAACACTCCTGAAGTTTTGGTGAGTCTAAACATTTCATTATTTTATATCATTCAATTTGTACCCGCCTTACACAAATATTTTTACTTTTAGTTTAAGATGAACATCTCTTCAACGTATTCACCAATTTTCAAGGTGAACATTCTTGTAATAAATGAAAAATTTATGTGCACAAAATATCGCTGAGATTTCCATCCGAAGAATATCAATCATAACAGACCAACTATTATATTCGATCTGCTAGATACATACTAAATTCAACATGCTTAACAGAGTGTACTCCTGTGTCTAGGCTCAATAAATATACTCAAGGACAAGACACGAAATCTTCGGAAAATTTATATTTTCTTGATTTTGGAGTCAGTTTATCAATAAATATCACATGTCATTCCTCAAACGATGCATACTGCTGTTAGCTTCAACTCCAATCACTAAAGCCACACATTCAAGAAAGCGTCTGTTGATAAAAGCATAGAATAAGCGAGCGTATACTATTTAACCTTTAGCAGACCACCGGCGACTGCGTCCGCCCATTCAAAATTACCGCCAGAATCCACCGGCGGATCCGGACGACACAAATCTAACTTTTGAAAACTTTACTTTTTCCCGCCGTTCTTATGATCCAATTAGATTGCCCGATTTATTCAGTCCTTAGGAGGTGACTTCAGGCCTGTCAACTGTCCCGCAATTTGCGTATTTGTCACGCATTTGCTGAAGAATTTGAAGTCACGCCATTTTTTTTTGCGTGACACAAAATGTCACGCAAATACGCATTTTACCTGGTAATTGTCACGCAAATATGTTTCTGTAAAAATTTTTTCAAAATATGTTTATGATACGGTAAAAATACGAACGTCGGAAAAAAAACGAACGCAATTTGTTCGGATTTGTCACGCGAATCCCGTATATGTCACGCATGTTCATTGGAAATTTTCGTACCGCCCCCCCCCCCCCCCCCCCCCCCCCCGTTGACGACATCGCGAGCGTAGCTAGCGCGAAAAATTTGAGGTGATAAAAGTTTAGCAAAGGTGCTCAAACTTTGGCCAAAGGTGTTTAAAAGTTGGCCAAAGGTGTTCAAAATTTGGACAAAAGTGTTCAGATTTGGACTTCGGTGTCCAACATTTGTAAGTCACTCATATTAGGTGGTCCCAAGTTGACAGCCCTGTGACTTCCTGTTGACCTAGAAATGGCGATGTTTCGAAAAATATTTCTCAATTCAACAATTTAAACAGTGTTTAAGTCGTTTTTAGTGAACAAATCGTACAAAATGACGGCCAAATACGATCACAACGAAAATGTGGAGGAAATGGATTGCGATTTCGAGCTCTTTAGGCTCTTGGAAGCCGATAATGGTCATCGAAAATAGAAACTAGAATATTTTCTGAACTGAAAAGAAGAACATTCGATCGCTGCAAATTCAGTTTTGGATTCTGACCAGACGTTGAATCTCCCGAGGGGCGAAATGGCGGATTCCGGAGGAGTATTCATGGTATATTTATGCCCAGTCGTGTTTATGTACGAAAAAAATTCATGAGAACATTTTTCTCATGAGCCACGCTAGTGAATCTTCCCTTTGTGAAAATTTTATCCAGATTCATTCAGTAGTTATTGAGATATTAATTATTTAGTCCAGGCATATCATTTTTGAAAAATAAGTCAGATGCGTAGGATATATTTGCTGAAATAAGTCAGAGTGCAGAAGGTTGGTTAATGCAGTGCTTCGGCTATTTCAGTTGTTCAAATGTTTATTCTCGAAGTCAAATGTCTTTTCTGAGAATATGACGCCACTCCGGATTACGTCACATCAGAGATTATCGAGACACCCCATGACTGAGAAACCCCATGACGTATTCTTATGTCACATTCTCGTATTTCATTCAGAGTCTTTTCCGAGCATAGTGAGAATACAAGGGAAAAAAGCACAAGAGACTAACTGCTGAGGAAAAAGCGGCTTATACAAAACAACAACAACAGGTAATCTGGTAGAGGTCCGTGTTCTCAAGCTGCATCGGGGCAGGCCTGTCAACTGTCCCGCAATTTGCGTATTTGTCACGCATTTGCTGAAGAATTTGAAGTCACGCCAGTTATTTTTGCGTGACAGAAAATGTCACGCAAATACGCATTTTACCTGGTAATTGTCAAGCAAAAATATTTCTGTAGAAAAATTTCTAAAAAAGATCGTCTTCACAGCAAAAATACGAAAGCGGGAAAAAAATGTACGCATTTCGTTTGGACTTTTCACGCGAATTCCGTATATGTCACGCATTCCATTCGAAATTTTGCGTACCTACCCCCCCCCGTTTATGGATATTCGAAACGCGAGCGTAGCGAGCGCGAAAAATTTGAGGTGTTCAAAGTTTGGCAAGATGTAATAAAATTTAAACCAAGGTGTTCAAAATTTGGATCAAGGTGTTCAGATTTGGACCAAGGTGTCCACATTTTGAGGGGAGGTGTTCAACATTTCCAAGTCACTCATGTTAGGTGTTCCCAAGTTGACAGGCCTGTCGGGGCTGCGACATTCTGCATTGCATCCTAAACAAACATGAAAATATTTTTGAACCGAAAAATTAATGGAAAGAAAATGATATATCTTACCTATGGTTGATATAAACGTTGTGTTGAAGGCGTCATCTGAGAACCTAAACAACAAGCAAGTTTTTCCAACGCCTGAATCCCCAATCAACAGCAATTTAAATAACAAATCGTACGTTTTCTTTGCCATTTTCAGATTTTTGAAATTTTTTAATCCAATATGGCCGCTACCTCATTCTCAATAATTCGGATTCAGTCCGACTGACGCCTATTCAAATTCATGTAATCATCTTATAGCTCAGAGTGTCTAATTAACATTGATGTCAAAATTAGATGTTCAATCTAGTAATTTGCATGAAGGAGACATCAACATGAATATATTTGACAAAGGAAATACAAAGGAGGAAAAGCATTTTAGGGTAGATGGTAAAATGACTCACTTCCCTATACGGGCACTTGATGGGTGGATTGACCCATTGACATATCACTTTCACTTTCGGTTTCAAACAACATTTAAAGGGGCATATTTCCATTCCAGTTTATTAATCTGAGTGTTCTTGTTGCCGTAGTTAGGTTTAACTTCTGTGCTATGCTTTCATTGGTTGCAAATTCTCACTATCAGTTATAAATACTACGCGCATGGCTGATTCCGCCTGAAAACATTTTGAAAAAATGCTACACCTGCACATGTTATTTTCTGGTACACAAGCATCTTAATTACCAGTCAGCACAATCTACTTTATATGGTAGACAACTATTATACAATAGGCCTGTAGGCAGTTAATGATGCTAAACAGACATTTTGTAATAATCAATTTTTCAGTTTATACAGAATGAGAGTTGTTTTTGTTTTTTTAAACAATAGGTTTATTTCATTGATATATTTTTCATGGCATAATACACAATCATGCGGCAAATCGCCTATTGGCATTTTATGTCCGCTTTCAATTGTTACATATAAATAAACGAAAAATTCAAGAAAAATAAAACACACCCACTGTTTAGATCTGGCATGTTATAAATGAAGTGTACTGACGGGGACCTGCTGCAACATAGATGGGGCGACAAATTACACCGAGGGGTTGAGTAAGTGGGGTCTAACGTAGTCAGACTATGTACAACCATGTACAACCATTAACAGTTTTCTAAAAGAAATGTTGCTGTCAACTGAAATAGATTGTCTAATTTATCATGGGTGAGTTGGGGATCACCAAAGAGATATAAATCAATTTTATCCTGTTGGGTTTTATAAAGTGATATATCATCCACAATTAACTTAATGGCTTCATTGAATTGATGAAGTTTATTCATTCTCATGGGGCAGCTAAAAAATAAATGTCTAAAGGTCTCAGGGGACCCACACTCACAGTTTGGGGAGTCAACATTATTCCAATTGTGAGATATCAATTGGGTCTTCAAAATAAGGTCGACTCTGGCTCTGTTGAGATACATCTGAGAGTTGTCTCTACACATATGAATGTAAACACAACTATTCCACATGCAGGCCTTCAATATGCCTGAGCTTTGTGGATCTCGTGTCAGTAAGATAAGTCCACCTAGCTAGAGTTGAAGTAGCACCATCAAGTATACATGAAGATTACACCTTCAATTTTACCTGAGTTTGGTTTTGCAATGCTGCCTTCCACTTTTCAACCAGTAGTAGTATTTTTACATAGACAAGACCTTTAATGAAGACAAGACCTTTATTGATCAATCCTTAATTAAGTATTAATCTTGTACTTAACGTCAATAAAATGACTATAGTTAATTGAAGAAACAAAAGCTTCCATATTTGTAGGTACTAAAATATATTTTATTTGCACAAAAGATGTGTACAATAAAATTGTCACAAGCTGTAAAAAGCCTATGTCTATCATACACAATGCATACATAACTATACAATGTGTACATTACTATACAATGCATACATTACTATACAATGGATACATTACTATACAATGCATACATTACTATACAATGCATACATTACTATACAATGTGTACATTACTATACAATGCATACATAACTATACAATGTGTACATTACTATACAATGCATACATTACTATACAATGCATACATTACTATACAATGCATACATTACTATACAATGTGTACATTACTATACAATGCATACATAACTATACAATGTGTACACTACTATACAATGCATACATTACTATACAATGTGTACATTACTATACAATGCATACATAACTATACAATGTGTACATTACTATACAATGCATACATTGCTATACAATGTGTACATTACTATACAATGCATACATTACTATACAATGTGTACATTACTATACAATGCATACATTACTATACAATGTGTACATTACTATACAATGTGTACATTACTATACAATGTGTACATTACTATACAATGCATACATTGCTATACAATGTGTACATTACTATACAATGTGTACATTACTATACAATGTGTACATATTGTACTTCATCAATGATCAATAGATTTACAGATGTAACATGTGACTGGATCTCCTAGATCCAATTTAATCAAGTTGGTGATTCCAATGAGTGTACATTCCAATACTTCGTACTTAGGGAACATCAAAAGCATCAGCAGTAACTTGAAATCCTTAGCTTTATTCAGTCCAGATCATTTTGATTTAATTTGATTCAACCATGGTTTATGATGTTTTAATTTAAATACATGTCTTGCACAAGTTTTCACCTCAGCAGATTCGAGAAAAAGTTTGAATTGGGAAGATGTGAGATCCTTACACTGCTAAGAGTTGTAAATTTTGTGACAAAATTTTTGAAATAGAATCAACAGCTCAAATACATTTAGTATCAGAATGTTTAAATTTGGTTTTTTTATCAACAATATTTACAGCACATTTGATCAAATACAATCAAATTCATTCATATACATTTATATGGGATTATCCATCAACAACATTCAGATTTCCATTTAATGAAGAAAATATCAAAAAGAAGTTAAATGCTAATATATCACAGTTTGCTTTCAAAAGCTATTTACATTTCACCAACTTAATATTGACAATGTCTAGTCATGTTATTCTCTTGATAAATATAAAATGGCCTAAGCAACTTTTGCAAAAACTATTTGAATGTACAATATATTATATTATAATGGATTTTTTTTTTTTGATAATATATAAATCTATATTATAATTTGAAAAATAATAAATTGTTTGGTGTCAGATTTTCTTTTAATGAGACCCCTTCACAATAAGGCCCATCATAGGCCCTTTATCACAATATAAATAATAGCCACTAGCGTTTACCTCATGATAAGGACCATGGGTTATAGTTGTGAGGGGAAACAAAATATTTGGCCCTTCATTAAGAATCTAAAACTCAATTATGAAAAAATTGTCAGTTATAAATACTACAAGTGATTTATCTCCCATTTTATTGAGATATTCTTTATTAAGAATACAAGACAGCTGAGTTATTTAGTTATCTAACTTCTGATGTTATCCAATTCAATATTTTATCTATTTACTAAAAGCATTTAAATAATATAATTGTTTGATTTTTTATATCTCTACCAGGTCCCAAACTCATTTTTCAGAATCAACATATTAGAGAAAAATGCAGATTGAATGAATAACCAACTTTACATTCAATGAATCGAAAATGAGAATAATTTAAAATAGATGCACAATTCAATTCAATGTGAGTTCTTGAAGAGTGACTTTAAGACCCGATTAGGAAAATAATCTACAACTTTCTGTACACTTTAATTTATAATAAACTTCCATGATGCTTCATCACATTAGTACAAATTTTTCAGTTTTTGACTCCCCAAATACACAATTATTGTTTTTTAAAAAAAAGCTGCAAATATTTTGTATGCAACTGTTCTCATGATAAAACATGTTCAAATATAAAATATTTGCAGATTTTTTGGGACTCCTTCCACTACAATCTTGGCATAAATATTTGGCCGGTTCAGCTGTTCTAAGCAAATTGGCATTTTGTTGTCCATTCCCATAACAATGCAATTGTTTATTTTAATGGCAACACGTGGTTGCTATAGCAACATTCCATAAGTAGCATCACCGGCATTGACTGACATTGTTGCAAATGTTCATTGTCAACTGGTGACGACTGATGAGATCAGTAAATATGATCATAAGTGGACGGAGTCTGGGATGTGACAGTATGTTGCCCTAGAGACGGAGTACCCCTTTCTGACACGGTGTTGCATCTCCCTTGGTTACCATTTTTACACACTGCCTCCTACTTCAAGTACCTGTAAGCAGACATAAGATATAATTACAACACTGAAATAAGAATGTCCATCTCATGCCTGGGATGTAAAGCATCTATGACACCAATCTCTCACCTTCACATATTAAATGTACCTTTGTTCATATAAGGTTGTATTAAACTACACAATACTAATATAAACACAAATCTTCAATATCCAAATGTATGCAATTGGGTCTAACTGATTCTTGATGAAGATGTTATTTGAAAAACATACACATACATTGTTGTACACCTATTTACACAGATGCACTATGAGATCAGAGAATATTACCAAAAACGGTTTTTGAATCATTCAAAAATGGTATAAAATTAATTAAAGCTAGTGGTTCCATTTTAATAATCACATTACGTGCACAATTCTACACACTTTCTAAACACAGAAGGATTCCTTTGTTAGTCAACAATTTGCTGAGAAACTAATCATCATAGGTACGAACTTGAATTTTTTGATTTGGGTTCGACAACATGCTATTCTTTATTAGTCTACTGTCATTTTACGATGTTCATGTAACACGGTACGAGTGCAAAGAATTGGTTAGCACAGCACACAGGAAAATAGTAAATACACTCTCTCCACACTAATCCTTAACATACCTCAACATTAGAACTGTCTATACAAAAAGGCAAAACAATACGTTAGCAAAATGATGTACTAGTTAGTAAGAGCTGCATTTTTATGAAGTCATTTGTTGAGAATGTGATAGCCATCTGTATCATGGTTTAACAATTCTGTGAAATCAACTGTGGTAAAAATTAGTACAATTGAATTCTGGGATGGGTATAATATATTTTTGAAAAATAAGATAAAAATGCGACCACAATGCAGCACTGCTTTAGTATGTTAATATGCTCGACAGTAACTTGAATATGCACGATGCTAATATCTGAATATTCCTTACTTTGCAGCCCAGTCTGTTCTACCATGCACAGGGACCTGTGCAGCACCTATAGTTGGTCTCATACCAGCTGAGTTCTTATTTAAGGCTAAAGGTGCTGGTTGTGCACGCTTCCAACTCCCTGCATTCCCGTAGTCTGAAAGAGAACACATGATGATGCAGATATTCCACTCAGTATAACACAGCAATAGGAGTCAGGCTGGGGAAATAGCTGTTGGGGGAAAAGGCTGTTGGGGGAAAAGGCTGTTGGGGGGTGTGGGGCACAGAGACTTTTAATGCAAAATTGATTGGCTTAGAATTATAGTGATATGATCATAATTTCAGGAATTTATATTTGTGTTATCTCTGTAGATGAACACCCATTGGGCAATGACATAGGAACATAGGAGGGAACAGTGGCCAAAGCCAGACATACACACAGAATTGGGCAATGAGGATGAAGTGATGGTAAAACATGCAATTGCAGAGCTATTTGGAAACCAACAAAGTCAGAGCCAAGCAAGCCAAATAATTAATAGAAATAGACAAGCACATAGCCCATTTCCAACATCAGTGTTTTTTCTTAATTAAAAAGCTTTCTCATTGTTTTTTCACGTTGGTTAAACTTTGTGTGCTCTGATTACCATGGCAACTTAAGTGAAGTGCATGTAACTTACTTGTGTTTTTGTTGCCTGAGCCCATAAATGATGGCACATAGCCCGTAGCATTGGTTGCATTGCTGTATGTGGATCCTATAACACACAAACAATATCATAAGGCTCATTCAATTAATTATCAAGATATAAGTTCACTGGGATATGTTTCATCTTCAAATTGGAAATATTCCTCATTGTCTTTCCTCCTAAAATTGACATTGACGGACATAATAAATTAAAGTAATTCAGTCATTATCACAACAAACAAGAACACCCAATGTTTCTTCTCATTATCAAACTACATCAATACAATGGTATATTGCAGAAATAGGGGCATGTACTAACCTAATGCAGGTTTATTTAAGCCGCCAAAGCCAGGCTTGCTGAGATTGGAGTAATGTGACCCGGCTGCACTTCCCTTTTGACCACTGCTAATCCCTGGGAGATACCTGGCCTTGTTCATGTAGTGCTGCTTGGCAGAAGAGGCTGTAGAACGCCCTGAGCCCACCCGACCAGCACCTATCTTGTTCAGTGAGGATTTATTCATACTCCTGGAACACATAAAGCAAATATACAGGGTCATCATTAAGTTCTGGGAATTGGTCTGCCATTTCAAGATTTCTCAACCATTTGAGTTGAAATTTTCAGCAGGTGTACATTGATTGTATAATTCTGAATTGACAGAAAATGTTTCATATACATATCTCTTCTGCAATTTATTTTATTGTAATTATAAAAAAAAGTAAAAGTGGTCCGCGGGTCAGCAAATTTTGACTGATATTAATCTGAAAATTTCCTGCCAAATATATTCATCTTGCCTAGATGGTTGCTTCAAACTACTTGTACTAGAGGCAGAACAGTACTCTTGAAATCATTTATTCAGAAGTATTTTTAATTGCTGAGAGGATCCTTTCATTTATAATTTCCATTAGTCTGGAAGCAAATGCGTTGTTAACCTAGTCCATAAAGACGTGTTCCAAACCTCCCTTTGGTATCCCTTGAAGATTTGCTCAAGTCGTTGAAATCAGTTTCTTATCGGAATCAAACTTATGACCTCTCATATGATGCTTTAGCACCCCAAATGTAGTGAAGCCCAATGGTGCTTCATCTGTTGAATATTGTATGGTGAATGTGGGGCAGTTACAACTTGTGTGAACCCTAATTCTTCAAGTGTAGTATGGGCAGTTTCAGGAATGGGAAGGAGCATAGCCATAATGGAGGATAACTCCCTGCTATTTTGAGTCATGATTGTGACTTTGGGAGTCTGACGAATGATAAGAAAATAGAGCAAAGTACACTCGTATATCACAATATAGAAGTTACTTTAGAAACAAAAATTAGGAGTACATGTACATGTATTTGAAAATATAAAAATCACAGAAATATCATAATAATATGTCCACCTAATAGGGATTAATTAATCATACTTTTGAATCAAGCAAAATTGGAATTCATTTTATTTTACTTGACACGCTAAGCCATTTGTCATGTTGCTATAGTAACAATAATTATCCATTGTGACATCAGATGACAATGAGACTGTTTTATCTGACCCAAAATCACAATCCCCATTTACCTTAAAAATTTCAAGTAAATTGGTTGAAAAATAATGAAATGACAGATAAATTCCCAGAACTTAGAGATCACCCTGTATATGTTTTTCAAATATACCAAAAAGTTTCAATATGGGTACCAATCCATTACTATTTTTTTCATAATGGAACTTTTAATAACTTCAATGATCACTTATATTTATTTTCAAAGTACAATGTTAAGAAGAACCACATAATGTAATATACTCACCCAAACAGGTCATCGTCTTTCTGATCTTTCTTCTTCATTGCATGTTGTTTCTTATTCATGGAGGACCCAAAATCAAAATCCTCCCAGTCGTCCCAGCTTTCATTTCCCCACCGCCTGCGTCCACTCTTCTTTGCAGACACCTTAGTTGGAAATAGATTGTCATTCTGAAATATAACACCATGCTTCAGGTCCAACTCTTTAGAAAACATGATTGCTGAGATTGCCCAATAGGCAAATCGAAATCGTTTTCCAAGTTCATTATTTTCAAGAGTGAAAAAAGATTACCATTGGAGGTCATGCAATTATTTCTTCCAAATATTATCAGGTCATTGTTTTTTAAGGATTCTCTTCATGTACATGGGAAACTTGGTCAAATATAAAATTGTGTACAATAACTGTAACCATGTATTTAAGAGTGGGGATCAACAACTTGTTATAATGTACGAGGGAGTAAATTCTGAAATGAAAACCTGCATACCTTTTTATTGTTCTGTGTTACTGTATTGTTTGTTGATATAGATGGCAGTATACTGTTTGTTTTCTTTTCCTCTAATGGACTTGGTTGTCTAATTGTTTGTTTTTGCTCTACGGGTGGTGGTCGTGGCTGCAATTGCTGCTTTTGGGCAGGGGGAGGTCTCGTCACCTGCTGTTGTTGCTGTTGCTGTTGTTGGGCTCCTAGATTCACCCCAACAGCGAAGTATGGATACCTAAGTGCCTGCAAATATAAAATGGGATTGGGTCACACACCTAGAGCTGACACTCAATCAGAAAAAAAAAAGATTTTCAACTATGAAATGTTTAATTAAGTCATCCAACTTTTCATGGTTTAATAACCAGAATCATGCTTGTTCAAAGCATCTCATGCTAATTTGGGTGAAGTATAAATATGATATCAACCTCACTTTGAATAGCTACTACTATTTAGGGTAACACTGTGCCACTTCCCCATTGCCATTGTCCACCACTATCCATATTTGGGGCAAATGGTGTCTAAATATACAGTAAACCTGTATATTTGAACACCTCTCTCTCAAATCCCTACATCTTTCAATGTGAACATTCCATCTTCCAATCACTCACAAATTAAAAATCTAGAAATGACAACACCTGTTAATCTGAACACTTATAGCTGTTCCATTGGAGTTCAGATTAGATAAGTTTTACTATTATACAATGCACCAACCTGTACAGTGGTTGGACGTTTCTTGGGATCCCAATTCATCATGTCTTTCATAATAGTTATACCATCATTGCTAGCATTAGGGATGATTGACTTGAGGTTAGTTGGCACACACTGAGGCCAACGGAAGTTCATAGCAGCAGCCAGTTGGTGACCTTCAGGCCACTCAGCCTAAGAAGCACAAAAATAGATATATGATATTGATATAACGTATCAATCAGTGTTTAAATTTAAGAAATTTTATTCTACAAGATATCAGGAAAAATATTCATTCAATGTATTAATCAGGCTTTGGCAAAATACCAAGGCTTAAAGGCTTAACCACTAGAAATTGCATTTTATTTAAAGCTTGAACAATGAATTGTTCTAAGAAAAATACATCTCATGTTTTTAACATTGACTCATTAACATTGATATAGAAATAAATGCTTATTATACTAAGTGAACTGCTTGGGTATCAAAGCATTAAAGACCCACCTTTGTTGGTGTGCCAAGCACTGAACACACTTTAAATATTTCATCTATTTCACTACTGCCAGGAAATAAAGGTCGTAGAGTGTAGAGTTCCGCCATAATGGCCCCTGCTGCCCATATGTCAATGGGAGAGTTATATGAGGTTGATCGTAGGAGTACTTCTGGTGCCCGATACCTGCAAGGCATACAACAAATATAGTTTTCTGAGTAAAACCTCTGTACAGGGAACACTCTCCATACTGGCCAATTTTTTTTGTAGAGGTGTGTTCCTTACAGTTAGTTCTTTTGAAAGTTGTTCCTTGTAGAGAGGTGTTCTTTACAGAGAAGTGTTCCCTAGATTAGGTTTTACTGTACTTGTTCTAGTTGTTAAAGGCCTGGTTAATGAAATACTGATGTGATTCAATCCGTACAAGCTGAGGCAACGTTATCCCATTCTTCAGTTTAAAAATGATTTTTCATTGTATTTGAACATTTGGAAAGTGTTAATCACACAAGAGATCAATATATGAGAATCACTAACCATCTGGTAGAGACATAATCTGTATAGGGTGGTTGTGATCGAATCTCTCGCGCCAGACCCATGTCAGCTATCTTCACGAGATCTGGTCCATTGCACAATATATTCTCAGGTTTCATATCCCGGTGGAAGAACCCTGCAAAAAAGTAATAATATAGAGAAATCAACACTCTATTGATGGCAACATATATCATCTTGTCAAATGTTGAAGTTACACAACATATTCAGTTGTTTCATTAAAAAATCTTTGTAATGAAGGATTTTTGAGGTATTTCAAAGGCATAATATCATTGATTGTGAAGCTTTTTGTCAAAATGATTTGTAATGAACCAATTTAATCCGGCTATGTAACAAGTACCAAAGTCAGAAAGTACCATGCTTAGCTATACAGATTTTGACTGAATAATATGATGTTATTTTAATTTTCTTTAACTCAGATGACATATTAGTATTATCGGTCATGGATCGTATTAGTTCCTTAAAACCTTCATATCATATTACAGTGCATAATCATGTAGATTAGAAGAATGTTAAAGGGGTTTTCTGAAGCATAAAGCTCCCTTAGAATTATTCAATTATATGGGAAGTTATATTTTAGTGTCACAGTAACATTTTGTATTGTACATTAATGACAAATGTTCCTGTATCACGTCAGCTTAGAGCTGATTAACTACTTTTACTAATGCTTTAAAGGAAATGGAATCATTGTAGAATGTAGAAGTGATTTCCTGAGGTATTTATTGATTATAACATCTACTATTACTGGGTGTTGTATTGGATTAAACAGCAGCTGTAGAAGAAGGCTTTCATTTGCATGAGAACATTTCAGTTCATCTACCCAAGAGGGAGAATATCCTTATCTTTACATGGAGATAAGTCCATATAAGAAATCTGGGGTATTTCCTCCCTTTCATAAACCCAATGCTACATCTCTATATTTCATTTAATGTTACATATTTTCACGTTATGGGGAGAAACAATTAAATTTATTTTTAACCTGGTAATGTTTGAAATATTATTTTGTATTTCCATAGATATCAATTGCATTTAAGCCCTTTCCGCTGATTTACCAGTTTTTATGACTTTTTGAATCTCCCACCATTGTCATTTGCAACTCAACCCTAAATTGCCCCGGGAGCGTTTTTAGTCCAGTGTAATTAAAACTCTGGGCATGCTCAGTAGTTCAGTCAAAATTTATTTTAATCATTTCTTAATTTTTCCAGCTTTAATCGATCAATAAACAAGTTTATGAACAATGAAACATTTCAACTTTAGTTAATTACGATGCCTAGATAGACAATCAATGCCTAGACACCCAGGACTGCGGATAGGATAGTAAATATCCCGGCTGAAAGTGACATTGAAACTGATGATGAATCGGATCTTTTGGAAGCTTTGTCATCATCAGAGTTAGAGGAATATTCTGACTCAAATTCTGATTCTGACTTTCTGAAAAAAAATCGCTGGCGTTTCTAGTTATTATTTTTATTTTAACCCTTGTCAGTCTAATAACAGGACAGGGGGTATATCTTTTTATACTCTAAACAGATAATTCAATTTCCTTTCCAAAAATGTATAGTTTTTTTACTATGTTCTGACCAATATCAGAGTTATGATTTTTTAAAGATGACAATTGTCATTTTTCGCACATTTTTCAGGATTAACTTCAGCAGAAAAGAGTTAATGTGTGAGCATTTTATAATTGAATAAGTTAATATATGATTATGTAATAACTTACCATGTTTATGCATAAATGCTAAGCCCTGCATTATCTGGTACATTATATTCCTAATCAGTGACTCTTGCATCAACTTATCCCTGGAAAATAACATCAACGTATTGACTATGATGTCAATCAAAATTTAAGAATGAAATTCAGGGGGTAGAGTCATTCAATGCCATTCTAAGTAAGTATTGTGGTTTAAACAATCATTCGTCTCATTGGCTAGTGTATTACACTCTGACTGCGACTGAGAGGTTCATCACTCATTCAAAGAGTGTGGGACTAAGTTGACCACTCCTACAAAGGGTATGTTTGAAAACAAATTCCAATACATAAAGATTAATTAATAATGACAAACAAAATGTTGACAAATTGTCATTACAATGAATCAGTGACAAACAAATGGAACTGGACAACAAAAGGAGATCATCATCATAAACAAATATGATGACTACATAAACAAATATGATGACTACATAAACAAATATGATGACTACATAAACAAATACAAAGACCACTCTAAACCTTTGCTCAAATTTCTCCCATCAATGATATACCCAACAAGATAACTTTCCTCTATGTCAATATTATATTTTCATCAGATCCCTGATAAGTTTTCTAATCAAATACCTATCTATCCGTGAATGTGTATTTGCTAGGAGCAACACAGCCAGGTATTGATTCATACCTGTATAGCAATTCCACAAGGACAGTTATCATGAATTATTGAATGAAATACAGTAGGGGCAACAACATGAGTACTGAAACACAAACATTTCTTATTAATTCTATTGCACTGGTTTATCCTTTTGGTAATAAGAACAAGTTTTCTAATGAAATACCAAATAAGATAAGTATGTGTATAATGAATAACCTGGGGGCTACAGCTTTCAAAGATTACTCAAAGGAATCCAGTGAAACAAAAACATTTTTTCTATAAATGATACTTTGATCACCATGTCTCCAAGGTAACAGAGGGGTAGACTTTTCAAGTGTTCCTAAGGCTAATCAGCTACAGGGCTGGTCAATCTAACGTAAATAAGTTATGGGCAGAATCAATACAAAACAAGTTGTATCCAAGGTAAAAATGGAGCCTGAAATGCTAAGTATTGTGTTCGCGAGACGGTCTTCTATGGTCAGTACACTACAGACCACATATAAATTGATAGATTATAACTTTACAATATTGTTGGAAATATAATTCATCAATGAGCACAAACTGACTCAAGACTTTAATATTCATTAAGCAAAAATTATTAATTAATGAATCAAGATCCAGCTTTCATATCCAGATATCATCAAATAACTAATACAAAAAGCAAATACATTGCTGATGCAAATCAGAGAGCAGATGGTGTATTTATACATGGACATAAACGAACAGTTCTCCATCTTATTGAATCTCAGTTCATTCAACTTACTTTACATATTAATTTACAATTTATATATATGTCAATGAAACCATATGGATCAATAATATTTTAGTCCAATGCTTTACGAACAATTCAACATTACTATGACTACACATTGACAATAAATATTACCACAACTACATATTGACTACAAATATTATGACTACCATACATGACTACTACGTACCTATCTTTCATCATTTGATATAAATTTTCTTTCATAAATTCAAAGACGAAGTATAGATGGTCGTTTTCCCTGATCACTTCTTTTAGTTTGACTATATTTATGTGGTTCAGCTTTCGCAGAGACTGGAAGTAGAAAGATGTTAGAAAATCACAAACATATTCATAAGTATTTTAAGCCACACTGTGTCTTTTAAGGTAGATCCGCATGTTGAGTACTTTCATGATTACAATTACCCGTACCAAATGAAATGGATTACTTTTCAAGATTTTAATAGCGTTAGAATTATGACATTGCCCCAAAATCATTTTTTCAATTTTGTCTGAAACTGTGGAACTACCTCTAACCTCTATCACCAAAATCATGGCAGAGTACCTAAAATGGGCAATAACAGTTGAAGTGAAATGGGAGGCAATTCCCATCATGAATAACACCAATAGTAGAATTGGATTACATAATCATTGTCATAATAATAATACTCCTTATAATCATTGTCAACAAATGAAGGGAAAAGCCCATTAAATGAAACCCTACGTGATAATCACAGGCAAACGTTACACTTAGGCACAATCAACTCCCTTTGTTCGGTTAAAAGAGCCTATCGACCTAATATTGACGTTTAACTCTAACTGATTGTTAAGTTTAAACTCTGATCCTGTATAACAATATTATCAAACATTTTGTGGCAACCATTGACTATTTACAAGTAATTTACTCGCTCTGACAACGCACTCTATTAATGCACTTCAAAAGAAAGTAATTTTTTATTAAAACATATGCTGCACTGGAATATTGACACAATATAGAATTCTGACATGTTTGTTTGCTCTAAGCTTTATAAAGCTTCAATTTTTTTTATCAATACAGAGTTTGAATAACAGTAGTTTGAACGAAATCAACACAACGTGGTAATAAATCAATAGACCTATATGCTATTATCACTTTCAACTTCCATCAATTGACGCAGTACATGTAATTAATCAATTAATCAGTTATCATGCCAATAAGAAATAAAACATAAATATTGCAATAAACAATACCCTGAATGAAGTTTTTTGTATTGTGTGATATCAATCAGTCAATCAGAAAACAACTTGGGGATAAATGTAACAATGATTTATTTATGTATGAAAACGATGCATTAGAGACAATGCTCTTCCAGCAAGTATACTCTCTCTTTGCCATCTATAATTGTTGTTTCAGGGATAAATGATGTGTAACCTGGTAATTTAGGGATAGAAAAAATGTGAGAGTTGGCAATTCAGGGATATAAGTGGGTGAAGGGTGGTTATTCAGGGATAAAAGTGAGTGTGAGGTTGTAATTGATGGATAGCTAGAAATATGTACTGGGCTAGGTTGGTAATTCAGGAAAAGAATTGTGTTTCGGGTGGTAGTTTAAGGATGGGTGGTAATTCAGGAATACAAATGAGTGTAGGGTGGTAATTCAGGGATAAAAGTGAGTGTATGGTGATAGCTCAGGGATATAAGTGACTGAAGTGAGTGTAGGAGGTAATTCCAGAAGAGTACAGAGGAAGGTAATTCAGGGATTTCATTCCAGATTTATCACCTGAATTAATTTGCCAGATAAAAGGATATCAGTAAACCAATTTTACAATTATCTTTTCCAATTACATTTATGCAAATAATACATTGATGATATTGATAATAGTAATCTGCATGAATTTAGAATTTTTCAAAATGAGAAGATGAAAAACTAATTACAGCATTACAAAACAGTTTTCATTACTTAAGTGTTGCTGTACAATGCACTGGTATTCTTGATGTATTTATAACACTTCTTAATATCAGGGGTACCAATTAAATATATGAAATCATATAAATCATCATTGAAAGCAAACATAAATTCACATTTTCCAACTGGACATAGCCATTAGTGGTAATAGAATTCTAGTTAAACATAAAAGATTAAATTAAATATGTTTATCTGAATAGCAAATGAAACAATTTGGATTTCAGGGTATAAAAGTATAAAATATGACATGTTACCTTAACTTCTCGTAGATTTAGGCACTCTTCCCAAGAATAATATTTCTTCTTCATTCTGAAATACAAATTCATTATGATCATTAGCACATTGAATAAAGATGCAATTAAGGGATTCTTTTAAGAACCAGATACTCAGTAAAAAGAATAAATATGTATTGAATTGTATAAACTTGAAAAATCAGTGATGTCACAAATACCCGATTTTGTTCCGGCTCATGGAAATAGGCTCTCAAGTTGAAACAAATGACACCTCTAGAAAAAATGTATTGACTGGGACAAAATTGTATTAGACTGGACTTAGTCAATTCTGTCAATTAAGTATTTTCCCTCAGAATAAAATCTGTATTAAACTCTTACCGGTGATTAACCGTCTTGTATATTTCACATTGACATCCAGTTATTTTTGGGAATTTCTATTCTCTCCCTCATGTTTTCTGTTGGAACTAGAAAATATTTAATTTCTAATGACACAAAACTGCTTATGAGATGAAGATACTTACTTTTTTATGGCAACTTTTTCTCCCATATCGACTGTGGTCGCAAGCAGCACGCTGCCGTATGTACCATCTCCCAACTGTTTTGACACTTGGTAGCGATTCATTGTGATTTGGTTAAATGTTTATTGCAGTAGTTCTTGTAATAATATTTAATATCCAAAATATTCCTTTTAGTTTTGACTGTAAGTAAATTTGGAAGAACCAAAATCTGATCTTACATTATTAGTTCTTATATTAGTACATCCAGGTCTATCCATGTTTCTCATTTTGGTGTCATTATATTTGATTAAATTTCTTGTAGAGTTCCGCTTATATATTGTTATCCTGAAAGCATAATTTTAAGATGATAATTATGGTACTACAATTGTCTAAAATGACACACACATGGAGTGATACAATTCTTCAGCACCTCTTGTCTGAAGTAGCTTAAAAATAAATTCATTGACTGGATTGGTTCAAGAAGAAAGCAAGATAAAAGCGGGTAAAATGATGCAGAGCACATATTTGAAGGCCATAAGTACAAGCTCTTTTTTAATTGGGCAATAGTATATTTCATGATTCAATAGTTTTTTAAATTAGCAATTTGAATTATTTGATATCATATCATGAATTCATTTCAATATCCGAAATTTAGAGCTAGTCTAGACACAAAAAACAACTGATAATTTATCTCATAGATGATCAAAAGTTTCAATTTTCAGCGAGAGTCATCAATCCCACCCTGACAAAGACTCACAGCATTCAGCTCTGAATTGAATCTCCAATCAAATAACGACCAAATCATAAGTGTACTTTATATGGCCCCATCAATCATGTGAAACCTAGACCATAGAGGCCCTTAGGTTTACCATGTTGGTATGGATGTTGATATGGAATATGTATGACAACAACAGGCACCAGAGCAGATAGGTTAGCAGAATCGACTGAAATGAAAATAAACCCTCACTCCTTGACACAAGAGAGAGGTGTGGAATGAGGATGGGTGGGGTGAATGATCATTCGCAGTGTTGTCATTAACAGCCGGTCCACTGGTCATTATCTGGTTACTTTTGATACGGACCAGTTGATTTTTTCACTAGGTATAGAAAAATAACATTGCAACTGGTCCGTAATATCATTTTGACCAGCAGGTTTCAGCCCCTTAGTGTCTACACTGATCATTCGGTCAATCACTTATGAGACCCACAAAAAACAATTCTACTTTCTGTGCCGGTGCCTGTGAATGTTTCCCTGGTTATTAAACCAATACACTCATTTGAATATCATCAAGACGCTTCCCTTGTACTTGATATTCAGTATATTTTCATGTTTTCAATGTTGATAGGACAGGTTCTAATTTTTCGAAAAAACTCTCGATTTAGACCTAAATTTCAATGAAACTGATAGTCGCAAAATTGTGTCCATGTGACTTTATGACATCTTCGATCTCTCTTCTATGATTATTTAAAATAAAATTAAAGTAATCAAGACTGACAAAGCAAAGAACATCGGATAAACATTGACACCTTCATGTCATTTTACATGGAGATGACCGGCCGCCATCTTTGAAATTGAAAGAAACTTCATACAACTTTGAAAGTAATTTAACACCCTTTCTAGACGACCTGCAATTAAATGAGTTTGCGTCAGTGTGCATTGATACATATTTATTGTAAAAAACAACAATTCATGATAATCGATCAGTGATTCACATGAGAATGTGACTTTTTAGTGTAAAGAGTAACTCACCTCGTCCATGTTTTGGAATGTTTTCCTCATTTGCATATTGGGAACCATGACGTCACATTTCTCCCACAATGCATTTCAATATTAGTTTGCACCTTGTTTTATAGATGTCAGGACCAGACAAATGTACCACTAAACGAAACGTGTGCATATTCAGGACAAGGAAAGAAAAATGACTCTTGAAACATACATGATCCCTACCTTTATTCAGTTTTAATTTAATAGTACAGATTGGAAAACATAACAGGCTTGAAGCCTCCAATCATCCTAAACCTGATGATGATACAGACAGTGTATATGTCTGTATATCTGTATATGGTTTAGGTGCATTCATCCGCCTCTGGGCCTTTATTTATATCTGAGATTTGTCAGTGACCCTATCAAAAGTCCGATAGTCTATATATGGTTTTACTAATAAAAGTCATTATATACCATTATACCGTATGATCATCATTGTGATTCATCATCCTCATCATGTCATTTTAGTGATTTCGTCTAATTATCAGTTTATTTTGATAATCTGTTCATCAATATGTATTGAAATTACTGAACACACCCTTCTACAGTCTTTAACGAAGACAGCCAGATGGATGTGTTCAGTAATATTGAAATGTAATGTCCAGATAAAATGTTTTGGAGGGAAGAGTATGGAGGTTAGATTGTGCATGAAATTATTGCTTTTGATATTCAGTTTGTTTTCATCTACCTTTGCAATAACATGTCTCTTTATCTTGCTGTGTTACAATGCAATGCAATGTATAATGCAGCTTCGATCTTTTGGTTGCACAGAACATTAGAGTATGCCCGAATATGGGTTTCCAGACAAGCAAAGACATTTTGTTTTAATCCTTTTTAACTGGATGGTTCGGTCTGTTTCAAATTAAATGTGATAAACTGCATTCTTTTAAATCTTCAATTTGAAATTTTATTCCATAGTCATAATAAATACATTGTAAACACAAATATTGAGAACATCAGTTAAACTTCTTCTGCTTTTGTTTAGTTCGTTTTATATTTTTGGCAGATTGTTCATTTCCTGCAATTGTCCATGTGAATTGTTTCCAGTGGAAGTAACAGAGGAAGAGTAAGAAATGACCACAGGAGTATAGAGAGATGATGACTGGCCAGAGATCAGGGTAGCGGGCTGGAGGTCTTAGTGTTAGAGATACAATCCAGATGGCAGCACACCCCAACATGGACAACCAGAACTGAAACAACAAAAACAATGCAGAATCACAGAATGGGTCAAAAACATCCATATTTTTTATTTAGTGACATTTTTTCATAATGAATGAATTTTTAAAATATTTTTTGACAGAGATGCACAAATCACATTTGCATTGTATGTTTTGATATGAATGTGAAACAAAAAGTATCATGTGCTAGATGTTTGCAAAAAGCAATCCAGTTTTTATTTTAAGTCATTTTCCATTTCCAAAATATATTTTCCAAAATACAGATCATTCCAAAAAAAAGAAAATTGGACTTACAAATGTTTTGAGAACAATATTATTTTTTCCATTTGCTGATGGTTTCTCAAGGAATGTTCCACAGTTGTATACTTGGGTTGTTGCTAGGTGATATAGTAACATTGTTGCTATGGTAGCTAGTAGTAGACCATCCTTTTGTAGCAGAGGTAGCATGCTGAAGTAAAGAATTCAAAGATTATTATCCACTTGTATACACAAGGATATCAATACTGAACAACAAATGAGATATGGGTGTATTTGCAAAGCATGACAGATATCCTCATTTTGATTTTCTATGCTGTAATAAATACTGGGGTCATACTTAAATGCTATAAGTAGCACTGGGCACTTACAAAATTGTTGAAATGAACACTGGACACTTAAATTATGTTGAAATGAACACTGGACACTTAATTTAATGTTGAAATGAAAAACTGGGCACTTAATTGAATGTTGAAATGAACAATTACCAAAATGTTGAAATGAACACTGGGCACTTGAAATTCAAATTCAATTGAAATGAATGGTGTAATGAACACTGGTTAACTTACCTAAATGTTGTAATGTGCAGAAACCAGAGGCCAGTTACAGGATGATAGTGTAGGAGAGTACATACAGGCCTGTAATGAAAAGTACATCACTGTTTATAGTACATACAGGCCTGTAATGAAAAGTACATCACTGTTTATAGTACATACAGGCCTGTAATGAAATGTACATCACTGTTTATAGTACATACAGGCCTGTAATGAAATGTACATCACTGTTTATAGTACATACAGGCCTGTAATGAAAAGTACATCACTGTTTATAGTACATACAGGCCTGTAATGAATTGTACATCACTGTTTATAGTACATACAGGCCTGTAATGAAAAGTACATCACTGTTTATAGTACATACAGGCCTGTAATGAAAAGTACATCACTGTTTATAGTACATACAGGCCTGTAATGAAATGTACATCACTGTTTATAGTACATACAGGCCTGTAATGAAAAGTACATCACTGTTTATAGTACATACAGGCCTGTAATGAAAAGTACATCACTGTTTATAGTACATACAGGCCTGTAATGAAAAGTACATCACTGTTTATAGTACATACAGGCCTGTAATGAAATGTACATCACTGTTTATAGTACATACAGGCCTGTAATGAAAAGTACATCACTGTTTATAGTACATACAGGCCTGTAATGAAATGTACATCACTGTTTATAGTACATACAGGCCTGTAATGAAAAGTACATCACTGTTTATAGTACATACAGGCCTGTAATGAAATGTACATCACTGTTTATAGTACATACAGGCCTGTAATGAAAAGTACATCACTGTTTATAGTACATACAGGCCTGTAATGAAATGTACATCACTGTTTATAGTACATACAGGCCTGTAATGAAAAGTACATCACTGTTTATAGTACATACAGGCCTGTAATGAAAAGTACATCACTGTTTATAGTACATACAGGTCTGTAATGAAATGTACATCACTGTTTATAGTACATACAGGCCTGTAATGAAATGTACATCACTGTTTATAGTACATACAGGCCTGTAATGAAAAGTACATCACTGTTTATAGTACATACAGGCCTGTAATGAAAAGTACATTACCACTTTTAGTACATACATATAACATACACATTATACACACAGGCCTACAATTACATAAATAAACAATGCATATATATCAAACACAAATATAGCATACTGGCAGTGGAAAGTGATGGCTATTTATATATATTTTTTTCAATGCAATATGCAAATACGCTGTATTCCATATCAGTGTTTAGTCACTGACTATTCCTGTCGTACAAAAAAATCTGAGTTAAATCGATGCACACACATCACTTACAAGTAATTTCAAGCTAACTGTCTACATAGGGTGTTATACTTACAGAGCTGCTATAAGGATGGACTTTTCATGGACTTGGAATGAAAACAGGAAAAATGTTAGGGACGAGTTCACCTGAAATATATAAAGTACATGTCCTTTAAGTGCTAATCTTATGCTAAAGTTATTAATCAGAGTAATCTTTAAACACTGTAAAATACATCATCATGTTCACCATCTTTAAAATAGTGTATCACTATATCAGTACAAGCAACCAATAGGGTATCTATGGTAACAGATCCTCCTTCAAATTAACAAAACATGGCCAGGTTTCAAATTCTCAAGGAGTATTTCAGTTAAAAGGGGGTTGGGTAAAACACACAGTAAAATATTAAAATGAGAACGGCCTCTTACCAACGCATATTTAAATGTACGTGTAGATGGTTTGACCAATAGATGGAGGCAGGAGGGCAGGAGAGCAACCACAGTTGTTCCCAGGCTGCAACAGTTAACACATGCAGTATAGCAGATAGGATGATGAAAAATTTATTTTAATAATTCCAAGTAAAATTGGTTATTGATTGTTGCCTTTTTAATAAATATGACATTGCTAATTACCTTCTTAAAAGTGTTAAAAACAATTGTATAATCCTTGATAGATGGATATAGAACCACTGAAATTATCTTTTCCACATGTGTCATTAATGGCTCAGTTCAAGTATTCTCTATTAAACCTATAGTTACACTCACCATAGGAATACAAGCTGCTGTTGATCGAGAAAGTTCTTCAGTTTAACTGCTACAGATATGCTACACCAGAAGTTGGCAACTTTGTCCTGCAATTGTAAACACATTGAGAACTATACACAACTTCATACAAAAATAATGAATTGCAGCAAAATACACAAGGATGAAAAAGCTTGGCAAAGGATCTCAAGAAATTGAGAAACATTTATTCATGTATTAATTCATTTATTATGTCATTTTACAAAACGTTTATGTTGCCATGCATGCGACAACAATGACAATGACCTGATAAGCCTTGCAATCATAGTCCATAAAACTGGCTATTATTAATAAGCTTTGCATTTAAATATGTTCATTAGACAGGATTATTAAAACACCAACCTCAAATATTCCCCTGGCAAAGGGGAAGAGCCTATGAAGGACTTGGGATGCCTGGTTGATGTCAAAGATGAAAGGGAACCAACACAGCATGAAACTACAGATCACAACAACTCCAAGTTTGACAAGCTTGAAAAACCTAAAAAAGATATACAGCAGGATGGGAGGGGGAGCTATATACTAAACAAAGGATTTTATTCTTTGGGGAATTTTGGAACAAATATGTCAGCATTCAGTTGCTGAATAGAAATAAAAGTAAGATTATGAAAATCAATAAATCAATATTGCCCCATGTTCTGTAAAAAGCTCATGAAATGTGAAAGCTATGATGGATATTTTTGTGAACTATAAATAAAAAAGCCTGCTCACCAATTTTCCTTTTTACTTCTAAAGGCAGAGCCCAGCAGGTAGAAGAAGAATGGGGCAGCGTGATAGAGCTCCATCTGCTTATAGTTCAATGCAAAGCAGAACATGATCGATCCCCAAAGGTCACGACCCTTGTCCAAAAAGTAAATGGCAAGGAGAGCAAAGCCCAGACTTACACAGTTGTATCTTACTCTCATTAAGGATAATGACAGCATTTTGTGAAAGTTAATTAAAAAAAACGCACAATCAGAAATCTTATTACAATTCAAAGACTGCAATTTGAGTATTCTTCAACAGTAGTCTCATTTGGTAAAATTAAAAGCATATATATTACAATAAAGGATAGGTATCGATATGGAGAACTGAATTCAACAATGTTTTTCTCTTAAACCAATCATTGAAAACATTCTGTAAAAAAACACGGTATTTTATGAAATGTTGACTGATTGACAACAATTTAATGCGAAAATTATTTAGAAATATTTTAAATAACTGTTTTTGTTAACATTTTTGGGTTTTTAATGCAATTGTTTTTGCTCCTTTCTACCAATTCTTGAGAATGAAATAAAATGTCATTCTGAACCTTGTTGGAACAAAATAGCATATACAACATATTTTTAGACCTCTCAATATTATAGTTATACAAAATTTCCTTTGTACAATTACAATATTGAGAGACCTAAACATGTTGTGTTTATGTCGTTTTGTTCCAATGAGGTTCGGAAAGATGTTTCATTTCACTCTGGAAACATGATACCAAGAACAAAACAAGTGTTAGATGTGTTTTCTAAAACAATATAGATGAAAGTATATATATATTTTTCAAATTATATGGTTACCATTCAAAAGATAACCATTAAATTGACGATGTGTTAAATTTTTAGATTTTTTTCATGAATGGTTATGAAAGTTTTCCATATCGATACCACTCCTCCATAGAGTTCCGAAAAATTCAGAGTTCGGAAAATACATGAATATTTATATTTATTCAGAAATGTTAATGAGTTCAGATTATCATTCTATTGCTCTTTTAAACACAAAGGATACTGAAAATGCCCATAGTCTATGAGAATAAGTCCAGGGTACAAGAGAAACACGCTGGCCTCTGCAAGCTGAAATAGGAAAAAATCATTCATTAAAAACAATATTTAGTCATTCTAAATCATTATAATTTGTTCAGTTTTCGAGGATCACCTGATCAAAGGTGAGAACAGCAACACTGCAACAAGCTTCAGTGGAACATGATGAGACAGAACCAATGGTGCCAGAGAAATAAACAGTGTACGTTTATAAAAACATCTGAATGCCAATATTGTAATTGTGTCAACCATGTTTTTTACCCTTAGTCATGAATCCTGCATTGTAATATTCACCTTTTTCACCTGTGTATCTGCAGAAACCTCATTAAACACGTAAGCTATGGCTGCAGGGATGTAGATCAAGACATCCACCACCAACACTGCAAAAGAAGGTGAACTCATTATACAGAACTCACTTTTGTATTCTATACTCATCACTCACACTTAAGTATTTCAAATTATATAGGCCTACTGCACCAAAAAACATATACCAGTATTCTTACCTGAATATCTCATGAATAGTTTGTGGTCATAGCTTTCCATCCCATGAGATTTCAACAATTCCACCCAACTGCTGTTTACTCTGTTCGCCCTGAAGATAATATAACAAATATTGTGAGATAATTACATTATAATCTGAGATTACTGAATTCAACACTGTGAGAATCTCTAATCAATTTATTACGTACTAAGTGTTGCAATAACATAACCTAGAAAAATCGCAATGTAATAAATCCATCTCAATTTTTTTCTCTGTTTGCTCCAACACATGTTTCAAGCTAGAATCAACATGTAGTGGCGTCCCAGCTCAATGTATAGACACCCTATGCCCATACAAATATCACACAACACTGTTCATCACATGTAAGTCACCACATGGACAGATAGACATAGAGATAGCATCTCTACATCATACACCTAGAACCTAACACAGAATAAGCTCTATATACATATATATACAGTACTTACACCACTCCACACAGCCAACTATGGTATGCTGTTAAAGGAGGATAGTCCAGGCCCCAGTACTGGAGGTCATTGTTCGTTCCATTCATGTACCTGGAAAAATCATGATACATACACATAAAATAACATGTGCAGTTTTTGTAAAAATCCATGGGCTTTCTAGAGTTTCTCTCATAAATCTGGATATTACAAACAATAACTATCGAACTATCAGTGCTAGACCTAAGTCATTGTAAGTAGTCTACCATATCCTTTGAAAGGACCAACAGATTTCCCAAACATACGTAACCTTATGCGAAGTGATAGAACCTTACCGCATCAATGTCAAATCACTTTAGATAGGGTAATATACAATAATTAAAATATAAGGAAGTGTTACCATTGAGAAACTGGTAGATTGTATGTTATCTCCATCCAATGTCTCTGTGCCTCATAGTCACCATACATGGGAGCCTTTCCTGCACCTGCAAAACAAGTGACATTGCTTACAATAATGTACAAATGATGTACATGTACATCTATGGTACATTTATGTGTGACTGCGGCTTTGTAAATATATTTTATGTCATATCATTTATGGTACAGTACAAATGATGTACATGTACATCTATGGTACATTTATGTGTGACTGCCGCTTTGTATATATATTTTATGTCATATCATTTATGGTACAGTACAAATGATGTACATGTACATCTATGGTACATTTATGTGTGACTGCGGCTTTGTAAATATATTTTATGTCATATCATTTATGGTACAGTACAAATGATGTACATGTACATCTATGGTACATTTATGTGTGACTTCCGCTTTGTATATATATTTTATGTCATATCATTTATGGTACAGTACAAATGATGTACATGTACATCTATGGTACATTTATGTGTGACTGCCGCTTTGTATATATATTTTATGTCATATCATTTATGGTACAGTACAAATGATGTACATGTACATCTATGGTACATTTATGTGTGACTGCAGCTATGTATATATATTTTATGTCAAATCAAACGGGAACTTCACTTTCATAACCTGGTGAATATACAGCTAATACACAGTCAGCACCATCTATCTAATATCTCACATAATAGAATTGTTTAATAACTGAATAATGAAGATTGATAGTGCTCACTGCGAGCAGGGACATATAAAACCACAGCCAGCCACAGACGTCAAGTAAGTTGCTGGCGAAAGCTGGAGCATAGATTATAAAGAGGACTGGAAACAAGATGGCAATCTATTTCAAATCTGCCAACTCATGTTGGCCTATTTATCACTATTGACTCAGTTGTTCATCTAGTTTTACTTACCTTAGATGCTTAGTAATCTATTTAGTACATGTATAATATTGTTTCCAAATTTATTGTCATTTGCGATAATTAGAACTAAAAGTACTTTGAACAGGTCAGCTGCCATTTGCTTGGCCCAATCGTACCAGTCCACAAAAACAGTGAAATCATATTAAAAATACCAATTAAACTTTAAAATTGAGGCAGATGCGATACAAAGAGACTCTTTTAATACAGATACTGTAAAACGGGTATTGTTAGCGAGGGGTGATTCGCTATAGTTTCGCTAAAAATTCAATTTGCTAAAATAAACCGGGGTTAAAATAAACCGGGCGCTAAAATTTGCAAATTTGAAAAAGGTAAATATTTTTAAATCGTATGTTTCTTTCAATATCTGAAGGATAAATAGCCATCCATCCAGCTTGGACCAATACCATGTGCGTTAGAAGTTTTACATTTTGATAATTCCTCTGTCATGTCCGTTATTCGTTCTCCTGCCATAAATGATAAAATTTCTAATGCATTTCGCTAATTCGATTTTTTAAAGATTAATCTTCATTTCGCTAAAATTTCCCGCGCTAAAACCCCCTAAATCGAAAAATCGCTAAAATTTCCTGGTGTCAAAATTACCCGTTTTACAGTATACAGGTTACAGTCACCAAGATGAGCTAATTTCAGGCGAGATTCAGGAAATAAAAAGGTAGGTCATTCTTGTTTCCAGTCCTCTTAAATAATCTATGCTCCGGCTTTCGCCAGAAACTTACTTGACGTCCGTGCAGCCAGCACCATCTATCTAATATCTAATATAATAGAATGAATTCAGTCTAATATTGAATAATGAAGATTGATAGTGGTCACTTACTTCGGTCCAAAGCCTTCTCTATATTCCGGCTTTGAGGAGGAAGATTGAGCTGCCTTAGTATTATAAATATTGTAAATCATTGTGTCACACGCACAGTAAATATGGCATAATAATATGAAATATACCTTTATGTATAGATTTGAAGAACATCAGCTCACATCCCCGTCTGAATCTATTGTTATATTTGATTTCTTTAAGCGAGAATAATTTCAAATGTTATTCACGTCCAGAACCGGAAGCCATTTTTAGCTACAGCGAGAAAATTTCACCATGTGTCAAACTCCGAAATGAAATTTTGAAATACAGTTGGGGACATAAATAAATGACAGGTGGATTTGCTGAAGTGAGGATTTCCCATGTTAAAAATAAGAGAATTTACAAGAGGCCATACATCAGTGGATGAGATTATACAAAATGTAAAATATAAAAATTTTAAGGGATATGTATCTAGACAATATTGGAAATTATGGGCTTTCAGACCACCATAATTAGGAAATGGTGATCGAAAATCGACCTGTCATTTATTTTTGTCCCCAACTGTATCTAAATCCAGACAAGCAACGCTTCATCCTAAATATGATTAATATTCTTAAAAATATTTATAAAATTTATTAAAAATGAGTTCTAGGTGCGTGTAGGTGCGTGTAGGTGCGTGTAGCACAGTACATACGAAATCAATGAAGTTTCGTCTAGCTGTAAGCTAGAGACTCGAGTAAGTGGTCACTGTGTATAAAACACATGTCTCTGCTCTGAACAAACAGGAGAACATTGAAGAGTGTTTCATCTGAAATTATGCTCATGACCTAGATTCAGGCCTGTCAACTTGGGGACACCTAACATGAGTGACTTGCAAATGTTGAACACCTTTCTTCAAATTTTGGACACCTTGGTCCAAATCTGAACATCTTGGCCACAATTTGAGCACCTTGTTTTCAATTTTATTGCATTTAATCAAATTTTGGACACCTCAATTTTTCGCGCTGGCTACGCTCGCGATATCGTCAACGGGGGGGGGGGGGGGGGGTAGGTACGAAAATTTCCAATTAACATGCGTGACACATACGGGATTCGCGTGACAAATCCGAACAAATTGGCGTTCGGTTTTTTCCGACGTTCGTATTTTTACCGTATCGTCAACATATTTTGAAAATTTTTCTACAGAAATATTTTTGCGTGACAATGACCAGGTAAAATGCGTATTTGCGTGACATTTTCTGTCACGCAAAAAAAACTGGCGTGACTTCAAATTCTTCAGCAAATGCGTGACAAATACGCAAATTGCGGGACAGTTGACAGGCCTGTAGATTATATTGAAAAAATTATTAAAAAAAAGTAAAAAAAGTAAAAACAAAAATTTTTCAAACAAGGTTTTCATATGTTTCACTCACCCGAGTAGGAATTCAATGAAACACTCCATCGGACGACCACGATAACTGATATCAGAACAAATAAGTATGGCAATAGAGCTCGATCCATGACTAAGTAAGAAGAATTAAGAAGAAATATTCTAAATTGCCACGCATAGTGGGCGATAATTGAGTTTGGAATTTTCTTCACCTCTAATTTGAAGAGCTCTACAACCCTTGCAAATAAATTATACTTTAATGTTTCTTACATCTTTAATGCAATAGAGAATAGCAAATGTTTGGTGGTTCAATCATCTTGTCAAAAAAGTAATGGGATATTTTCATTGTATCAACCCTATCCAATGCAAAGAAAATCCAAATAATTTATAATAATAATTTACTAAGGGGCTCACTCTGCTGAGTCTGCTTCTTATATTTTTCTTATTGAATTTTAAAGAGGTATATTCATATTGGGTCAGAGATTGAGAACTTTTACAGAGATAATGACTTTTGTCACCATTTTGATGGTGAATTTTTGAGTTTTGAACTGATGGAACATGAAGACAATTATATCAATGAATTCAAATAAAAAATGCATTATAATGAAACTAGTTATATCATAGAATTATAATTCTTTATTCTATTTACTAGACAAGTAATTAAGGATACAACAAATGTGCACAAATTAGAAAAATACAAAATAAAATTATTTGATTCAATCTACCACAGACCTCTTATCCACTAAATAAAACATTGTTTAGTTCATATCATATGATGGTACATATACATGTATATAACACAAGCCATATATCACCATCATTTTACACCATGTCTTTTTAATGAGTATTTTCTTGTAAGGTAAATAAGGCATGTGTTATAAAGCTATTATTGAAAGTACAGAAAATGTACAGTAGATTGAAAAAAGTGTTCAAAGGCTTTTATTTTGAGAAAAATGATGGATGTACTTTTGTCTCATTTACTGTTAAATTAAATTTTATGAAGTGTAACCTGAATTTTATATCAATTTACATTGGAATATTACATGTATAAAAAAGCATGTAAAATTGTATGCATTATATGAAGGAGGTACGAATTCTGGATACCTGCTTAGGAGGAGGATGTAAATAGACTTTTTTGTTTGTATTCATAAATACCACAGTACCTATATTGTGCACTTTAACTGTAACTATTTAGAGTACACACATATTGAATCATACAGTGTTTTTAGAAAAATATTCAGATCTTTTACTAGTTTAATTGATTGAAACAACACTTTTGACATAAGTGTTTGGCATCAATGCAACTAGCTTATCAGCTACTCTATTCACAATGGCATTAGCTTCTGTCTCTCTTTTTCTAAACTGGTGAATATCCAATGTCTTCAATTTTTTCAGTTTTTGAAGGCCCAAAAGAGATTCCTCGGTAGGAGAGAGGGTGCATCTGTATGCGCCACACAGGGACAGTTTCTCCAATGCTGGGAACAGAGCTATGACAGTTTCATATCCACCACTTGTTATCTTATCACAGTTATCCACTCTGAGTTCAATTAGTTGGCTGCCTACACTTCTCCCAAGTTTATGCAGTCCAAGATCGCAGCATCCTGTGCCAGGTATGTTGAGTATTTTAAGATGAGGTAAGGTGGAGATATATTCCACTCCTGTTATTGTAATTCTATAGCAGTTCTGTATGATCAGTACTTGGATTGTTTTCCTTGTGCAGATATGTTTCATATCTTCATCACACAACCGTATACTATAGGACAGATCAATATGTTCAATATTAGGGATGATGTTCTTTTCTTCAATGCACTTAAACCAGCCATATGGTAACCCAGACCTTGTAATGACCAACTTTTTGAGATTTGGAGGGAGTAATTCAAAGTTCAATGCATCTATATTTGAATTTGTAAGCTCAAGTTCTTCTATGTTCGAACATCTTTCTTGTAGCTCTTTCAACATTGCATCTGACAGTGACATTTTTCTCCACTTTGTCCCAGCTGAAACAGAAATAATATTTCTGAGTAAGAATTGGATTCGAAACATGTTTCTGTATAAGAACTACTGTATGAGCAGATGAGTAGTTGCCAGAGAGGGCTTGTCACAAGGATAGTCTTATAACATGTAAAAGTATACCTTGATATCATACTAATTGGTCTACAAAATCCATTTGGTCAATAAAAGCCCAATCCAGCCCCAGGAATACAATAATGCACATTGTACAGTTTATATACTTACCAGCATCATAGAAGCCTCTGATGTGGAGTGACAGAAGAATGTTTGAGAAGTGTCCCCTGATAACCTTCCACATCTTTGACAAGTTCAGTCGGTATGGTAACAGGTTCACATGTCTCCAGAGGCTGTTATCATTGGCAACTCTTCTCCAAGACCTACTTACTCTAAAAATAAAATTCAGTCCTAAAATAATCTGAAATAGTTGCCATATCACAATGTATTGTGAAGTTCATGGTCATAAAAAAGATTATTTTCTAATAAACATGTTCATAAAAATTAAAGATGTACATCATGCATCTCAAGGCATCTCTCACATCCAATAGCACAGTTCACATGATACCAACCCTGCCACCCATCCCACTACTAATTCAATTTAGATATAGATCTATATTTTATGATGTAGTGCAACAAGATCCTTTAGACGAGTCTAACTGTGTTCAAAAATCCCTATTGATATTCTAAATTGTGATTGTATAAACATTTCGATGAGCTGCAAACAAGTGTATGGATATCTTACCTACACACTGTACATAATTGTTTTATTGATAAATGCCTGAATATTTCAAGAATGATATTTTCTGGAAGCTCTGAAAACCCTGTTTTTACAAGGGCAGCCATTTTGTCCAAACACACAAGTCACGTGATTTCTAGTGAAGTTCATATTTTAAAAGGGGTTTCAAATTTCTCTTTTACTTTTCAATATATCACATCTCTATTATCGTTTCTTTTTTAATAAAGTTTAATCATAAAATAAAATGATTCTACTCAATATTTCATTGACCAAATGTTTTATTTTGAAATTTTATAAAGATTCATCCAAGAGCACTCTCGCCACACCCCTATACATGGACCGATCTGTCCTACATTCTGACTTGACCTCCTTTTAGTTTTGAATGAAATGTTTTAGCAGAATGCAGTTTTAGAGTAATTCCACAGTAAATCTACATCAGCTATGACTACACTGACAATATGGGACTGGGAGGTTGAGAAATATCCGCTGCAAGTAGGTGTGGGTGTCATTATTGGAGGATGGACTTTTGTAAAACTTGTCAACTATTTCTTGCAGAGGTCAAAACTTAAAAGTGCTAGAGTCAGAAAGAGGGCAGAGTGCAAACAGGCCAAACAAGTCTTGGAAGATCAAATTAAACAGGTACACATTGCATTTTATTGGCTCACACAGTGAGTCTATGGGATCCACCAGGCGTCCATCCGTCCATTGGTCTGTCCATCCGTTGGTCCGTTGGTCCGTCCGTCAACATTGGCCGCACAAATTAAAACTGCTATTCGGATTGTGTCATATCCACATTCATTTTGTGCATATCCATAATGCCTATTTGACCTATCATCGCCATTTCCCAAGTTCGCCCGGTTTCCGAGAAATTGCTGATTTTGACGTCAAAAAGTCAAATTTTCTGTAAATACTAGACACTTTGTTGAAGTTGAACTTTCAAATAATTTGTAGTAGTTGCTGTATATGCAACTTATGTCCTCTGTCGATGTCAAAGCTCTTGGAATTACAGTTTTTGGTGTTTACTATATAAAATTTGACAAAAATGGTAGAGGACTTGGTCATTTTCAGGAAACTTTCTCATGTATAAAGTCAATGGCAGGTTTTGTGATTGACGAGTTTCTCAAAGTTTGCCTTATACTTGAACATTTCTTGCAATGAATTACATCATTACTAGATTTAAGCATTCCCTACATATTTCTCAATATATGCCAGCATCAAATTTTTACCGTTTTTGAGATATTTGACGTCAAAAAACAGTAAAAATAAGATATTTTTCAACTTCCTTCAATTTTTGGGAAAATCATCTATAAGTTGCCAGGAGTTCAAATCTGACATTAGCTTAAGGATTTGACCTTCAGTGACCAGCTTCGAAATGTCAAAAAGTTGATTTTTCAAATTGATTTTTGGATGTAAATTTTGGTCAGCTTACTACTTTTTTCAAGGCCCGACTTCGTCGCTAACATGCTAAATATAAGAGTTAGCTGACGTTTGGGAGTCTGACTTACCTTCTAAAGGTTAGAACCCGAATCTTAATGAAACCATATCACCTTTGTTGCGTCGATGATGATGCATACACATAACAAAGGTGATATGGTTTCATTAAGATTCGGTTTCTAACCTTTAGAAGGTAAGTCAGACTCCCAAACGTCAGCTAACTCTTATATTTAGCATGTTAGCGACGAAGTCGGGCCTTGAAAAAGGTAGTAATCACAAAATACCTTACTGAGCTCTGAATAAGTAAAATTTTCAAGGTCAAAGGTCAAAGGTCACACAACTATCCTATCTAAGTTTTTCAAAGTTCGAGACTACAAATCCAAATCAATATTTTTGTTTGAAAGTCAGGATATACATTCCTCTGAAGGTTCCAAACTGTGTGAGCACAGGACCGTGGGTCCTTTATTCAGTACTTGGGAGTTTTCATAAAGGCGGAGTGTCTTGAAAGCCCATGGTTCTATACCTGAGGTTCTATCTATATCTCTTGAAAGCCCATGGTTACCTGCACCTTAGAACTCACTTTGTGAATTGGGATTTTTGGTCGTGTTGCCTAATTCTCAAATAAAAATTTCAAAACACATTTAAGTGATCAAGATCTTTTGGTTCGCTTTTATGAATTTACAGTCGGGTCAGTCATTAATGATATTTTAGTCCTTTTCGCTAGAATATCAGCCCTTTTCGCATTTGTACAAAAATACAGGCACACACAGCACTGAACGAGTTGGAACCCTGAGAGCAAATCCTCCTTGTTAATTGCTTTGAACTGTGTAATCTACCATGATAATGTACAAAAAATATTCATAGAAAAGTGTGAAATAGAAAAATATGATCATTGGAAATTAAACTAAAAAAATAATCGTAATACAGATATACTTTAATCCCTTTTTAATGTGCTTCTTTCTTACAGAGAAATATCTCCAAAGAAGTTGTAGAAGAGATTACCAATCTAAGTTTGTCTGAACTACAAAGCAAACTAAAAGATGGCACTCTTGATGTCCTGGATGTTCTCCACGCTTATCAGGCAAAGGTAAACATTGGAATAATCACCTAAATATTTATAATATCATTAAGACCCAGGCTTGATCTGTTTGTTTGTTTGTTTGTTTATTTATTTGTTTGTTTTTTGTTTATTTATTAAACGGATTTACTTCAAATTTTCACAAATGTTACATGGTAAGAAGTTCTAGAGCTGATTAATTTTTCAGTGGCCATCTTGCATTTTGGAGGCCATCTTAGAAGTTTTTAGATAAATCTTGTCATCGCGATTCCAGGAAAACCACTTAATGGATTTACTTCAAATTTTACACATGTTACATGGTAAGAAGTTCTAGAGCTGATTAACTTTTCGGTGGCCATCTTGCATTCTGGTGGCCATCTTGGAAGTTTTTAGATAAATCTTGTCATCGCAATTCCAGGAAAACCATTTGACAGATTTACCTTGAATTTTCACACATGTTACATGGTAAGAAGTTCTAGAGCTGATTAACATTTTGGTGGCCATCTTGCATTCTGGTGGCCATCTTGGAAGTTTTAAGATAAATCTTGTCATCGCGATTCCAGGAAAACTACTTGACGGATTTACTTTGAATTTTCACACATGTTACATGGAAGGTAAAGAGTTCTAAAGCTGATTAACTTTTTGGTGGCCATCTTGCATTCTGGCGGCCATCTTGGAACTTTTTAGATAAATCTTGTCATCGCAATTCCGAAAAACCACTCAACGGATTTACTTCAAATTTTCACCTAGTACATAGTTCATAATGATCTTTTAAATTATCTGTAATATTACAAATGTTGCCATTTGACAAGTCTTCATTTCATTCAGGCTATTTTAAATGAAACATTTAGTATAACTTTAAATTGTGATTCTCAAATACTTTATATAGTAAAACTGTCTAATCTGAACACCATTGGAATCTATGAAAAATTGAGAGCTGTTCAGATTAGAAAGGTGTTCAATTACACATGCTTCACTGTTTATTAAAAATTTAATCTACCCTAGTCTGAGTAATTTAATACAATATAATAATGTTGGTTTTTTAATAAGTCTCTATTTGTTGTCAGGCCCTAGAGTGTGACGAGAAGACTAACTGTATTATAGAGCCATTTAAGGAGGCAGAGGTAAGATGCTATATTTGGGCATATTATGGGTAAGATGCTATATTTGGTTATATAATTCGCATGATGCTTCATTCGGACACAATGCAGTGGCGTAGCTACGTGTACGCCAAGTACGCCCAGGTGTACTCTCAAATTTTAAGGAAAAATAAAATTTACCTGATTAATTGTGATGAAAAATATATATTTTACCAAGAGATAGAAACCGATAGGAGATCTATGAAGACTCGTGTTAATATATAAAAAAGTTCTGGATTATTTCATTCTCTTTGTTTTGAATCAGTTAGCAATGAAGTAACACGGTGGAGCCATAAATGGCAACAAGTTGCTCAAGGGAACATCCCAGCAACTCTTATGACACTATTCAACAGACCCCCCAGCCTCTTTACCCCGATGTCTACACGTGTTTGGTCCAGCTGCTAACATTGCCAGTATCCACTTGCGTGGCTGAACGAAGCTTTAGCAGTTTGAAACGCATTAAGTCATACAGTACTTGCGTTCCACAATGAACGAGGAAAGACTTTCTTCCTTTGCCATGATACCATATCCTTAGGGAACAGGATATAAACATTGATACTGTTATTGACATGTTCGCAAATGCAAAAAACAGAAAGATAGAATTTATTCTATAGAATCACGTACAGATTGTTAAGATCCGAAATGGAGTTGAGACGGTCGTGTAACTGTTCTTTTATTGTTAATCATCTTATGAGCTAGATAAAAACAAACACAGAATATTTCATGGAGAATGACCACAAAAGCTTAAAACAATGAGCCTCATTCATACAGTTTTAGGTAGCCTTAAAAACAAAATCGCCTTGATAGACGGCTTCGATCGCCGATGGCATGATTATATAGAATCTGTCTATTTTGTTTCCCGAATATTATCTGTTAATACAGTTAATTCAATCCCTTTAAAAAGCTATGTCAAAATGATCAAACAATACATATTTCCTTCATTGAATTAAGAGTGTTTAGTGTGTCCCCTATCTTCTGAACACCCGGGATCTTCCTATTTTATGGAACCATCGTTTTGTTAATTTTGATAAAACCGGGAAATCATACGGGCGTACACTCGCAAAATGGCATGGATATGATACTATACTTGAGCTTATAATCGGTAAGATGTTAAATTTAGGGATATAATTGGTTGCCGGCTGTAATTCTGCATATAATGGTTTTGACGCTATATTTGGGCATATAATGAGTCGCTAATTTGGGGAATTCATATTGACAAATGTGAAATATGAATATTGTAAATGAAAAAGCATCAAAGAAATACACTTTACAGATATTTAATTGTTATGATATTTTAATTGCGTACCATCAATAGAAATAAAAAATCTTATTTATTAATTAATCTACTTTCCAGGAGTGGGCAGCATCTGTGAAAGAAAATGTTTCCAAGGATTCTCCACTGTTTGGGGTCCCAGTCTCATTGAAGGAGAACTATGGGGTAGAGGTGAGAAACTTATCAAGCAATTTTCTATTTTGTCTGATCTATTTGTCTGTGCTTAGATATTGATAAAGAGAACTATTGGGTGGTTGGATATGTATGTATCACATAATCATTAAGAGTGTAATGAAAGTGTTTATAATATGAACAATACAACCTGCCTAATCTGAGTATCACCAGGACAGGCCAAAAGTGCTCAGTTTAGCAGGCATTCACATTTCAAGGTTTTTTAATATGTGAGTCCAAGTGAATAGGGGATATGAAAATTGGGACTAATTCACATTGAGACGTGTTCAAATTGAGAGGTGTTTGAACATACATGTTTCACTGTATTTGTGTTTTATTTGTAGGGTTATGACAGTGTTTATGGAATGTCAGTCCTAATTGGAAAGCCATCACATGAAGATAGTGTAATAGGCCAGGTAAGGGTTAAATGAGATAATATGCTCCAAGTTATTTTCAATGTTTATCTGTAATCCTGTATACTCTTTTATTCCATAGTTAGCATGATATTCATAGGATAACATGTGAAAATAAAAACGGTATTTTTGTAATCAGTGGTAAAATATGATATTTTTGACAAATTTTCATTTAACCATAGCATACGACTTTTTAGCCATGACATACGACGCCGTATGCGATGGTTAATGGATTTTTGCTACTTCAGACTCAAAACGAGGCTTAATGTCAACATGGCCGAATCGTTTGGCAGATTCGAGTTAAATCATTTAATTTCGGACGATTCTGATGATTCAAATGATGAACACTCACAATCTTTGATAAGTGGACATTTACAAATCGGAGATAAAGACCCAGACGATCTGATAAGTGCACAGAGGAACAAAAACACTGTCAAAAAGACTCGTTATGATATAAAAATCTTGGAAAATTTTTTGAAAGTGAGAGGAGAAAACAGAGACATAAAAGACATTGAACCAGATGCACTGAATACATTACTAAGTATCTTTTTCACGAATGTGACCAAGAAAGATGGTAATGAGTATGAACCAACTAGCCTTAGAAGTCTATTTGCAAGCATATCGAGGTATCTTCAAGAATCTGGCTACCCACATAATATTTTGGAAGATGCACAATTCAAGAAAACAAGAGACACTTTAAAATCAAAACAGAAACAATTAAAATGTATTGGGAAAGGGAATCGACCTAATCGATCACGATCGCTTACTGAGGAAGAAGTTGAAAAACTATTCGAATCGATGGCATTTTCATTGGAAAATCCAGAATCACTATCAAATCTTGTTTGGTGGAATAATTGTGTACATTTCGGAATTCGACCAGGGCATGAAAGTCGAAATATACATTGGGGGGACCTCAGGTTGAAAACTTCCAATGGCAAAGAATACGTTGAATTTAAAGAACGACAAACCAAAACGAGAACAGGCGAAACTCCACGCAATATCAGAACGGTCCCACCAAAGATGTTTGCTACGAGTGGAGATCCTAATGACCCCAGAGACCCAGTCTCTGCCTTCAAGAAATATCAGAACATGCGGCCTTGTTCTATGAACTATGATGATGCTCCCTTCTACTTGGGCATTCGCAGAGGCAAGGATGAAGTCCCAGTGGGATCATGGTATCTTACACAACCTATGGGAGAAAACACCCTCATGCAAATAATGAAGAAATGTTGCACTAAAGGTAATTAAACAGTCTTAAATAATGAAATAAGTGTTTCCCAAGTATTTAATACAATGTTAATAGATATGTTCCTGTAGTTTTTACCACATAATTTTTTCTCAAAGTGTTCCAATCCACAAATTTGTCAAATCATGCCATTTTCATAATTTTTTCCCTTAAGCTCACAGAAATAAATTCATTTTGGCTACTGTATTTTCAAATGCTGGGGAGATCACAAGTTCATATTATTTCTATTGCTTGTATGCAAACTTGGCAGATTTATGTTCATACATTGTTGACACCTTTTTCATGTATAATTCCAGCTGGTATTAGTGCAGACAATGTAAGCAATCATTCCAGCAGGAAAACTCTCGTGAAAACACTGAAGAAAGGTGGAGTTTCAGATACTAATATACAACAGATGACGGGGCATAAAAACATACAGAGTATAACAAACTACCACGAACTGGACATTGAAGAACACAAGGATATAAGTCATACACTTAGTGCATACAAGCCAAATGGCAACAAGGAAAATCACAAAATAAATGAGGCTCAGTCATTGGAATGTGCTATATCAAGTATGTCTCAGTCTGGTAATCCCCTTCCAGCTATTTTCCAGAATAGTCATATATCTGGTGGGAACTTTAGCTTTAACATTACTCTTCCTTCATCTAGTACAGTTGAAAGTGTTTCAAAACATAAAATATTGAGAAGTGACTCATCACAGTCACGGTAACAAGGATTTTTGATATGTTATGTTTGAACATGACTATTGACTATAGACTGTTATATGACTGGTAAAATATTGATAAGTGACTAATCACAGTCACAATTACAATGATTATTGGCCATGATATGTGAACATGACTATTGACTGTTGGCTTTTTAATTAGACTGTTGTCTATTTACTGATCTATTTGTTTGTAAAATATTGTGTAAATATTGTTTGAAAGGCTAACTATTGTAATAAAAGTTTTAACTTGATATTTATGTATTGTTATTCCTTTTGATAATTAGAGGTGAAGAATATGACAAGTACTCTTTAACTATGGAATAAAAAGAACATCCTATGATTTACTCGTGATATGATTTTAATCCACTCATGGATATTGATATCTGCACTCTCTCGCTACGCTCGCTCGTGCAGATATCATATCCATTCGTGGATAAAAATCATATCACTCATAAATCATAGGATATCCTCTATGTATCTAATATACCTACTGAAGTGTAGTGAGGGAGCATGTTGGATATCTTTGTATTTTCCTACTTTTGCTGAAGTTCTGGACATTCAACTGTCTCCATTCTGTCCTGCTCCATTCAAAAATCAATTTTCACATGTATTCTAAATTAAAGAGAAATCAACAAATATGTTGTAGGTCCTGAGATCACAAGGTGCCATACCATATGTCCGAACCAACGTACCACAGACCATGATATCGTAAGGCACAATTACATAATTGATAATTCCATGGCAAACAGATAATGTGTACATATGTATAGTCAAACACATTCCAAATGTAGATTGTAGGCCGGTTTTAAAGTTGCTAGCAACTCTCATTAAAATATCAAGTTACATCCACACTTTAACATGGCACAGATAGTCAGGATTATTGAGTTTGAGCATTAGACTACATTGCTAAATACTTGATTTTGATTGGCTAATCTTGAGGACTTTTAAATTTGAAAAATGTTATCAGTGTTTTTAAATGTCCTATCACAATCCAACAAAATGATGAAGTTGAAATCTAACTGCAGAATATGAACTTAAAAACATTGAGAGATACACATAACAAAATTGGAACCAATACATCTTCTCAATCAATATGAAATGTGCGAAAATTGACAAGCTTTGTGAAAATATCGAAAATACAGTTATTTTGGCTGTTCCATTTGTCTGCCTCCTATTTATACCCCATGTCCATCTTTAAGACATTCAGATTAGCCTGTGTAAGTGGACGATTTTGATACTTCAAATCAGTTTTCCACTTGGGAGGTGTTCCACTTACAGAGGTTTATTTTACTTAAGTTAATGGGAAACTAGACTTCGAAAAGTGATCTGATTATGGGGGTTCCACTTTAAAGAGAGGTGTTCTTGTTTACAAGTTTTATCCACACAGACATTGAACAATTTGTGCATATATAGAGTCATAAACACATTCCAAATGTAGATTGCTGACTGTCTCTAAGACATGCCAATAATGTACTATTGCATTTTCTGATGAATTACAAATATCCTTTTTTATTCCCAGATGGGATTGTTCTAATCCTGTATTTGGAGCCACTAAGAATCCCCATGACACAACAAGGACTCCTGGAGGGTCATCTGGTGGTGAATGTGCACTGCTCGCTGGTCAAGGATCAATTCTTGGGTTTGGTAGTGATATAGGTGGCAGTCTACGCATCCCGTCTAACATGTGTGGGACGTACGGGTTCAAACCAACAGTTGGTAGACTTAGGTAAGCACTCTCATGAACAGTAAATGGCATGAATTGAAATTGATGTTATGTTGCCTTTTGATTGTATGGGTGGTATGTATGTTTGTTGAGGCTCTGTGATGTCACAATGCAAATGCCTCATCAGTATATCAGCAAAATTCTGTATATTTTACTTCTGCATGCTTGACACATAGTTTATGCATCTGACTTTTCATATGTTGTGATTCCAGTGCAAAGGGAACACATGGATGCACAAAAGGACAGCAAATAGGTATGTCTCTAATCCAGAATATACATCTACATGTGCATGGTGTATGGGGGATATTAATCAATGGGGGATCCAAAATTAATTATTACCATGTGTCTTTTTAAATGTGATAATATTAAGGACTTGAAGGAACGTCTGTGATACAGGTAATACATGTCCTCTATCCAGTATCAACCTTTAGTCTCGGTTTCATAGGATTATTTGCTGGTTTCTTTCAGTGAGAGCTGCCTATGGACCTTTAGCTAGAGATGTAGATGGCTTAGTTACTGCTATGAAAGCCCTGCTTGTGCCACTGATGTTTAAACTAGACCCCACAGTCAACCCTCTACCTTTCAGGACTGAGGTATGTAACCTTATCTATTGCAGCATGTTGCTCAATTTTATTTTTTTCCATCAATAAATTTCATTGTCTTACCAATCATTAAAGCAGATATGAAATGGTATTTTTAACCTAAAGGAATCAATATAATTTTTTGATAGATGTATTTGGACATGTTTTCTCATCAGTAGTGTGAAAACTATTTCACTCTAACGATCGTTATAGCTGCTTAATAAGCAATATTCGAATTGGTTGTGACGTTATTGGCCCCCACGTGATCTCTCACTGGTCCCCACGTGGCCCGTTTTGGTCCATTAGATCACGACGTCATAATGCCAAAATGTTTTGTTATTTGTTTATACAACAATCCTATGGTTGCCGTGACGTTGTGATTACTATGGAACCAATAAACCAAATCTAATATTTTGTATATGACGTTACTAATCACGTGGGGGCCAATTTGATTTATCAGTTAGTTTTATTTCGTTATCTATGACCGTTAGCGGTTATCTAACATTTACTTTACAATGGCTATCGCAAGAACTCTACGATGGGCTTACAATGGAAAAAACCGCATTCTTGTAGCTGCAAGTTGAGAAAAGCTATTTCAGTTGTCCTTTGAAGCAATAAATTTATAAAAGTACATATATATCAAATAACTACTAAACTGAAAATATATTTTCATATCAGGTGTTTGAAGATAATCGCAAGTTGAAAATTGGTTGGTATGACAATGATGGTTGGTTCACTCCACCCCCATGTATGCAAAGAGGAGTGGCCATAGCTAAGGCTAAACTAGAGGCCATGGGACATACAGTAAGGAAACATCATTTTAAGTCAACCTAAAAAATGTAGCTCAGCCATGAACTTGAAGAAATCATTTTAATGGCTCGACACAGTGCAATGTCCCTTATGTTGCATCGAGTTGAAGAAAATTTTAGACATTTATGTTTAATTATGATGTGCTCATCAAGTTAAAGGCAATAGTCAATTTACTTGCAGATAAGAGATTAGTATTGTAATGTACATTGACACAATTGATTTTTCGGCATTAAACATGTGTGTGTGTTGTACTTGAATGAGTTTGGGACTCATGATCAATTGAAAAGCATCTTTATCTGATAAATGTGTTTGTTTACAGTTGGTACCATGGAAACCACCCAATGCAACGCTGGGGGCTGAACTCTATGTGAGAGCCATGTTCTCTGATAAATGTGAGACAATCAACGAAATGCTGTGAGTAATTACAGATAATCACAATGTAAACTTACAATTTAGGTTGTTGTGTTTTTATTATTGTTTTTTATTCTATTAGTTATTTCTTATTTTCTTTATGATAGATTCCATTAACTATACCACCTAAAGAAGTTTGGGAGGGATATAGAAAAGCTGTCTGTCCCTCTGTTCATGCATCCATTCGTCCATCCATCTGTCTGGGCAATTACTCAAATACCAGTTGACAGATTTGATTCCAATTTTATAGGCGTATGCCTTATGGTGTAGGACCTCTGCTCAAGAAGGGATCTACAATATGGCCGTTAAATTCAAAATAGACACTATTTTTTGTAAAAATTAACTAATTCAGAAATACTAGTTCACTGATTCAATTCAAATTTTATATGCTGTTCCCTAGGGACAAAGGTACTTTACCCAAGAAGACATTTTCAAAATGGCCACCATTTTTTGCAAAAGAGCAATATCTTTGATAACCCAGATACTAATAGATGGATTTGGTTAAAATTTGATGCTTAGAAACAAAGGAGCTCTGCTCAAGAAAACATCTTCAAGCTGATTGCCTCTGAAATTTAAAACGTCATTTTTCACTAAAAGCGTGGGCTTTCAAAAATAAAACGTAATATTTGATAACTCAACTTTTTTATGCTGATGTCTACGGAACAAAGGAGATCTGCTTGAGAAGAAATTTTTAAGGTGACAGTTGAATTTCAATATGGCCACCAATTTTCAAAACTCAAATACCAGTAGATGGATTCAGTTCAAATTTTGTATTCTGATGCCTAGAGATAGAGGAGCTCTGCACAATTTATAGTGCAGAGTATTAGATATGATACCCTATATCCTAGGATATTCTCTCTATATTATGATATTATAGTTTGGTTAGGCAGAGAGTCAAAGAAAGATATAAATTGAAAATATTATAACATGTCATATAGAGACAACTATGACTCTGTAAATATGTTATTTCTATATTACCTGGCCATAATTGCAGGAGGTATGACACATTAGATGTTTGCTTCATGATCCAGTACACGATGGCCAACATCTACTGGCCATTACGTAGATTCCTAGTCTTCATACTACACTACCTTGTGAGTGGTTTACAGCTTTATTCTGCATTTAGAATGTACTGTAAACCTCATGATTGAAACCATTTGTTCAAAATGAAGGGGTTTACCATGATGTTTACATGAGTGTACAAAGAACAAAGGGGTTTATTTAGATGTTGAGCTCTATCTGAGTTATGCTTAATGGTTTCATTGAAAAGTAAAAGAAACTTGGTCCTCTGGCTTTTCACCTAAAGGAGCCCCTTTGTATGATGCTGGTGGACTTATTTCAAAGCTATATGGTTTTTAGTGAGACATTCTAACAACTCTTTGGTTGGAGCTTTACAATAACTCTCTTGTTTATTTTAGTGTTTCCGTAGCAACTATATCTTTTAATTATATTGTATTTAATGCATGTGTTTTTCACATACTAACAACGCATGATGGGTGACTACCTGCTGCTATATTTATATTGAATAACTGCTGTAACATTTAAATGCATGATGAGCAACTAACTCTTGTTACACTTACAGTGTATGATGGGAGACTAACTCCTGTTACATTTACAATGCATGATGGGTGAAAACTAACTCCTGTTACATTTACAATGCATGATGGGTGACTAACTCCTATTACATTTACAATGCATGATGGGTGACTAACTCCTGTTACATTTACAATGCATATTACTACATGCAGCTTGTGTTTCACCCAATATGCCTGCTCGTTGTTCTTTTAAGCCATTATGATGAAGTTGACAGCTGCTTTTGGACACCTTGGAAACTTGCCAACCTTGGCAAAACAGCTAGAAAACTTCTCGTCTTCCTTACTAAGTTCACTGTGAGTGCTTGTCTCTCCTAACATTATTTCTGCAATTTGTAACATTACTTAAACACTTTCTAATTCTGCTTCTGCAATTTTAAAAATCATTGAACTTATATTATTTCCACAATGTGTAATGACTTCTGTTTCTAGCATGGTTAGAGTTGACACACTATGACACAACGTAAATAACATTGACATATTATTGTAATTACATGCGGACTGGTGAATTGATATTAGCACAGTTGAAATTCATTTAGAAATAAGAAAAAGCAATGTTATTGGAGCTTTTCCAAATTGTACACCACTTGAGGAATCAAATACATTTTCGTAAATATTTCATTTAATTCTTGGTCTGATAGAACTTTTCAATTGTGAGATGTTTCTTAGAATTCATGGAAATCCCCTTGTTGCTGCAAACATAAAATATTCTTTTGTGATGTTTTGTAGATGCCGTCACTGTCTACAGGTCTGAAAGCTATAGCTGGCTGTGAGTAAGTACAGCTAAAAATGCCTCATGTAACATTTTAAAATAAGTGATTGAATTATTTTTGTCCCACAAGGGGGGTTCATTTGCTCCCCCTGAACTGATTTGACTGTACTTAAGTCACAGATTGGTTAAGACTTTTAAAAAGCTGTGATTTAGGTGAGTGAGTGAGACTTATGTTCTGTTTTCTTATTCCAGCTCTGCTTATGATTTCTGGAACCTTGCAGTTGCAGCTGAGGTGGGTAATATACAATTATAGCACAGAGTCAATATAAATACTCAATTGCAATTGGTCAATAAGGGTTTAGTAATCATAACTTTTAGCATTTAAAAATCAGGCCCTGAAAACTATAGAAAGTATGTCATAATGATGATCAACATAACTAATATAGGTTTGCCGTGTTGGGATATAATTTTAACAATTCACATTAACGGGGGTCAGTAAGATTTTTTATGAAGACTCAGTTTTCAAACTTAGTATTTTGTCCAGTTTCATCCAAGTTTATATATTCACATTTATTATGAAAATGCTTCTTCAGTTCATGTACAACACAAAATTATTGTAATTCTATAATTTATTGCTTACTATTTTGAATACATTTACCCACTTTAAAGTGTCTTCCATTGTTTATTGTAGGATTATCGTAAGATGGTAATAGAAGACTGGCAGTCACATGACCTGGATGCTGTAATATCACCAGGATTTGGTTGCCCAGCAATACCATTAAAAACCCCTGCCCTCGCGACAAGTAAGTATGAAATCACACCCTCACTCTCATATGATAGTAAAGTCTGTCTAATCCCAGTGCCAAAAGTGATGGATTAAAAGGTGTTCATACTTTAAGGTTTTTAGCAACAGAGTCTATGACAGATTAAAAGTACTCTTCAAAATGAGAGGTGCTCAGATTAGAGAGGTTGGCAGATATGCAGGTCTTATTGTACATATGCATGTGTTTCCTGTGTGGATTTGTTTTACCTTTGAACTTAAGATTCATCATTGTTATATAGCTGAGAGCCAACTAGAAAATTGATCAATGGCTTTTGCTTGATTAGCATTTGTCTTTACTCTTATCAATGATTGGTGTTGGAGAAATAAAAATGTCATCAGCAGATATAATAATAATGTTGTTATTTATTTTTAACTATTTAATAAAACCCCTTTCCAGGTGCAGTAAGCTATACCACTATATTCAACGTGCTCAATTTCCCCGCTGGCTCACTTCCTGTCACGAAGGTGAATGCAGCGGACACTGCCAACATGAAGGACTACCCAACTATTGATCTTGCTCATAAAACAGTGAAGAAGGTATGTGACTCTTATGTAGTATAGAATAAGATCAATGATAGGCCCTTATGGACCAGCTCACATATTCATGTATGATTTATTAATTAAGTCATATTGAAAACATATTTAGGCTGGGGACTTTTGTGTACGGATGGGTTGTGCTGCCAACACACCCATGCAAAGCTTTGACAAAGTGCAGTGTTGCAAGCTAGGGGGGTCTGGGAGCATGCCCTCTGGAAAAAATGTGAAATTTAGACCCTCTCCATTACATTCTGAGCGTATAGAGAACCATATTTATAATCATTATTCTACATAACAACTTTATTGTTTGTACTAACATTATTTTATGTATTCCCTAGCATTATTGTATATATTTAAAACATATGTATTTACGACACTATTGTTTGATTTGCAACATTATTATATGTATTTACAACAATGTTGTGTTTACAACACTTTGTATGTATTCCAGGGCATGGTTGGAGCAGAGGGCCTTTTGTCAATGTGCAGTGTATAACTCTTGATTGTATGTATTTACAACATTATTGTATGTATTCCAGGGCATGGTTGGAGCAGAGGGCCTTCCTGTAAATGTGCAGTGTATAACTCTTGATTGTATGTATTTACAACATTATTGTATGTATTCCAGGGCATGGTTGGAGCAGAGGGCCTTCCTGTAAATGTGCAGTGTATAACTCTTGATTGTATGTATTTACAACATTATTGTATGTATTCCAGGGCATGGTTGGAGCAGAGGGCCTTCCTGTCAATGTGCAGTGTATAACTATTGATTGTATGTATTTACAACATTATTGTATGTATTCCAGGGCATGATTGGAGCAGAGGGCCTTCCTGTAAATGTGCAGTATATAACTCTTGATTGTATGTATTTACAACATTATTGTATGTATTCCAGGGCATGATTGGAGCAGAGGGCCTTCCTGTAAATTTGCAGTATATAACTCTTGATTGTATGTATTTACAACATTATTGTATGTATTCCAGAGCATGGTTGGAGCAGAGGGCCTTCTTGTAAATGTGCAGTGTATAACTCTTGATTGTATGTATTTACAACATTATTGTAAGTATTCCAGGGCATGGTTGGAGCAGAGGGCCTTCCTGTAAATGTGCAGTGTATAACTCTTGATTGTATGTATTTACAACATTATTGTATGTATTCCAGGGCATGGTTGGAGCAGAGGGCCTTCCTGTCAATGTGCAGTGTATAACTCTTGATTGTATGTATTTACAACATTATTGTATGTATTCCAGGGCATGGTTGGAGCAGAGGGCCTTCCTGTCAATGTGCAGTGTATAACTCTACCTTGGCATGAGGAACAATGCTTAAGAGTGATGAAGGACCTTGAAACAGCTTTAAAAGCATAAACATTCCAGACACATCAGATACGCCATATGCACAGTATTTGACATTTATGATATATACACCATACACTCATATATAAAATGATATGATTCAAAATGTTTTAAAATGAGTAAATGGGAAATTGCAATATGTGTGTTTATTAGCAGTGCTAGATAACAATTACAATGTATATAATGAGGGGAATGATATTTCTTCAAGACTGTATTGGACCAATAAAAAACATAACATTGCAGTAGACTTCATAACAGTAAACCCTATTTAATTGGAGTATCTAATAGTACCTTACAAAAAGTGTCCAACTTTGGAGGTGTTCTCTGTAATTTTCCACTTCTTTCCATCATTTTTCACTTCCTTTCATAATTTTCCTTTTCAATATTTTTCATTTCTTTCCATTATTCTTCACTTCCATAATTTTTTAAATCTTTCCACATTTTCCACTTCTTTTTACAGAGATGGAAGACCAATCCATTCAATGGTGCTGTTTTATTTAAACCTCATGTTAATGTTTCATGTTATTTTACAATAATTATAAAAAGTTAGAAAACATAAATTATATGTTATGTATAGTGTACTAAAATGTATATTCTTATCTAGTTCTGTGAGGTTTACATGTAAAAATGTAAAAATTATTGTTACAACGATTGTTCAAATGAGTAGATCCCGCAATATAAAAAAATTGTTTTTGTGTTATGTAATTCATGTGTTTGATTGATAAAAGGCTTTGCTGTGGACTATGTTTTTGTATAAGTGCACATAGAAGAACACAGGGCTCCTCCAAGGAGGGATTTCAGGCTCTTTCGTCAATTGCTCATCAAAATATGTCAGTAATCAAAATACAATACAATAACATAGGACCCAGTATGTGTTTCATATGAAGATGTCAGGTTACAGCTCTGTACAATCCTCTACACAATTTTGAAGTTATATTTAAATATTTTTATATTCAAGTTGTATTTGTATATTAAGAACATATAATTTACTATTTACTTGATATATTAGTTAGGATTTTTACTCAATTGGATTAATGCACAATATTGTTTTTTGATTTTATAAATCAATTTTACTTGATAAAATATATTTCTATAAATGAATATTTTCAATTTTGTTATATTTTGTTCTTAGTGTCAAATATATTTGTGAAAGGGAGAGTGTACAAGGAGACAGTTGTAGAAAGCATCATTTTAGGGAGCATGTGAATTTCATTTTTGTTATGCACTTTATTTTAAACTTTATTTTTATATCTTTATTGATTTCCCTGCATGATATTTAGAAATCCGTTTTTAAATCCAAAAAACTAATGGATGTTGTGAGAATGTTAACAGTTGGGGAAAACAAAATTAGATATTGATGTCACTTAAAAATTAACACTTCACTTACAAAAATCCACATTTTCCCACCTCTAATGAATTAACCCTTGCTCTTCCATAATTGTTGACAAAGAAGGCTGTTACAACTTTGGAATCTTATTGAAGTCTCATTTAATGGAGATTTGCATTAGTGACAATTAAGGATTTATATTTTGTTTTATTTGATGTATTTGAAATTCCGAATGACTTTTTAAGGTTTCTGAAAAATGTTCTTTAAAAGTAATTTTCTCTTTTAAGGATCACAATTTTAAGGTGCAAATCACATCTCACCAAGATCATCAAATTGTGCACTAATAGAGTTATAATCCAAATGTAAATAGGTGATAAATCAAAGCATTAAGTATCTTTTGTCAGCTTCTCCATATAAAGGAATGTAATATTACCCCAACCAAAACTACAACTGCCAACTAAACAAAGTTCGGACACTCATAACTTTTTTGTTACATAATATTCTTATTTGAAGTTATATACACTGATTAGAAAATTCCTAAAGATAAAACTGTTGAAATATCAGCCTTTAATAATAAAAACTCTTAGTTTTATAATAATTAGTTCAGGACTTATGTGACAACCCTCATATTTATGCGTTTATATTGCAAGTTCTCTACTGGATTCTTCCCAGACCATTACAGTTTTTATCTCGACTTATTAATGGGTTAAACATGTAAAAGCTTGCATTCACCTTTAAGATAATATTACCTGTTTTGTACTTTCTTTTTGTGTAACAAAATGGGAATAGCACTTAAGGCCAGTGTTCTTAATTCCATCCATGTACAGTAAAATTATTAGAGCTTTGTTTTCAGAATTCCAGGTGTTATCTGTGCAATCTCAGATTACTAAAATAGGATTGCACTACTAACTTAATAGGATTATTGAAATGTTTGGAACTACAGAAATTAATAGGGAAAACCTCTGGATCAATAGAAAATAATAGGTGATTTGTCAGAAAATCAAAAATTTGGCCAAAAATCAAGGTATTCGACCTAAGAACTCCCCATGAATTGGACCTAAGATTGTCAAAATTACAAAGTGATATTCTGTTGAGCATATACAAACAAGAGGTAGACTGGTTTGTTTACATTTGTTTTATGAGATGAACATGAAATTGTTTGTAAGAATAAGAATCGAGTGAAGCTGATCAATTCAGATTACAAGACATTCGGATGTACCTTTATATTTCCATTATTCAACTTGTTTATCCCACTGTGATTTATTACACAAAAACACTTCAGTGTTGCTTTTTGATCAGACCTTTGTATGTCTAACTTCTGGGCTTTTGAGTACAACGTGTTGTTTACTTTGCTTTCAGCTACTGTGAAAGAAGTTGACTTAGCTTTTAGTCATTCATTGATTTGGTAGAATGGCAATATACGTTAAGCCTGCCTGTTCCTAGGTAACAATCCATTGTTAGTGACTGTCAATAACTTAATCTTATTTTAGCGTTTCTCTATATCCGGGAATCTAAGGAGAAAGTCTATGCTGCAGGATTAGTGTTATACATTAAATGGTGTAGGATTAATGATTATCTACCCTGGAGAGACACATTAGTAAGACACAGACACAATGTGTCGTTGGGGTTGTACAACAACTAATACAGTAAGCAACCAACTTGTGTATTTTTTTATACAGTGTTTATGTATATTTTATGTGCTCAAGATTTGAAGAAAATGGGAAATTTGGCATTTCAAGATTTTTATGCTTTGCTTTGTATTTGAAAGGGTGGAGCAATAAAATTATGTTGAAAATAATTTGAATTATCTTACAATATTATCCAAACAAGTTCTTGACTTTCGACATACTATTCGACGTACCAATGGCCACCAATGATATATTTTTCTATTGATTATCTTTGTATATTTATATGGTGTCTTAACATATGTATTTTACTTAAAATGTAATATTTTAGTTAACTTGTGACACAGAAATAAACTATTATTAAACTAAACTTTTATTTGGTCATTTTAAAATATATGAACTATTGAAAGCTAAGAGGTGTGCAATCAAATACATGAACTGTCAGTATTTTTCTAATACAGGATGTCACAGTTATAACAAAATTCTCAATTTGATGAAACCTTAGCATGGCCTTTTCTGATGCATAATCAGTGATTTGAAATCAAATCTTTTTTTCATAAAGTGGAGTATATGAATCAGAATGTGACCTTTTTGAATATAAGTCTCATTGACATTTTGAAATATGTTTTGTCATATGATCCTTTGATCGGTTTGAACTATACATAAAGCCATTTGAATTTGATATACATTTGTATGTTTCATCCCCATGGCAACGTAAAACATGAATTCATCTTCTATTCAATGTTGAAGGGATAATGACAACATTGTTGAAAATAGCTCCCATGGTACATCGCAATATACCAGTCTCTGTCATATAAATTGTCAGGCGGCAATTAGTCGAGAGAAACCCTGCATAATAACCATTTTATCCAATATTAAATGAGCCTTTCTATGTTATGCAATTCAGATTTCTCTTCAAGAAAACAACACTTCAATATTTATTTCTACGTGTGGGAAAGTGAACTTTGTTTCCATAATTAATGAAATAATAATTTGTTTTACATAAATCCATATTTGATATGTATTAAAGGGGCTAGTATTCTACATAACAATGACCTGAATTTCTACCCAGATTAGATGATGAGATTCTTTGAAGCATTCAAACTTAATTTAATGAACAGTGAAACCTGCATATCCAAACACCTCAATAATTCTACACAATGCTTTCTTCACTCCCATTTTAATATTCCAAAGACATCCATATTAAAAAAACATGAAATTTGAGCATCACCTAATTGAAATACTTTTGGCCCATCCCAGAGGCATTTGGATTAGACAGGTCTTTATATGTTTATGTGGTTTCAGACATACATGTGCAAGTGGTGTCTTAATATTGTATGTGGTTTCAGAGGTACATGTGCAAGTGGTGTCTTAATATTGTATGTGGTTTCAGAGGTACATGTGCAAGTGGTGTCTTAATATTGTATGTGGTTTCAGACATACATGTGCAAGTGGTGTGGAACCCGCTACTGCAGAGAGTGCCTGAGGGGAGACTTTGTGGGACACATGCAGGAATCAACCAAATGTAGAATGTGCAATCAGGTAAAAGTCTCGAACATAATTTACATATAAACTTGTGTACATCTGTATACAATGCAAATTTTCAAGAGAAAGCCAGTGTTAAATACAGCTAAGTGTCCCAACATATTTGGTTCTGTCCATCCGTCTATCCATTCTTCTGCCTGATAATCGCTTCAGAGAAACAGCTTCTTTATATCCTTCAAGACTTTACATGGAGGAAAACATATCATTTTTATTATTATTAAATGTTGTTTATGATTGGAAAACAATTGTGGTAAGCAATATAACAATATGGAGTAATTTGCCTTACCATACCTAGTCCTTTAAAGAGAAAACATGACCCCAATGCTGTTTTGTTTTAATATTAGTTAATACTTCCTATGATACCTCACAATATGTGTTTCATGACAGTATAATAAACATTAATTTATTTTTCAGAGACGCTGCCAGGGTGCGCGTGTTGAGTATGTGGTGCCCCCTAAACCATCCCCCGAGGAAAAGGGTAAAGGGCGAGGAAGAAGTGCAAGTCCGTCAAAGTCCGCAAGATCTGTCTCCAAAAGTGCCAAGAAAACTACTGGAAAGAAAAGTGCAACAAAAAAGAAAGGAAAGAAGAAAAAGAAATAACAAATTAGAAGAATTCATTTGCATCTGTATATATATTCACTAATCACATAGAAACATGCATTTGTGAAAGTAACAACACTGTCCGAAACAAACTTTTAAAGGAAGCGTAAATAATATATTTGCCTAGGATATTTACTTTGGACATTGTTTATTTATCACCCAATTTAAACAAATGTTTAACGATCAACAGGAGAGTTGTTGAAGGATTTTCATAAAACCAGTTGCACAATTGACGTAACTGGTCAAATGTACACAACAATGGTGTGCGTTGTTGAGGCTGAGCTGATACAGTAGGCTTACAATATTTGTCATTGTCAAAATTTTGTCTATACAAGCAAAGTTCATTGTTTATAATAGCCCCTCAATAAGCTTTGTAGCTAATGTGCCAGTGTTTGTATTAAGCTAATGGACTAGAAAACGCATTAAAATGCAGTGCCATATGAATGTAAAATGTACATGTAAATGTTAAGCTCTGATCGATTGTAATGTCGGTCTCTGTGTTAGTCTCATTTTGACTTCAATATTGTCAAATACTATAGTTTACCATGATCATAATTAAAGGAATTCGGGGCAATAGGGAAAAACAAAATATTGCTTCTGGGGCAAGATCAAATGACTTGGACATATTCTTTACCCAACCTATTTTGTAATTTAACAATCAACACCAGCATATGAGTATTTACTCTTACATACCATATTAAGCCGATATCGGACAAATTCATAAAAATATTGTTTTGATCGATAAGATTATAAATCGATTATAAATCCGTAGTTGTGCTCTCGCAGGTCGCCGCGGAAATATTTCAATTATTTTAAATTTTGCCTTGGATTCAATTTTAAAAATAATCTTCAAATGCTTACTATGATTTCTATTTGACATGTTTGAAGTGTTTTGACTTCCCTGATTCATTAATAAAAAGAACATTATCACCAACCATTTACTCGTCTCCAAAATTCACTTCCGGTTCATCGTAATAAAGATGAGCTGAAAGTTGCCATGGACATCTTTCGATCTTCAGTCTAAATATTGCTTTTAAAGGTTAAATAGACAACTTTGAATGGACTTTCATGCATATTATAGTGTGAAAATAGAATCACCAAAGAAGGTTTTAAACCATGAAATCGACTCTAAAGCCAGAAGAAATTTCTTTTGAACCATTTTATTGGCTCTGAAGTGTGCCTTTTTAAAAGTAGACTAATTAAAATGAATGTCTAATTTTATTATATGTATTAAGTCAGTTTAAAATATTTTATAAAATACGATACAAATAACATTTTTGAACATAATCACTGTATAGCCTTGCCCAAGTTTGTCTCTTTTACTTATCTCATCTCAATTTCTATTATGACAACAGTAATCTTTCAAGATGAGATAAGTAAAAAATACAGACTTGAGCAAGGCTAATCAATGTATTGAATTTGAAATGTATCAATTTTATTCCATATCTCTATACGTGAAATGTAACTTTTGATACTTGGGATATTTATTTTGTCCAATGTACCTTTATATTTCCCCTCCATTCCTTTATAATAAAGGACTGACAATTTCGCACTTTCTCAAAGTGTGATAAAAATAGTAAGATTCTCACTCAGCCATTTGAAAGTGGACAGCCAATATAAATGTTCAATCATCTAAATACATACATTTATAATGTAAACATGAATAAACATAAATTAGTTATATTTTCATATGAATTTATTGTTTTGTTTCTTAACACATAACATTATTACTATAATAACAAATATAAGTTGAGCGATTGACATAAAGCCTAGATGTGGACAAACAATATCAGGTGACAACATGATGAGAAACTGCAACAATTGCCTTGACGATTATTGACAACATGATGAGAAACTGCAACAATTGCCTTGACGATTATTGACAACATATTTTAAACATTGAGACATTGGAACAACGTAAAAAACAAACAAATGAAACAATGAGACAGAACTATTACACTGAGCCCATAGAAAGTATTGCTATACGTCAAAATTGATTAAATTGTCAAAAAGTTGATGTTCAGAGATATTGACCTTTCATGACATATGTATTATTTACTTTAAAATATTTGGTTATACCAATTAAATTATGACAACAAAATAAATAATAAACAATATATAATAGTTGATGTGTAATTTTTGCACTTGAATGGTACTTCTATTCATTATTTATTATCCAATGAGATTCACTGAATCTGGCCACATGATGACTGATTGTGTACGTTTGCCTGCCAAATAGGAACCCAAACAGGATTGCTGTCATTTAGATCAGTGATGGTCCTTCCATTGACGATTTCTGCACCAAATTCAAGATTCAATGACTTCAGATGGATTGTCAGTCTTTGAATCAGCTTCAGGTGTTACTTCATTAGAGTCTTTTATGTTTTCAGGGTCCTTTTCTGCCATCTGAATATTTTTGATCTGCTTGGATTTAGCTGTAAATAGGGCAGACAAAAATGAAAGAATATTTTGAACTTCAGCAAGAATCATGTTATTACAATGTAATAAATATACGAGGGGTTATCATAAAGTTCTCATAATACCTCTGTAGCTTTTCATTTTTTAATCAACGGGGGCGAAAAGATCGAAATGCTTGAAATGGTTGAAATGTAAGAGAATTTTAAAACAGCTTAGGCGAATTGATTGAAATGTTTGAAAAGGCGAAACAGGCGAAAGCATGAAATAGTAATTTTATAATTAACCCTGCAACTTATTATGTTAAACAAAGTCGCCTTTTTGGAAATTTTCTTTTTACATATATTATTGTATTAAATAAAACATGATAAATAAAAATAAAAAAAAATGAAATAGTAATTTTATTTTTCGAGTCGTATTGATTGAAATGATTGAAACTGTTGAAAAGTCCGGGCGAAATGCCTGAAACGAAAAATGGGCATGTTAGTTTTTCTTTTCAATCGTTTTGCCCGTTTCTACATGAATTGGCCGTATGATTGAAATGCTTGAAAAGGCGACAGGCAAATCGATTGAAACGATTGCAATGCTCGAAATTATGCAAGCATTGAAACGTAGGAAAAGATGCAAGCATTGTAACAATTGAACTGATTGAAACAATTGAAACGAGTGAAAATTTATTTATAGTGTATACAGAGCTTAACCAAATAAGGAAATGTCATATTTTTAATAACTTGAAACCACTATATGGGGAAGATATCTACAAATGCAAGTACCTTTTCTGGTATGATCTAGCAGTCTGGGACTTTAGTGTTTCCAGCCTTCAAACAGAAACTTTGAGGAATGCATTTAGAGAGCAGTGAGATCATAATAAGTGCTGTACATTCTGCATGCATGTAGATGTCTTCCAGGACCAATGGACGTTTACATTCATTTGTTCAATGGGAAGAAAGGTGACATAAGTGTATACTCATAAATGGAAACTAATAAGAGAGGATGTCTTATCCGAACCCTTGATTTTTGGATCGTTAGATAGATAGAGAGGTAAGTGTATAATACAATATATGTGGAAATATAAATGAAAATTGTTTTGATTTGATTGTTTTACAGACATATTATGAGAACTTTATGATAACCTCTCGTATACAATGATGGAAACTCGTTTACATTATCTGATACATGTCACAATGATAAAGCTTTGCAAAGCATCATTTTATTGGTTCTAGTGCCATGCTCACCAAGTCACAAACTATTGCCATTTCCCATTGGTCAATGAGAGTGAAACATGTACATGTTGTGGCATCAATGGTGATTAGGTAAACAGTTATATTCACACTCAACTGACACTTTCACTGCAGGACATTACACCAGTTACATTCTTACAACTGATTAGTCTGACAGCATATAAACAGTAAACACCTCAACTTTTATCATGGAGATAAAAAGAGTAGCTTACTATAGAATACTTTGTTCAAACCCCAGGAGTAGCAGCAAAACTATATCACATGGACAAACAAACGAGCAGTTCTGGCTAAAATGTTCCATGATGATTTCAACACTTACCAATTTCTTGCTCCCGCTTCTCTCTTTCCATCCTCTCCTCTTCTTGTTTTGTGTACTTTTTCTGCACCTCTGTAAAATATTAGAAATCAATGTGGTTGTTATGGGGAGGTAACATGATGTTTAGAGAGGCAATGGTTTGTTGGGGCCATGTGATGTTTGGCGATGTCAGGTGATGTTTGGTGGTTATGCAATGTTAAGTCATTTTGTTTGGGGAGGTCATTTGATGATCGATGAGGTCTTGTGATGTTTGCTGAGGTCATGTGTTGTTAATTGAGGCCATATGATATTTGGTGAGGTAATGTGATGTCATGTGTTAATGTCATGGTAATGTGATACTTGATGAGGTCATGTGATGTAAGAATTATGCCGAACCACATGTCATTACTTTTTTAAAATATATTGCTTAACATTAAATTACAGATAAGTTGTCAAATATTTCTTAAAATATCTTATTACCACCCAGCCCATACTAGTCCATTAAACTAAATTTCTACTTTACCTCCTAAATGTTTGCAGAACTTTTTATGTGTGAACCACTGCAGTTTTTGACACTCAGCATTACAATAGTGGACCTGTAAAAATACAATAATGATCATACTATACAATGATAATACAATAATTGCCTTAGAAATGCAAAAGATGCCTTGCATAAAAAAATATGCAAAATCAAATACATACGTAAAACTGTGTTATACTAAATTCTTTCGATTGGTTGCCCAATTGAATTGAGTATGTAGGTATATGGAGAATAGGCTCCTGGAAGAGCCAACTGAGGGGGAATAGAGTTATCTGTGGGGGTCATGATGACATGGACACATGCAAGTTCTCTCAAAATTTGTAGCTTAGCCTCTAACAACTAAATTGCACATTGTACTTACATATTTACAGGCAGAACATTTCTTCTCCGCATGAGGCTCTCCGCATGTATCACAGGCTGTGTCTTCAGTAGGGGCATATTGCTGGCCATTCACAGCAGACATGAGGATACTGAATCCTGTAGGGTTACCTCCCTGCAAAAACAGAGCGACATCTTTTAAAGTTAGTGAGGAATATATTTCAAAAAGCAGTGGGTGATAACGCCTATTATTGTATTGTATTTTGTTTACCACCAATGAAGGTGAGCAATACCTCTTGGGTATGTCCCGTATATATACAGTCGTAATTTACGTAATTAACATAAAAGATAGACCCAGAAAACCCCTCCTTGAAGGAGCCCTGTGTTCTTTTATGTGCACTTATACATAGACATACAAGTACACACCACAGCCTTTTGTACGAGTTGCGGACCACTCAGTAAAACACCCTGAAGTACTTCACGCAAACAAGCAAATTTAGTCTTGCCTGAACTGGGGATAGAATCCGGGACCTATTGCGTAAGAGGTACCTGTTCTACCGCTGAGCTACACGGGTGGACATATTATAAATAATTTTTATGTTATATACTTATTTGATAATCATGCCTCCTTTTTATCTGGTTCATTACATCAATTTTAATGCCTATGGCAACCAATTTTTGCACTTAGCAGTAGCCTTGGAAAACTGGTTGCCTATTGGGCTGAATGCCCTTCAATGTTAAATTGTTGCAATTATGTTTTTAAACTAATGCCTCAGTCACATTTGATCTACAGCAAATGTATGGCGGCAACAGCTTCCCAAAATCGAGAGAAATGTGCAGCATAAAATATAGGGATGGGGGATATAGATTATACCGTTTTTGTGTAGCTGGGCTACCATAGAGCAAATGTAACTGCGGCTTTAGAATTCAAATTCAAGGTGTAATAAGGGTATTTTACAGATTTTTCAAGTTTGAGATTCACATTGACTCATGACATTATAAACATCCATGCTCTTGTACAAATCTGGTTGCTCATAAAATGCTTCATGTCATTTACAGTAATATATGAACTTACCACAGGAACTGCTGCAAGGTTTCGCACCATTGTCTGAAGCAATTCTGACTGAGTATATGGAAAATCCCGCATTGTTGATCTAATAAACTTTTCCATATACTCATTACACATATCTCCTTCCCGACAGCGTATTAAACTGAAAAATAAAAATAATAGCAGAATGAGTTTATATGAGGAGTTGTTAAATAATAGCAGAATGAGTTCATATGAGGAGTTGTGTTAAATAATAGCAGAATGAGTTCATATGAGGAGTTGTTTTAAATAATGGCAGAATGAGTTCATATGAGGAGTTGTTTTAAATAATAGCAGAATGAGTTCATATGAGGAGTTGTTTTAAATAATAGCAGAATGAGTTCATATGAGGAGTTATTTTAAATAATAGCAGAATGAGTTCATATGAGGAGTTGTTTTAAATAATAGCAGAATGAGTTCATATGAGGAGTTGTTTTAAATAATAGCAGAATGAGTTCATATGAGGAGTTGTTTTAAATAATAGCAGAATGAGTTCATATGAGGAGTTATTTTAAATAATAGCAGAATGAGTTCATATGAGGAGTTGTTTTAAATAATAGCAGAATGAGTTCATATGAGGAGTTACTTTAAATAAAATGTACAAATTACATTTCAACAAACAAATATTTAAACCAATTTGAATTTCAAGAACGGCTAATTTGACCCTGGTTGAATATTGTACAGAATTCGAAAGTGACACAATCAATATTCTATGACAAAGAAACAATATGTATATATAAAAAATTAATTGATTTAAACATAATTTACCTTTTAATCCAAGTATCCAGATTTGTATCTCCCCTTTCAGTTCTTGCCTTGTCACACTGTCGAATGACGCATGCCAGATAATGGGACTTGATGGCCATCACATCATTGGTGTCAGCAGCCTTCATACTCTTTTCACACAAAAGGTCTAGCACTTTAGCAATCTTATAAGCCTCATCAAGTAGTACAGGGGTTTGCTTCAGGTATCTAGATATCTAATAAAAAGATGGGGAGAGAAATTTACTAATCTTTTATTCTTCATTAATCTACATGTACGTCTATTTGCTTCTAGATTAGGATTTCATTTGAACAAACAACTACATTTTGTACAAGTTAACTGAAACCTTATATGATGAAACCATAATTGGATATAATGAGAAAAGAAAAAGGCACTTTCAAAGCCATTGAATATCTAATCGCACAACTCTCCCTCTGACTACGAGAGATGACAATCTTCAAATGGAGCTCTTTAGGTCTTTGATCAGCCATTAGAGCAAGCTAAGTGGATTAATAAACTAATTCAGAGAGAATTGCTTACATGTACAGGATGCAGATTGGTGAATAGCATCATCTTGTGAAGCAAAGGAGCTAAATGCGGTGGCAGGCGAGGCTCTTTATCAAGACCTGAACATCAGAAAAATGCAAATATAGATTATTATTCATTTTCAATAAACATATACTTAATACAATGTGAAATCTTCTCTAAGACAAATCAGAGAACAGTTTATGATATCACAATATAGAGACTATTTTCAGGAGTAATGTGCAATATTCTCTTTATCCATGATATATTCAAAGTTCCAAACCTATCTAAATAAAAACCATAATATAGACAAGGCATTACCATGACAAAATGTCACCTGGTTGCAATTTGTGAGGGTGACATACCTTGTATTCTAATGTTTTCAAAACTATTCCAAACCCTTTTTATAAACAACCACATACACAAGGCAATAAATTCAGATGACCTACCTTGTATTTTAATGTATGGCTCAAGATAATCAATAGGGAAATAGTTGTTGATTGTTGCTACAACATGATGTTGACCTGTTAAATACAAATGTACATGAAATTAATGATTATTAACTAAAATTTGGTATGGGTTATTCAAGAGACATCTAGAACAATGCATTGTGTTTATAATAACAACAGGAAGCCAATGATGAGCACAATAGAATGATATAATTCTTCTACAAATGTTTTGACCTTGGATTGAATGCTATTATATAAGACATGTACTTAGGAACCTGTCTTAGATTCAACATTCTGTATATGTTTGCCTTCCAATGACCTTGATTCAAACATTGTACATTTGACTATAATTTACTTCTATTCCATTCTATGTGAACAGACAGTACATAATTTCCTACCAGTAAAACCAGCCATCTGGGCAGCTGTTCTTCCAACTGAGTTCTTTGTTTTTGTGTCAGCTCCAGCTATCAATAGGGCCTTCACTACATCAGCATTGCCTGAAATATAGCAATCGACAATAGGACCTTCACTACATCAGCATTGCCTGAAATATAGCAATCAACATTAAGGCCTTCACTACATCAGCATTGCCTGAAATATAGCAATCGACAATAGGACCTTCACTACATCAGCATTGCCTGAAATATAGCAATCAACATTAAGGCCTTCACTACACCAGCATTGCCTGAAATATAGCAATCAACAATAGGGCCTTCACTACACCAGCATTGCCTGAAATATAGCAATCAACAATAGGGCCTTCACTACATCAGCATTGCCTGAAATATAGCAATCAACAATAGGGCCTTCACTACACCAGCATTGCCTGAAATATAGCAATCAACAATAGGGCCTTCACTACACCAGCATTGCCTGAAATATAGCAATCAACATTAAGGCCTTCACTACATCAGCATTGCCTGAAATATAGCAATCAACAATAAGGCCTTCACTACATCAGCATTGCCTGAAATATAGCAATCGACAATAGGGCCTTCACTACACCAGCATTGCCTGAAATATAGCAATCAACAATAGGGCCTTCACTACACCAGCATTGCCTGAAATATAGCAATCAACATTAAGGCCTTCACTACATCAGCATTGCCTAAAATATAGCAATCAACAATAAGGCCTTCACTACATCAGCATTGCCTGAAATATAGCAATCAACAATAGGGCCTTCACTACACCAGCATTGCCTGAAATATAGCAATCAACAATAGGGCCTTCACTACATCAGCATTGCCTGAAATATAGCAATCAACAATAGGGCCTTCACTACATCAGCATTGCCTGAAATATAGCAATCAACAATAGGGCCTTCACTACACCAGCATTGCCTGAAATATAGCAATCAACAATAGGGCCTTCACTACATCAGCATTGCCTGAAATATAGCAATCAACAATAGGGCCTTCACTACACGAGCATTGCCTGAAATATAGCAATCAACAATAGGGCCTTCACTACATCAGCATTGCCTGAAATATAGCAATCAACAATAGGGCCTTCACTACATCAGCATTGCCTGAAATATAGCAATCAACAATAGGGCCTTCACTACATCAGCATTGCCTGAAATATAGCAATCAACAATAGGGCCTTCACTACACCAGCATTGCCTGAAATATAGCAATCAACAATAGGGCCTTCACTACACCAGCATTGCCTGAAATATAGCAATCAACAATAGGGCCTGCACTACATCAGCATTGCCTGAAATATAGCAATCAACAATAGGGCCTTCACTACACCAGCATTGCCTGAAATATAGCAATCAACAATAGGGCCTGCACTACATCAGCATTGCCTGAAATATAGCAATCAACAATAGGGCCTTCACTACATCAGCATTGCCTGAAATATAGCAATCAACAATAGGGCCTTCACTACATCAGCTTTGCCTGAAATATAGCAATCAACAATAGGGCCTTCACTACACCAGCATTGCCTGAAATATAGCAATCAACAATAGGGCCTTCACTACATCAGCATTGCCTGAAATATAGCAATCAACAATAGGGCCTTCACTACATCAGCATTGCCTGAAATATAGCAATCAACAATAGGACCTTCACTACATCAGCATTGCCTAAAATATAGCAATCAACAATAAGGCCTTCACTACACCAGATTTGCCTGAAATATAGCAATCAACAATAGGGCCTTCACTACATCAGCATTGCCTGAAATATAGCAATCAACAATAGGACCTTCACTACATCAGCATTGCCTAAAATATAGCAATCAACATTAAGGCCTTCACTACACCAGATTTGCCTGAAATATAGCAATCAACAATAGGGCCTTCACTACATCAGCATTGCCTGAAATATAGCAATCAACAATAAGGCCTTCACTACACCAGCATTGCCTGAAATATAGCAATCAACAATAGGGCCTTCACTACACCAGCATTGCCTGAAATATAGCAATCAACAATAAGGCCTTCACTACACCAGCATTGCCTGAAATATAGCAATCAACAATAGGGCCTTCACTACACCAGATTTGCCTGAAATATAGCAATCAACAATAGGGCCTTCACTACATCAGCATTGCCTGAAATATAGCAATCAACAATAGGGCCTTCACTACACCAGATTTGCCTGAAATATAGCAATCAACAATAGGGCCTTCACTACATCAGCATTGCCTGAAATATAGCAATCAACAATAGGGCCTTCACTACACCAGATTTGCCTGAAATATAGCAATCAACAATAGGGCCTTCACTACATCAGCATTGCCTGAAATATAGCAATCAACAATAGGGCCTTCACTACACCAGATTTGCCTGAAATATAGCAATCAACAATAGGGCCTTCACTACATCAGCATTGCCTGAAATATAGCAATCAACAATAGGGCCTTCCCTACACCAACTTTGCCTGAAATATAGCAATCAACAATAGGGCCTTCACTACACCAACTTTGCCTGAAATATAGCAATCAACAATAGGGCCTTCACTACATCAGCATTTCAAATATCATAAAACATGTCTAATCTGAATGCCTCTGGGACAAGCAGATCAACACATTTCAGGGTTTTGTAACATGAAAGTCAATGAGACATAACAAATTTAGGACAGAAAAAAGTGAAACATGTTTGAATTAAAGAGGTGTTTAGACATGATATGATTCTTTATTTCCTCCAATTTGGAGAGCAAATTAATACAAATTAATTAAATAACAATATGTACATTAAATACAATATATGGCGAATTGAGTAAAGTAAGGTGACATTTGCTTACGATGTGAATTCCTAAACATAGCGTTGATCTGATTGGCACAAAAGTTTATAAATTCTTGTCACTTCGCAAAATCGTAATTTTGTAAAACATTTGTGCGACTACCCAATAAACATTCTACTAAGACATCATCATCAGAGTTTAGGATATTAATTGAGTCTTCAACAGGTAAAAGGTTAACAATCTTCAAAAAATGTATCTCTTGTTGCACTTAAAGATGAGAATTCTAAAATGAAGTGTTTGACAATGTCGTTTGTTGTTTTGGTACAGGCTAGGCAGAATACTGTTCTTCTTCAGTAGAAAGTACAATAAGATATAATAATTGGGCATATTCCCATAATCTGGAGGGATCCAACAGGCTTCACAACAATAAAGCCGTTACTACGCCAGTAATTTACACAGAACAAACAACTTCTCTGGTGCTTTTGTATTCCTGGGAACTTTAAAATGATATTCAGATGTGTTTCTTTTCTGATTTACTCTACAAAGTGAAAGTGATGGTCTTAGGTATACAAGCATAAGAGCACTGTATAGAGCAATGTACAGTTTTCATACCTGAGAGAGCCCCAAATGTCAAAGTGCTGTATTGGTTGTCATGGTAGTTACTGTTGACATCAGCACCCTGGGACAACAGAAGTTCAACCAGGTCAAGGCGACCTTTGAATGCTGCATGTTGCAACATTGTCATGCCACTCTGAAAGTAAAATATAAAATCAACCAATCAGTGTTCAACAAAATATGTTCAACTTCAGGAAATTTCCAGTTTCCATTACAGGCCCACACATGATGATAGAAGTGGAGTTAAATTAATGTGTGGCATTAGACATGGGCAGGCCTAAGAAGATATCTGGGGAATAGCAATGATCTTAATTTTGGCCTGGCACATTTTATTTGGAGATGCAAATTTGAATTGCAAGCAAAATAACACTGTTATGTTACTTCATTTTCAAAATTTCAATTGAAAAAATGTCTGAATCAATATTTTCTTCTGAAAATTTTGGTGAGGCTTGGCATTGCTCATGCTCAAATGCTTAGCCGTGGAAATATCATTTTTTGTATCTGAATTCACTTACCTCATCAATGCAATCAACCCGCACCTTGGGTTCTCCTAAGAGTCTCTTTACCTCAGATACATTTCCTGAAACAGTAGACATGCAATAAAATGAATTATTGAAGTGCAGTAAAACCCACTAAAGAGCAATAAGACATTAATGGAGTTAAAAAGAAAAATATTTTCACTGGACAACACTGGACTTTTTATTTGACTTCCTGGTTGGGCCTCACTGACAAGAGTTGAGATTGACCATCCTTAACTGATAGGGTCTGAAGTAGTGTTGTCGCGATTAATCGATACATCGCGATATACATCACCAAAGCTGATTCTGGCGATGCATCGATGTCTGAAACAAAACATCGATGTTTTTAAAAAAAATTAATTTGCTAAAAATCACCCTTTCTTATCTTATTTTGACGCAAATCGCTTACCTTTCTCATATCTTATTTCATTTTCCAATGTTTTCTGATATTCTTTCGCTTTAAAACTGTTTTAGCTAGTCGAAATGAACCATTAATCTAAAAAAATTACTTTAATTTCATTTCACCTTTACTAGAAGTCATCGGATGTACCCGATGTTCGGTATTTTAGTGCATTAGCGTTCGGTATTTCAGTTCACTTTTCTCGGACTTTTTCTCGATGTACATCGCGATGTGCATCGATGTTTACTACTGAAAATTGCCGATGCATCGATGTACGATTATGGCACATCGCGACAACACTAGTCTGAAGAAAGAATAAACATTTCAACTCTTTTTATCTCATCAGCATAAGATCATTTGACAATCTGTAGTTTTTTTAAATGGCTTTCCATTGAAATTAGATGAAAACACATGGATGGGAGTCAACATTCTTCAAAAACTTACAAGACTAATAAATAATATTACCAGGATTGGAATCAGGAATTTGAAAAATGAAGTTACCTTTTTTATTTCCTGATTCTTGCCTTAATTAGCTCACTTCGGATAAAACTGTCTCTCACCAGTCGACAAAAAATAGTGAAATTTATGTTTAGTTTATAATTTAGGGTGATGGGTTACTATAAGACTCTTGCTTAATACAGCGGTATAAGATCCAGTCTCCAAGATGAGCTAATTAGGCGAGAATCTGGAAATAAAATAAAAATGGTTAACTTCATTTTTTGAATGCTTCGTGTTTCCAATCCTCAGCTTAGATTAATGTCTGAGTTTCGAAAGAATGTTGGCTCCATCCATGCAAAAATAGATAAAACTTATATCAATGATACAAATGTGGGGGTGTTTTGCCTTTTTCTTATTTCTGACATTTAGTGGCCTTTATTGATAGCAAAACTCCCCCACAAATGTTAGCCATTCAAAACCTTGTAGTTGGACAAAATGGTGCACAATTCCAAGAACTAGATATAAATGCTGAATAATTGCACTGTTTCCAGTAATCAATCATTAATTACATTGGGAAATTTTTTTTAAAAGAAAACAAGAGAATTGTAATTATGAAAATGCTGATGTAAGACCTGATTTTCATCTTCAATTCATCAAGGTATGCAACTAAACCAAAATGATGGACAATAGGAAAAATTTCAAGACCAATGCTGAAAAAGGCAGATATGAAACATCATTTCCAGTAATCAATCTCTCTGAAAAAAGGCAGATATGAAGTATCGTTTCCAGTAATCAATCTCTTTTACATTGGTAAAAGTGTTTTCTCAGAGAAAACAAGAGAATAGGTAAGGAAACTGCTGACTTAGTCCTGATTTTCATCTTCAATTCATCAAGGTATCCAACTACACAGTTTGGAATAGGTTTCAACTGTGAAAAAAGCAAACCGAACCCACATTTATGAGGGTAGACGGAATTATTGAGATGATAAAATTACTGTACCATGAAATAAATTCATGCATGCATATTTTTGTCTAGCAACACTGGGCAATGCCGGACCCTATCGGACAAAAGGCAGACCATCGAGCGAAGCCAGACAAGCCGCAATGTCCGATTGGTGTGTACTTGTATAGATCTAGTGTTATTACATCCTCTGAACGCAGGGTTCCAGACATCATCCACAAAGTTCCTTCCTTCTTCCAAGAAGGAGTTACGAGTTCTGGAGGCATGTGTCCGGAGGATGTGTGTATTACGACTGGACTTACTTCCTGCGAAAGCTATTTGGATTTTGATAAGTTTCAAAATCTAACATGGCTCTCGAAGTGAGTAAGACTGGACAAGTTCCTTTGAACAATGACAATGAGTGTTATAAAGACAGTAATATGCCCGTTCTAACATAAATATAAAACAAATTGGAAAACAGAACAGGGTGGAAAACCTCCAACATAACCAAAACTTTCTGCTTGATTGAGGCTACTCTACTGTGGGCTATTGATTGAATTTTCACTGAAAATTTTAAAAGAAAAATGGAAGATTATGGAAACACCAACTTTGACCAGCATTTTCATCCCACATTTGTGAGAATCTTAGGGAGATAATAATCCCCATGTGAAACAATCAAATGGTTTATACATTTCTTCGTATTAAAACAATACAAACCCTCTTGAACTCTGTCGAAGAGCAACTTTTCGACATCGCTGCAGTCACCCGGCTTCATGTTTGTTGATCTTGTAGTAGTCTCATTAAATGTGAATATCGATCATTGATTTTTCTTGTAGACTATTTCAAATATATATATAGATTATATACACATTATATTTTTAGATCATGGCCATACAACTCAATTAGATCATATTCCAGTTTCAACATCAAATACTGATTTACAGATAAAATTCTTCTTGAGACTATTCTTGACTATTTGAGACTATTTTGGATGATTCCATTTATCTCAAGGGTACTTCAATTTTTATGCATTACAATTATACAGATTATGAATACTGTGTGTATCAATATTACTAAATTATAATATTTTCCTCCTACTAAATTATTTCTTAATGAGAATATATACCAAATGTTTAAAAGCAACCAGTAATTTAAGATACATTAATCGTGAACACCCCTTCTTTCAACCTTGTGTTGTTGATGGAGGCCGCCATATTGGAAGCAGGTTTCTCAAATCTTCAAATTTGAATGTTTTGTGTGTTTTCTAAGTGGCACATGCGAAATCAAGTGCAGTAACAACTGGTGAGTTTCTTTGTTAATAGTTCCATCGTATCAAATCGTTTTATTTCGATTTAGAGTTAAGCTGCATCAGAAACATTAGTTTCTGTTGCAAAAATTAGGTCTCAGTTCTGAGTCAAGACTCAGTGTCTCACTTTTGACTTCCTGGGCTTTCAAGAGAAGCTTTCACTTGGGAGCCCATGGTTAGTTGTATCGTTTAAATACAAGTCTCCATGTCTTCATTATTTGCTTTCACCCCAAGATTCAATCCAACACGAAAAAGTACTGCAAAAGTGCAAATGCAATCTGTGCCAGGTTCGATTCGGTTTTGTTTTATTTTCATCGTCAGTATGTAAGACCAGTGTGCATTCTATGCGAAAGACTAGTGATCCAAATTAGTGGTCATTACAGACAAAGGTACAAGTTTGACCGCATATACCTGAATCAGATTCCCAGGGCACACCAGAATAGCCTGATAACTGTAAAGTCAGATACCGTTGTCACAAATGGCAGACATAACCGTCGCTTCAATTAGATTTTCGTGAACTGTATGTTTAAAAGAGCACAAGATTCGAAAGTTAGAACTGTAAAAAGTAAGAATGTTTAAATTAACGGGTGTTTATTGTTATGAGAATCGGACTTCACTCGTGTCGTGTCTGACTATCAACTGCGTTTATTCCATAGATTGTGACGTAATACATTTGTACAATTATGACGTAACATACAGCATCTAATAAACATAATAAGACATTATGACATTTATGGCGTACAATGTGATTTGGGGAAAAAATACATGGAAAAGAAGTTCAGTCTGCATTTTTTCAAAATGTAGTAGCACTTTTCACTACCATTCCTAGCATTAATCCAAATAAATGCCCTCTGCCCAGTGACTGAAACATCCAAGAAAAGGATGTATATGCATCAAAATTGTTAAAACAACTTGTAATGTATTAGTTGATTAATGCCATTCATGAATAATGAACAAATACTTTTTGTAAGATTATTATAGAAATCATGTCGTATAACAGCACCCATTTCAGTACAGTTAATTTCAATTACCTAAATGCGAGTAGGTAGTTACCAGTTTCACCACCAGATGGCTGATTCGGGTCAATTAACATGGCAGGTATATAAGAAAGTTCCCTTTAGCTTGAATATTATCAATTTAAGTGGCTCAATTTTCATATAACCCTTATGTGTCTGATACTTATACTAATGAAAATATGTCCAGTAAAGCAAAATATTATCTGTCCACTCAAAGAAAAGATATTTCATTTTTTGTGATTTTATAGCATGGGGTCTATGGGAAATCTCCCCGAGCTAGAAGTCACATTTTCAAAGAAAATTAATTTTTCAAAGTTGATAAACACTTTTTAAAACCACATTTCTAGATGTAATTTTACATGTAGATTTCAAATATGATATTACTTTTTTTTTTAATTAAAAATATTTATTCTCTAAAATTAAAATCAAATACATAATAACACTAGACACTTTTAATAAGTGTATCAGCGTGAAAACATTTAAATATTAACCTGAGTCAAATGGAAATGAGAAAAAAGAACAATTTAAAAATATTTACTCAGTTAAATGAGAATAAAATTGATAACAATATATAAAATCTACATATATGTTTGTCAGTAATTCAGTTCAGAATAGGTTGATGTCATATGAATTTTAAAATTCTTTTTAAAACAGTTAATGGAAGGTAATGTTTTCAAAGAAGTTGGCAGATTATTCCAAAGCTGAGCACCTGAATATTTTATTGAGTTTTGACCTATAATTGTTCTAAATTTTTTCATGTGAAGGCAATTTTGGAATCTTGTCTCATGTTCATGAAATATCAAATTTGGAGTAAAATAATTTTCAAATATGTCAAAAGGAAAGCCATCGGGTTTTGTTGTGTATTGATAAAGAAATTTTGCAACTTCAAGCTTATGTATGTCAAAAATATCTAGAAAATTGAGTTGTTTAAAAAGAGGTGGGCTATGTGCTAAAAAGTCAGAATTTGTGATTATTCTCACTGCACGTTTTTGTAACAAAAGCAATTTATTCAAAAAGGTTTTACATGCATTACCCCATATGATGTTGCAATAGTTCAATTGTGATAATATAAGTGAATTATAAATGGTAATCATGGTTTTTGTATTCAATTTATATTTAATCTTTCCCAGAATACCAATAATTTTAGATATTTTATGTATAACCTTATTTATGTGCTCATTCCATTTTAATTTACAATCAATTGTTACTCCCAGAAAATTTGTATGCATTACTCTTTCAAGAATATTACCCCCTATTTTTATATTAAAATCTTGATTTTCATCAATATTTAACTTTGATCTTGTAAATAGCATATAATTTGTCTATATTCAAAGAAAGTTTATTTGATTTGAACCATTCTAATGTCTTTTCCATTTCTAGATTTACATTTCTATATAGATCATGAAGGTCTTTGTTTGAACATAAGATATTTGTATCATCTGCGAAAATAGTAAATTTAAGAATATTTGAAACCTTATGTTAATCATTAATATAGAGAATGAATAAGATGGGGCCTAAAACAGACCCTTGAGGTACACCACAAGTGATAATATTTTCTTCAGATAGAGTGTTGTTAAAAGAAGTAATGATTTTCCTATCAGATAAATAGCTTTCAAACCAATTTTTTGCGACATTGCGAATTCCAAAATTTTCAAGTTTTTTTAGAAGAATTTCATGATTTACTGTATCGAAGGCCTTCGATAAATCTAAAAATATTCCAATAGCATGAGTTGAGCTTTTATCTAGAGATATCCTCACTTCTTCCAAGAAGGAGAGGATTGCCATATAAGTTGAATAATGTTTTCTAAAACCAAACTGATTTTTGAATAAAAGTTTGTATGTTTCAATAAATGTTATTAATCTATTTTTCATGATCTGTTCTAAGAGTTTAGAAAAGACACTAAGTAGAGATATGGGTCTATAGTTTGAAAATTTTGAAGTATTTCTTTTTTTAAAAAGTGGGATAACTTTGGCTGTTTTCAACTTAGTGGGAAAAACCCCTGTATGGATAGACAAGTTTGCTATATGAACAAATGGTAAAAGTAAATTATTTCTTGCATGTTTAACTACTATTGGTTTGAATTCATCTAGGCCTGGTGAGCAATCTTTCAAACCTGACATTAAATTTTCGATTTCATCCTTACTCACAGGAGTAAGTTCTAAAGAAGATTCATTGATTTCCATAAATGTAAAAGGGGACGTTTTTGAACTTATCTTTGATGCTAATTTAGGTCCAACATTAGAAAAAAATCTGTTAAAATGATTAGCAATATCTTTTCTATCAGTCAAAGTATCATCTCCATCATAAAATTTATCTGGAAAAACTGAATCACATTTTTTGCGGTGAAGTAAGTCATTTATAACTGACCAAGTATTCTTGATATTATTGCTTGTTTCAGTAAATCTATCACAAAAATATTTCCTTTCTGCTTTGCGGATTAATTTATGGAGTTTGTTTCGAAAAGTTTTGTATTCAGCTAGATTCTGTTTCGTTGGGTGTTTCAAAGTATTTCGATAAAGTTTATTTTTCTGTTTTACAGATGTTAGTATACCATGTGAGAGCCAAGGCTTAATTGAGTTCTTGTGAATTTTTGTATTTTTGACTTTTACAGGGAAATATTCATCATATTTTCTACTAATTTTGTCTGCGAACAAATTATAAGCCACATTTACATCAACCTTTTCATTAATTATACCTGTCCAATCTATATCTTTCAGTGAATCACTAAAATTATTAATTGCACTCAATGCACTTTGACTGAATTTTGAATTTTTAATGACGTAAATCAAGATTATTTCTACTCGCATCTGGGTTATTGGATTGTATCACATAGACTTAAAACATATTCATATTATTTTACATGTAAGGAATCTAGATTCCATTTGTTATAATTGTAACTCCTGTATTATAAATGTATTCACGCCAAATTTGATGTACATCCCAATTTACTGGAATGTAATTCTGTCTGAAGTTTTTATTTATTCTTAACATTTATATTCTTTGTTAATTGTAGAGACAAGATGGATGTGAAAAAGTACAATCCCCGCTGCTTTTTTGACATAGAAATCAATGGCTCACCAGGTTTGTCCTACTTACCATTCTTATCTTAAGTATGAGATTTTGTAATAAGGCTCATGGGCATTGTATTACTGCAAAAATTATGTTACATTTTCTCATTGCTTTTCTTCCTGAATGAAAAGCCATGATTTTTTTCTGTCTTGAAAGAAATTTTGATTATTGACCCATGGGCATTATTACAAATGAAATTTCTTGCAACAAATCTGGTTTGTACGTGCAGTTTGTAATTCAAAAAATCTCTTGAGAATTATAGTCTGTCTATCTTGTTTGAAAATAACTTGTTATAATGGAGTAGATTTGAATATGTGGACCATACACTTTGAAACACTGCATCCTCCTAAGCAGGTATCCAGAAACACGTGATCTAATTTTGCGCAGGATGGAAACACTGGAAACACTGTCGAATGATGAGGTCTTCAAGTAAACACTTCTAAAAGGATCATATATTTATCTTATAATACAAAAGTATAAGTAAACTTAGTTCCACTTTGTCTGTAAGAGATCACACAACTCTACAACTGTGTGTTTATACATGAAACAACAAGTACAACATAATAAATTATCACTATAATGTATTTATTTTTTATTTTAGCGGGACGTGTTGTTTTTGAGCTATTTGCAGATGTCTGCCCAAAGACATGCGAGAACATCAGAGCATTATGCACTGGTAAGTCTGGAGAATGAATACTTTGTCAGTAAACAACATGTTCTTGTTAAATACGGTGTCATTATTTTCATATTGTAATGTATTGTAAGTTTTAAGTTCATCAAAGTGTGTTACCATAGTTTAATATCATCCTCAAAGATACAAACATTTAGAAATGCAATGAAAAATTGAATGAATCTCTTTACTCAAAAATTGAAAATTATCAGTCTAGAATAGAGCTTTCTTATATATTTGCTTTGAGAAAGGTCAGGATACACATTATATATTTCATGGTACCTATTGTATAATATTTCATTGTACACATTCTGTTTTATTATACTCATTGTATTTCATGGTACACATTGTATTTCAAAGTACACATTGTATTTCATAGTACACATTGTATTTTATGGTACACATTGTATTTCATATTAAACATTGTATATCATGTTATTTCATTGTGTAATGTTACAGGAGAGAAAGGTATTGGTGCAGTCCATGGGAAGCCTCTACATTACAAAGGTGCACCATTCCACAGAGTGGTGAAGAACTTCATGATTCAAGGAGGTGACTTCACAAATGGTTAGTTCAATACAAGTGTTAGGTAATTGCTCCATTGACATTTATTGTATACTTCTACAATGATTGATTCTGATTGTGTTTTCTGTTGATCAGGTATTCCACATTAATACAATATATGTATGAAGTACTGGAAAATATCACAGCAGTTCTGACCTTCATTACCATGGAGACAGAATATATCACATTGTTCTTGAAGGATTGTTAAACAATATTGCTCTTAACCCTCACCACCATGGAGACAGACAATTATTGGTCTTGACCTTTGTCATAATGGATGAACTCCATCCCAGGTTACAAGGACAGTCATACATATACAAATATGTTTCAAGAAAGTTGCTGATAATAATACATGTATGTCCGATGATCTCATTGTAGGAGATGGAACGGGTGGAGAGTCAATCTATGGAGGCAAATTTCCAGGTAGGACATTTCTCTTTCTTTAATAGAGAATTGATCATATTTTCATTCAACAGTCTCATTAGGGGATATTATCTGCTTTGGTAGCTAATAAGTTCATTTTGTGATATATCTTATTAGAAGCTTGGTTAAAGCAGTTTATAAAATATGATTAATGTATATATTTGAGAACTGAATGTAACATAACATTATGATTTGACTGTATTAATTGTAGATGAGAACTTTGACCTGAAACATGACAAAGAGTTCCTTATGTCAATGGCTAATGCTGGCAAAGACACCAATGGGTCACAGTTCTTCATGTGAGTACACATTGTCTTAACTTGAAAAGTACATGTACATATGTTGTATCTGTACACATCCTGTTATATCTCTACACAAGTACATGAACATTTGTAGTATCTGTTATATCTGTACACAAGTACAATGTACATTTGTCCATGTTTATAATATGGTCCCAGTTGTATTTGTCTACATATGTTGTATCAATTTATACAATAACTTATACAATTATTAGAATAAAGAAATAAATTGAAGTTGGAAATGCTTCAAAATGGTACATGTACTTAAAAAATAAAGAATCATGTATCATTTTATATTGGAAATATAAAAGCATGAGTGTATGTTCTAACTCATACACATTTATGCACAAAGGCGAAGCCTGATTGCATTATTATCAGAATGAGTTAGTACATGCACGAATGCCTTTATATTCCCAATATAGCATGATACATGGTTCTTTATTGCAATTCAAACATGTCTCTAGTCAATGATGAAGTAGAACAGTTCACCATTTACATTTACAAGATTGTGGTCTTTGAAGAAATTAAGTTTTATATGTTTTGGAAAAGTTTATTATTTAGAAATACTAAATACGGGAGTTGATATTCGATTGAAACCTATTGAGAAGGTTTTGTTAGTCAAAATTTTATGATGCAGAAAAATTATGAAAACTTAGTTGGAAAATCATAGCATTGACTGAAATGAACACACTGATGATATGCTGTCACCCCTTTTTAAAGAATAGTACTGCTCAAAAATTCAATGCACAGCAATCTCATTTTCATGCATATATCAATAAATTAATATACTGGAATGCTTTAAGACTTACTTGGCATGATTGAATGATCCATGATGATTGTATTGAATTATGCGACTGAATACGATGGAATGATTAAATTTATTGTTAAAATTATGAATAGATGGAATTCATATTATTTTTTCATATGATGTCTATACAGTCTTACAAAACCAGCTCCACATCTTGACAAGTAAGTAATAATAGACAAACAGTCAACTTTTTATAGATTGTGACTTGATCATGGGAGTATTGCCTAATATTATGGAAAAATGACCCATTTTAGTCATCTATTGGTGACCAAGGTATTCACCACAATCATGAAATAACCTAATAATATTTATTTCAAGTCAGCCTACAATTTAATAGCTGCCTAAATAAAAATAAATAAATAAAAAATTTTGAATGAATTTGTTATTTTTAAGTGATAAAATATTTTGCAACAGTTTCACCCTAAGTAGTTTGATATTCTCCATGTAAATTATGATGTCATAATTCCTGAATGTACCTGTAGCCTCATATTCTCTTTTAGTGTCCATGTCGTGTTTGGCCGTATTATCTCAGGCCAGGAAGTAGTCAAGAACATAGAAGGCCAGAAGACTGACGGCAACAGCAAGCCTTATGCTAGTGTTCTCATATCAAACTGTGGCGAACTAGTACTACAAATCAAGGCCAAAGGTAAGGCTAAATACCATTTCACAAAATTGCTCATTTTTGGTCAATCCTGGTAATACAATGAAGAAACTAAAAAAGAAAGCATTTCAATGTTCATATTCATTCATTCAATGTTCATGTTCATTTCAATGTTCATATCATGATAATGCATGTGCATGTACAGTTGTACTTTGTGATAAATATGAAATGCTGACTTGGAAAAATGGTTGCCATGACAATGAACTGAGTGCCAGTATGGTAATTTTGGCAATCCTGATTGATGACACTTTCAGCAAAGAAAGAGAAGAAACAGACAGAATCTGCGAGTGGGTCAGACTCAGATTCATCATCAGACTCTGAGGATGAGGAAAGGAGGAAACGGAAGAAGAAAAAGAAAAAATTGAAGAAAAAGAAGAAAGAAAGCAAGAAAAAACTAAAAGAAATGTAAGGGAATTGTACATAATTGAATATTCATACAGTGGATTTCAGTTGATTCCAAAAGTGAATTCATAGGCCATGGGGCAGTGAAAAGTTTTTAATATAGATACTGAAATTAAAGGAGTGGTATCGATATGGAGAACTTTTTGAACACAGTCATAAAAAAGATCTAAAAATTTAACACATCGTCAATTTAATGGTCCTCTTTTGAATGGTAACAATATAATTTGAAAATATATATATATATATACTTTCATCTATATTGTTTTAAAAAACACATCAAACACTTGTTTTGTTCTTGGTATCATGTTTCCAGAGTGAAATGAAACATCTTTCCGAACCTCATTGGAACAAAACGATATAAACACAACATGTTTAGTTCCCTCAATATTGTAATTGTACATAGGAAATTTTGGTTGATTTTAAAAAAGTATCTTGTAAATGAAATAAAGGGTTTATCTTGATTTTTATCTAATTTTGGGGCATTTTGTTTTGTTTCTGAATACTTTTTTTAAATCAACCAAAAATTCCTTTGTATAACTACAATATTGAGAGGTCTAAAAACATGTTGTATACTGTATAACATGAAATATTGCCGTGGATATAAAGTTGCCGATTGCCGAATGTAAAACAGAAACGGCAACATAAAATTCGGAAATATAATTAATTGAAGATCGATCTTAGTGGGCGATAATATGGTAGTTGTCTAAGGTGTGTCAACTTACTGTAATAGGGTAATTTTCTAACGAGTATCAACTTACTATACTTTAACAAAAATCATAAATAGTCATGTTAAAAAGTTAAAATGTCAGAAGATCTGATTGTATCCAAGTGCTTTGGAAATCCCAGTATTAAAAGTTTTTAATCCCGATATTAAAAGTTTTTAATCCTGTTATTAATTGTCCTGAGTCTATCGAATGCGGGTAATCACTCAAATTGTCACTCATAATGTCAGGATGTCAGGTTTTCTGAATCAGTCAAATGAAGGTGATTAAAATTCAGTTGCAAATCAAAATTATATTAGGGGTGTCAGTTAGCAATATTTTATTTGGCTTTACATTTAGGGCAAACTTTTATTCAGCAATAACAATTTTAATCCAATTCGGAAAATAAAGCACCCGGATTTAATACATGTTATACAGTATGCTATTTTATTCCAACAAGGTTCGGAAAGACATTTTATTTCATTCTCAAGAATTGGTAGAAAGGAGCAAAAACAATTGCACTAAAAAAACAAAAAATGATAACAAAAACAGTTATATAATTAATTTCTAAATAATTTTCACATTAAATTGTTGTCAATCAGTCAACATTACATAAAATACCATGCTTTTTTACAGAATGTTTTCAATGATTGGTTTAAGAGAAAAACATTATTGAATTCAGTTCTCCATATTGATACCACTCCTTTGCTGTGATCTTCAAAATGACTGGTCATCAATGATCTCATTAAGAGTTTTAATAATACTTGAGTATGTTAGGTTTGAGTAATAAATTGTGGTTGTTATTCTTGCTTTATTTATATGACATTATTATTCCAGTCTTGCTAAGAAGGATGAGGATGAATATGTATGTAGTGTTCGACCTGACGAGTTACCAGAAGAACCAAAGACAAACAACTGGCTGATGAGGTCCAAGCCTGAGGAGTAAGTATTCATTTGTCTGAAAATTAACTGAAGTATTAGTGGATGAATTTTCTTCATATTTGGTGAAAGATGTATACTTGTAAATAGATTTGGTCAGAAAATAGAAAAGGTAAATTAGATTAGATCACAATTATTTATTTTTTGATTGGTGCCTTGGAAAATCTTTAATGTCTGCCAGATGCAAGACTTCGGAATGATAAGGAGATCACCTCTTAGTTGGCTGTTTTGTACTGAAATGGATTGTATCCTCTTCCTCATTTGTACTCTTGAAAATTCAAAATGGCCATTCAAACCTAGAATTGGTGTGAACTCTGAGATTACCTATACCAGATGCAATATTATCAGTTCTGACCAAGAAATATTTAGTGAAAATCCCATACATCAAAAGTATTCCTTCAATTGTATGTTCATAAAAACCATTGTGTTTCCAGAGCTGCTGAAGAAGGTGATCAGAAACCTGATGAAAAGAAAGTAGCAAGAGAGAGACCACGTGCACGTCCTGGTAGAACCAGATATGTTGGCAATCAGAAGATAAAGGGTAGAGGAAATGTGGTGAGTGAACATACAATGGTACATGTAACCCAGTGTAACTGACATCATTTTAGAGAAATATAAAATAGATTATTGATAAAACAGTTTTCATGTCACCATTTAGAAGTGGTGTCATATTGTTATAGTTTCCAACTTTTTTGTGAATGGTGTTTTGCGGTTGGCATTTGGTGGGTGGTGTCTGTAACAAATGTCAGGTGGTGACATTTTGCATGTTAATGCCTTGTTTCTTTTAAGATCCCACTATACATATATCCATATGTTTTTACTTTTAGCAATACTCTAAGTATGCGCGATCTCGCAGCAACACCCCAGAGCATTGGCGAATTGCCCAGAACCCCCGTCCCAGACCCTCAAGGAATGCCATAGAGCCTGTGAGGGGAGGGCAGTGGGTCAGGGGGGACAAGTTGAAAAGTGACAAGGAGGATGAAGAGGAAAGTGAGGAGTTGAAGAGAAGGAGGAAAAAGAGAGAGGAGAGGCACAAACTGGAAGAAAGGAACAAGAGAAAGCAAGAGAACGGCACAGATAAGAGAACTCATAATGACAGGTAAACATATCTACCATAACATTTTATTGCACCATATTGTCATCGTCTTGCTCTACTAGGTGTTGTCTGGGCACGCACCACATAAATCTTACCATCAAAGTTCCTGGAAAGCTGCTTGCCTGAAATTTTTACAGATGCAAGAGCACTGGTTCATAGATACGATCAGGTTCTTGAGTAAATAACATGATAGCCATTTTGCTGTTTAAAGTGTGATAGTTATCACATTGTGTCTTGTTTGTAGGTGTTTGACACAACTCATATGCAATTCATATGTTTTAGTGACATGATTATGTGATATGGAGTCAGAAGGGGCCACGCATCATTAAATGATGCATTGATGGATGTTTAGTGAGAGAGATGAACAAAGCTTAGACCTAGTTCAGTTCATAAATTGCGTATTCAGTTTTTTATAATACACGATACTCCCGAGTAATTGATTTGACCCAAAGGCATGGATTCGGTATCTGATTTGAACTATTTTCAATATTTAATGTCAACAAGTATGTGCTTCACATGTGCAGCATAACTTCATGTTTGGGATTGCCTTATGTACCACCACTTTGACAAAACAATTTCAAAGTTAGCTACTGATCTGAACATATCACCTATTAAGTGGATTTAGTTGCATTAAGGTCTCTTTTGTCATTAAATGCTCTTTAGGCACATTCAGATCAATACTTGCAATATTCAAAAGATGGGTATTTGAGGTATAAGCCATCTCCAGTAATACAAACTATTGATCAGTAAATGTACTTTATTTAGTCACATTAATATTATTTCATTAATTTTGTTGAACATTAGTAATGTCTGTTAAGTCAGTGTATTCATGGATAATAATAATAATATTTTACATCAACATTTTATTCTCTTTTACCTCATTCTCCATTTACAGTTTGTAATTCAATTGTTTTAGCTTATTAGACCACCTCATTAATAAGATACCAATGTCCCATTGTGTTAGTCTAATTATTTATATATGGTCTATAGGTCAGTAGGTACTATTAACATCATCAACTTCTTCATCTATTTTAATGTCATCAATCTGAAATCTCTCCAGCAATTTGTTGAATTTGTCTTCATAGAAAGGATCCACTTTTAGGCATATGTTTTCACCGCCCCCTACAGGGAATCTATGGCCAGACCATGATAACATTTGCTTCCCTTCCTCAGATACAAACTCTGCTTCATTCCCCAGAGAACCTAAACAAATTATGATTGAGGATCATGAAGATATAAATACTGCATATATTAAGTATTTATATTTACACTGAGATGTTACCTACATGAAGAATTGTGAGTCTTACCCATGATGCCAGTAGCTTTATATGAAAGTCCATGTTGCTCAACAACTCCAAAGTTCAGGAATGGAACCTTTCGTGATAATCCTTTACGTATAACGTGAACAGTTGTTGCTCCGTCCATCAAATAAACCTTTACTTGCTTCTTGGAGACATCGATCCATCCAATACTTGTTGTTATCCTACCAGTTGCCCATCTGAACTTTTCTACAGGCTTCCCCACTTCATGAACACTGATGAGTCTTGATTCGAAGTGGATTTGAACATGTTCCATCTTGATATAGATGTCACTGACATAGTCTACAAGACTTGTATCACTTGAATTTCCCCCGCTGATGAATTTTGCTATGATTTCTGAAATATAAATACACAAAGTTGAAACATAAAAACCTCCATTTCTATTTATTGGAGATAGTAAGAGTTTGGTACTCTTGATGAATATTTCATATTTCATTGAACCACAATGGCACTAATCAACTGGATAATGTAAGCACTCACCCATTCCATTGTCATCCAGGAACTCATACAACTTCCCTGCAGCACCCACTATGTCATAGCATAACTTCTGGTTCGCTCCTCGTATGCTTTGTTTGATATGTGGGTCCCCACAGACCTGCATTCCACTGCTGGGTTTACAGAATGGTTTCTGTAGGTCTTTAGCAGAACAGTCAGCATTTGTTTCACATTCGACGCAGGTACATCCAGCGCAGATATTCCTTCTACCCTCTGTACACTGTTCATCAGAAACACAGTCGAAGCCTAGAAAATAGAAAATGTAGTTGGTTTTTTGAATTAAATTAAATAGGTAAAATACAATCTTGGAAATCCCAACCTGTTGTACGTTTCTGCCAATTTATCAAAGGAACTAAAAACCTACATACACTCCCCTCCACAAGTTTGGCAACCTTAGCTCCCCCATTGAACTAATTGTTAAAGCCTCTTTACCTTTGAATTTTTATTTACCTAACCTGCGATGAAAATACTTACTTAGTATACTATTAATGGAAACGTAATTTTACTTTATTTCCAATACCTCCAAATTTTCTCAATTTTTTCCGCAATTACAATAGGTCGAAAATTGATGATATATGTGATGAATTTTTGAAAATCGACATTCCCATGTTAACCAATGGGAAATGGTAGGTTTGCCGCAAGTCATATGACAGAATATCTATTCATCCGAGTCCTTGCAAAAAATATGTGTTAGTTAGGCAATTGAACTTGCTAACTTTATTATCCCATCAAACTAAGTTCAGAGGGATATAAGGAACGCCTCCATCCGTCTGTCCATACGTATATCCATACATTTTCGACCTATTGTGATTGAGGAAAAAAATTGGGAAAATTTGGAAGTATTGGAAATAAAGTCAAGTTACGTTTCCATTAATATTATAAGTTATTTCAACACAGGTTAAGTAAATAAAAATTCAAACGTAAAGAGGCTTTAACACATAGTTCAATGGGGGAGCTAAGGTTGCCAAACTTGTGGAGGGGAATGTTTCTTTTTTAGATTGCAAGTCTCAAAACTAAAAATTTATCTACAACATGAAATTGGCTTGAAAGGTAAATGAGTATTTTGGGAGAAGCTTAAGTGGACCAATACCCTGTTAAATGGACCGGTATGGAATGTATTAATTATGATTTATTTAACTAAGAATATAGCACTCTAGTTTTTGATTTCCTAAAACTTTGGCTATAACACACTGCTGACAAAAAGGTAACAATGAGTTCCAATTTTTTGTCCACCCTGTAGATTGCACTAATATTATGAATAGATTTACCTGTAAGGAAATGTGGTTCCTGGCGTTCAATCAGCGCCAGTATGTCCTGCAATAAAGCCAAAGTCACTTCTAGCTTTGTCCTTAGAGTGGTATCTCCCGGAGCTACCAAAGTGTTGATCATATTTTGGATTATACTTATATCAGCCTTCACTTTGTTTTCATGTGTTTCAAGAGCTTCAAAGGCAGCTGCTCTGTCTTGACACAAGCTGTAAGTGTTTGCAATTTCAGATGGTGTGCAAAGTTGTGTATTATCAAGATATTGTGACCATACTGTAACCACTGGACCATTTGAACTAAACAAAACCTCTAAATCTGTCTTCTGTTGTACTGTCAAACTAGTTCCAGTTGTATCACTGTCTGTGTAATCAATCTGTGGCAATCTTCCTTCCAAAACTCCCTCTGTGGCACACCAGTTATCTTTTAAAGTAATAATATCATGTCATATAAGTGTATGTTTTTCATTAACATAAAAGCACACTGTAGAAAACAAGAAAGTGCATCAATATGGATCTATGGATCCGTATCGATTGAGTTACATGACATTTAAATCCATCGCTTGGTATGAAATGTATGGTATGAAATGCATGGTATGAAATGCTCGGTATGAAATGCATGGTATGAAATGCTTGGTATTTGGGCAAAGATCATGAAATCAATATCTGCACCTCATTGCATCAAATGATAGTATAGCTCGTACTAAAGAGACACATGCATAATAACACTTGGGTTTGCTTTTATTAGTTAGAATTGTTTGTCAAAATCATTGAAAATAGGGCATCTAAAGTGACTTTTGTTATATTACATACAACCAGAATACCAATGGGACTGGGATTGTTCAAATCAACAGGCGTATCTTCAAGGTTGTTTAACATTGTTAAACTTTCCCATTTGGTGGTGTCCAGATTTGAGAGTGTGTTCAAATCTAGCTGAGGCGCAGATGTATATCATTTTTCCACATATTTCATGGGCGTAGCACCCGGTACGCTGGGTACGCACAGGCATACCAGATGGTTGCAAATTCGCTCCAAATACAACCAAATTTGAAAAGTTTCCTGGGGGGGAGAACCCCAAGACCCCCCTGAATGCTCATTTTTTGATTCACTCAACTCTTGTTCCTGTGGTCGTGGCGTACTACTTAGAAAAATGGCGCTACGCCCATGTATTTGAAGAACATCATAAATGTATGTTTATCATTACATTCAACATTTAAATAAGGGTTTCAAGTTGATATACAATCTTCATTGAACTCCCAGCAAAAACAGCTGGATGATTTTAAAATGTGAAATAAGCAATTACATACAATCCAACCTATTCCATGACATATGCTAATACCCCTAATTTGGAAAAATGGGCAAGTCCAAAAACAACAGGATAACCTGAATCCCTCTAGGTCAACTGACCTAACACCCCTTTATATGCTATATCTTCATAATTGTACTTGCCTATGTATGGAAAAGTGGAAAAATTTTAGAGTCCAGTTTTTTTACTCTATCTGCTAGAAGTTTCTTAGATAATTGGTAAATTGATGGCAGATATATGCAGGACTAGGGGTTACCAGATTGTTACGGGAACCTAGTCAACATGATAGTTTACAGAAGTTGGAAATCTACAATCTGAACTGGCACAGATGACCAAGTAGCCGATCTTTGGGACAGCAAGGTGCATATTAGAAGCATGCACAACTTGAGTAGCAGTTTACTGAGGGAGTTGGTGCCCACTGTCCCATGGTAGATCTTCAAGACTATACCTCAGCAGGGCCTCCTCAGCAGCAGAAGGTTCTTGGACAGAGTCACAAGTCATTCTTCAGTGCAGTGAGCTCATTTGTGGTTGTATTTTAGTGTACTTCTAACACTAGAAACAGGTCAGTTTTTAGGAAATCCTTCCATGGATTTTATTTTCAAGCTACACGCTTAGCTAACAGTCAACTTTAGGTTAGCCTAGCTTGTCTTTGGGACAATAAGTTCAGACCCATTTGAACTTTATTTGACCCCTACTGGCTTGTATTATCTTTTTTTGTAAAGGTTTTTCACTCATACTTTGAACCTTTCTATAAGGGACCTTTACTCTTTAACCCTATACTAGTATACTTTTACTAGCCCTAGGGTTTTAATCCTTTGAGTTCATGACTATACTTTTTGTGTAGTATATTATGTAATGATGGCCTTCTAGGTTCATAAGGTTATTCCCCTTATTCATACACCTACAGTAGCTTTGTTGGAGTTCTTTGCTTTGAATGACTATTCACTCAGTAATCATTACATTCAAGCTGTGCTTATCCACTGAACAGTGTTTTCTTTTTTGAAATTTTGTGTTCAGGGATTATGAATAGGTGGAGTTTTTCTAAGAACTCTACTGATTGATGAGTGTAAATTATTATTACACTTTACTTGTATTGAAAGATCTTTTTGCTGATCTTGTTTCTTTTTTCTTACTTTTTATTAGTCGGGAATTAGTCTCAACTTTGTTTCTAGTTTAGTAACTAGCTTGACTAGATAACATATTTTTCAGTTGGATTGAATCTGCATTGTTCCTAGATGTAGTTAATTCTCATCTTTATTCACAATCACTTTACACCCTTTGTAGGGTTCTTGGTTCCAGCACTTTATGGAATTGTGTTGTTTAGCAGTCAATTAATTTAATATTACTTTTTTTGACAATTTAAGAGATGTGAACTTGCTCACTTGCTACTCTTCACATCACTTGTTTTCTATGTTCTGTTTGTTTTCTGCTTACAGATACACTCAGCTTTTACATTTGTATTTCTTATTCATCAACTAATTTTAGGTCTAATTTTACATTCGTGTAAAATTAGTTAGTTTACAGAAGCCTTACTTTAAGATACATTGAATGGCTCATTAATGCCTTCTGGTCACAACATATTCATTCTTTATTTATACCAGGGCATAGGATGTTTGTTCTACAATCATTTTGGATATCTTGGTTTTCAAATCTTGTTTCATTATTTTTAATTTTACAAGGATAATTTTTACTAAGTTTTTTTTTTGTTTGTACTTTTGTGTCTCTTTATGGAGATCTACATTATTGTTTATCTACATATCTCAGGTCCACTCTATGTCTTAGAATCTTTTGGTTAGTTTTACCCTAACCACATTTTTTTTTTATGGAGTGGCTCACCTTAAAATATGCTTCATACTTTTGAACAGCTACTTATCAATCACTCCTTTTCTGGTATTGATTGGTTTCATACATATTTTCTAAGTAACTATATGTTTCTTTATAAGCGGTGTACCTTCACACATGTTTGAATCTTGTCTTAAATTGATAAGATCATGAGTCAATTGATTGCAATATAATTTCATATTATTCAATCAACAGTAGAAGAGAGGATTCTACACATCGGTTCAGGTTCTTTATACTATGAATCTTGTGTTTTAAACATGCTTCTAAGTGATGGGCTCTCATTTTTATTATTATCTGGAGCCTGTTTTCTTTCATTTTCGTTCTTATTCATAACCATAGTACTTATTCATTCGTGGATTGGTTATTATTTTCAAACAAGGTGGTTTTCATCTAATATTGAAAACACATCCCTTTGATTGTGAAAGTTGCCTTTGTGGTTTTCGGGCCTGGATTGCTTTAAGGTTTCACTCCAGTTCCAGACTTCATTTGGTGTTATATTTTTACTAGTTCATGTTCATAGTACTAATACTACTTTTTAACTAGTAAAAGGCTGGTAGTTTTAACCACTTGGATAAACTGACCATGTTTTTTATCATATAGTTTTTTCCCCTGAGAAACTGCGAGTCACTTTTATTGTGGGATTCATCTTTGTGGTCTTTGGGCCTGGATTTCCCTCAGGTATCACTCCAGTTCCAGACTCCTTTTGGTCTTATTTTATTACTAGTTCATGTTCATAGTACTAATACTACTATTTAACTAGAACAGGTTGGTAAATTTAACCAATTGGATAAACTTATCATGTTTTATGATATTGTTTTTTCCATTGAGGAACTACAAGTCACTTTATTTGTGGAATTAATCTTGGGCTTTTTGGACCTGGATTGCTTTAAGGTTTCACTCCAGTCCAGACTTCATTTGGTTTTATATTATTACTAGTTCATAGTACTTATACTACTATTTAACTAGTAAAATGCTGGAAGTTTTAACCAATTGGATAAACTTATCATGTTTTTATGATATAGTTTTTTCCCTTGAGCAACTGCAAGTTTGGCTTAAGACTACTGAAAAGTAATGTTCTTGGACCAAGTGTTGTATGGATCCAACAATTGACTTGAGGGTAGACACATGCAGTAGTACTTCGATGACCATGCGGGCCTGATGTATATGCTGTTGATACTAGAGTTTCAACTCCAAGCCAAGTTTGATCTACAAAGGTTATGCTCCAAGTCAAGAACTTTGTGGATCCAGCACTACCTTACTACATACTGTAGTGTTCCAATACACCTACATCCATGATGTATGCTCTTGGTAGCTTTAGACAGACCCGGGAGAACAGCTGACTATTCTTGTCAACCAGTGCTGCCAACTACAAACCTGGATGAAGTTAAAGGTTACGTTTTTGGACACAGATTTTGGTTGATCTAGCACTACTATACTCTCATACTATACTAGTAGTGCTTCCCTTTGTAGCAGAGTCTACGTTCAATGCTGTTATACTCCTATAGACAGATAGATGTACTATCCATTGAAGATACCACTAGTCTGTCTTTTGCAAGCCTGTGAAGAACATTTGAAAGTTTTTGGTTCCAGGCCAAGAATTTTTTTTGATCCAGTGAGTTTCTGAATTCTTCTGCAGTAGTATGTCAATATACACCACTAGCTATGATGTTTGCTGTTTACAACCTGGACAGATGGATGTTCTAACCACAATCCAATAGTTATCAACTACAATGCCGAATACAACAATTGAAGGTTGCATTCCAAGCCAAGCTCTTTGTGGGATCAACACTTAGCAGTGCTTTGATGGCAGTAGAATACTTTCTGTTATGCTCTGTTGGCACTATAGACAATCATAACAGTGATATCCTCATCTTCTTAATTAAAGATGTCTAACAAGTTACCAACAAATGCAAGCTTGTTTCCAACCACCTTTAGATTCATCTCCATACTAATCCTTTATAGATAAGTATGGACCTGTATGCTGTTCTACTTTGTGCTTGATGTGCCACTGTGTCTACTAGGGAAGCTGTGTTACAGTTTTATACAGATGGATAGACTGTCTAGATGCACTAGTTTGTCCATTGAAGAACTTCTTTTGGCCAGATGGAAGATGTCTCTTCTTGCCCAGGTCAGCAGTAATGGTTGATCTGTTCTATGATGAATACTAATTGGTACTACAAAGAAGATGGTTTGTCTTATCCCTGTAGTTATCTGGTGGCTGTACCAACCTCGACTGGCTGGGTCTACGGAGGTGTCTTGCTCCATGTACTTTGTTATGGATCCAAAAGACAAGAAGCACTTAGCAGATGTGTAGTGGTATTGTTCTATGTCGTTAAACCATTCTACAAGTTGGCTGAAACGGCTTTATGATCATCGCTGGTCCAGACTTGATGTTTAGTCAACTAACATCCAACTCTGAGAGCAGAGACTAGACAAGATGTTGTGTGTACCACCTCACTTTGTATGCAAGACTGGTTCCTTTAGGACCCTGTGCTGTGAAGTATGGTAGTTGATTTATCGGCAGCTTCCTAGAATTCCAATGGATGAAAGGATGATGCCTTTGTCTACACTGACAAGAACTACAACAATGGCTTGGATTATCTCAAGTATATCTCTTCCAAGCTGCAGGTGGGTCTACAACTTCAAGAACTTTATACATCTTTAAGTACTCTGCAACTTGTTACCAACTCAGTATTGCACTGTAGTCTGGTGATTGGAAGTAACACTGGGTGGACTTGGGTTGTCTTTATTTTGTACACAGCCTTTCCTTGTCTATCCAGTTCTTGTGTAAGCGGAACTGTTTTGCAGAAGGGTTCAACTCAACCAGCTTGTGACCTGGACCTTTGAAGAACTACAAGGTTGCCTTGTTTGGTTAAACGGCCCATCCTTGGCTAACCAGTTCTATTCATAGGAGTTATTCGCAACCCTTAGATGGGTAAGGATACTCACTGTGAAAGGACATACAGTCTCCCAGATGTGTAGCTGAACTGTTTTGCAGAAGGGTTCAACTCAACTAGCTTGTGACCTGGACCCTTGAAGAACTGCAAGGTTGCCTCGTTTGGTTAAACGGCTCATTCTTGGTTAACCAGTCTCTATTCATAGGAGTTGGTCATTACCCTTAGATGGCTAAGACTGCTCACTATGATAGGACAATAACAGTGTTACAGATGTGTCACAGCCTCTGCCTTACAATGGATGATGGTGGCTGTTCAACTAGGGATCTTTATGGTTTGTGAGATCAGAGTACTTGTTGGTAATATGAATTTTACTTTTATTATAAGTACTTGTGTATATATTTTTATTATACTTTTGGGCTTAATCGGGGTCCCACCTCCTTTACTTTTAATTCAGCATATGTCATGGAATAGGTTGGATTGTATGTAATTGAGAAATTTTACAAGTAAATTTTCTATTAATTACAATACAAACCTATTCCATGACCATAGGCCCACCCGGCCTCCCCGCAGTATTTTTAAGTTTTACTGCGTACAATTATGAAGATATAGCATATAAAGGGGTGTTAGGTCAGTTGACCTAGAGGGATTCAGGTTATCCTGTTGTTTTTGGACTTGCCCATTTTTCCAAATTAGGGGTATTAGCATATGTCATGGAATAGGTTTGTATTGTAATTAATAGAAAATTTACTTGTAAAATTTCTCATTAAATCAATAATAACGAGTCAATATGGTTGACTTACCCTGTGCCACGACCTGGACATGATGAAATCCAACAAATATCGCTAAATAAAAAACACCCCAAGCCCAGCCTTGAACTATCATGGTGAGGCCTCCGTGTCTGTCTTGGACTCTATCTACAAACCAGTATAGTATGAATCCAGTGTTTCACTTCAATCCAGTGCTTGACTTGAGTTTGTTTGATGTTCCTGGCAGTTGTATTAGTGACTCTGACATGATAGTGATCTTAAATACCATGTCAATCACCATCCCTCAGTGACAATAGGATTGTTGTTGCATCTGTTACAGTGAAATAATTGATTTGATATAGGATCAGATAGGATCGTTTTGTCCTGATGTTTATGTACAAAGTCAGATTTTATAAAATGATAAGTATGTCAGACTCATAATGTATTTGTTTTAAGAACATTGCTATTTACTTAAATATAGAATTCTTGTCATAATGGAACAATGTAAGATTTTTACAGTAAAGGTGATGTTGGTCAACCTTGAGGAGCTAGATTACCTATAGATATCTTTGAAGTTATGATGTATCATGTAAAATCAGTCATGCTATATTCTTCTATTTTGCAGCTAAAATTACTTACTGTATTTGGTCTTTCAGGATTGTTTATTCAATAAAATAATTTTACATTGATTTACCAGACTTTTACTGAAATGCAGGTTTTCAAATTATCTTAAACAATGAATTCAAATTCACATGATAACCATGTCCTCCATTGATCAATACATTTCATGATGACTCTATTATGGCTTCCACTTTTTCCACATACTTCTAGTCTTTACTGTCATTGTTGGCTGCATATGTAACCTTTTCCAATTGCAATAATTGACCTATTGACCCAAAACTCATTTAGTGAACATTTGTTCTTAAGAAACTATTCAGATTTAAACACAATCAGTTACTCGACATCAAATTATGGGACTTTTAATAGTTGTATGTAACATTCAAACAAATTATTTGAATTGTTGGTTTGTTTTTTTCACTGATACTGTGAATAAAGTATTTTCATAATATTGTTATATTATATACAGTACTGTCAATGCTGAAAAACAATTTTTAATGTTTTCAAAGTATGAATACATTTTTTTAAATCTTGTTTCACGAGTATTTGTTGAACATTCAAATTGCATTATGCTATATGACTTGGTTATGTTTGTTTTCTTAATCAATATACTTTTATTATTACTCCAGGAGAGGTGAAAAAAACAGAAACAGATCAGAGACTCCCATGTCAGGTGCTGAGATGAATGGAGATGCCAGACGTGTAATTCAGCGACAACGAGGTCGAAGGAGAGAAAGCAGAAGATCCCCAGAGGAAGAGAAAGGAAAGATAAGAAGTGGATTCCAAAGTGAAAGTCCTTCTCCAAAGAGGAACTTTAATATAACAATCCAGTCAAGTGTTAGTAAGACTGCTCCCATAAAGAGGACTATATCTCTGGCCCAGGCAAAGGAATCTCCTGAACGCAAGGATCGTCAGAGATCAGACTCAAATAAGAGAAGACAACACTCCAATGAAGAAGGTTTTAGCTCCTCAAATAAGACTCGAAAACAAAGGCAGAGATCAGAGTCTAGATCCCCACACAGAGAAAGTGGGAGGAGAGAGTCAGGTGAACGTAAAAGGAGAGATGAGTCACCACAAAGAAGGAGAAATGATTCATTTAGAAACAAAGAAAATGATACCTCATCTAGAGGAAATAGAAGAAATGAGTCACCACAAAAAAGAAGAGTTGGACAAGAGTCAAACAAGGAGAGAGAAGCTTCACCAAGGAGAACAGAGCGGTTACCTCGAAAAAGAAATGATTCGCCACGAAGAAGACGAAGATCACCATCAAGTTCTGCCTCCCCTGAGCCAAATAATCGTAAGAGAAAAACAAGTCTACCAAGAAAAAGCAGATCTTTATCTCCTAAAAGAATAAGACGAGGAAGAATGGATGGTGCTAGGTCCCAGGAAAAAATAGCGAAACGCATAATGACACAATTAAAACAAGCTAATGATGAGGACAGTTCAAGCTCTGTAGAGAGGGAAAGAAACAAGTTACGTGCCATGCTCAGAAACCATCAAAGGTCTGACTCCAGCTCACCAGAACCTGAACCTAAACATAGGTCTAAATCTGGAGATAGCCCAAACAGGAGAAGTAGATCAGTATCACCTCAAAGGTTAATGAAAAGAGGACGAATGGTTAGAGCAAGATCACAAGAGCGAATATCAAAAAGGATAATAGCGCAGTTGAGAGAAGCTGATGGGGAGGATAGCTCAAGCTCAGTGGAACGTGAAAGAAGCAAGTTGAGAGCAATGCTTAGAGAAATGGCTGATGATTCACCAGGTGTACTGGAAAGGTCTAGATCAGAATCCCCTGACTCTCCAAAGAGGAAAAGGGCTGAGGTGTCAAAATCGCCAAAGTCATCATCTGAATCCCCAAGGTTGCAAAGATCCAGATCTCCACGAAGGAGGATAAGATCAAGGTCTAAATCCCCACAGAAAAAGGAAAGGTCAAGATCGAAATCTCAAGAAAAGAGACACAGATCAAGATCTCCACAAAGGAGGCCGAGATCTAGATCTGCACAAAGGGGGCACAGATCGAGATCCGCACAAAGGAGGCCCAGATCTAGATCAGCACAAAGGAGGCCCAGATCTAGATCCGCACAAAGGAGGCCCAGATCTAGATCCGAACAAAAGAGGCCCAGATCTAGATCCGCACAAAGAATGCCCAGATCTAGATCTAGATCCACACAAAGGAGGCGCAGATCTAGATCTGCACAAAGGAGGCACAGATCTAGATCCGCTCAAAGGAGGCCCAGATCTAGATCCCCACAAAGGAGGCCCAGATCTAGATCTAAATCTGCACAAAGGAGGCCCAGATCTAGATCCGCACAAAGGAGGCCCAGATCTGGATCTAGATCCACACAAAGGAGGCCCAGATCTGGATCCCCACAAAGGAGGTCTAGATCCCCAAAAAGGAGGCACATATCTAGATCTAAATCACCACAAAGGAGAAGAAGGTCACGATCCAAATCAAGGCAAAGCTCAAGATCTAAATCTAGATCTCCACAAAGGAGGTCAAGATCCAAATCAAGGCAAAGGTCAAGGACATCCTCAAGAAAGGGTAGACGATCCATGTCACCAAAAAGAAATCGCAGAAGTAGTTCTAGTGAGACATCCCCTCATAAGCAGGTGTCAAGGTCAAAATCAAGGTCAGATAGAAGGTCACCATCTGAGTCACCTCCAAGAAGGTCTGGAATCACCCGAGAAATGAAAGTTGCAATGATGCAAAGGTAACTTAACTATAGTACATTTATTATATGTTTTGCATAAAATGGAATGTTCGATAAAAAGAAAAGATTTGAATTAGTCTGTAAGGGAAGTTTTAAAGGTAGGTGGTCGAAATGAACAATGTCCAAACAATTTACCTAACATGTTACTGTATATCAATATACTTTATGTTGATATTTTGTGAATGGTATGAGGAAAAAGATTTTCATTATTCACATTATTCATAGATACGACTGGGATAATTATCTATGTAGGCACTCAACCAATGCCTGTCTTGAGATTGTAGAATTTTATTCATGTATATGTTTCTTGTAGAGCCCAGGAGGCTGACAGCCCCCCTCCCAGTCACTGGAAACCAGGCCAGAAAATATGGAAAGGCATTGGGTATGTATCCAATCTTCTTCTGTATAACACAGCAATGTATAATACAGTACAGTTACAAGTTCATATCCTGTTTCTTCTCTGAACGCTTAACATATCATGTAACTTAGATTTCATCTTACAAGTGACCAACAATAAATGTCCACACATGCAAAAATTTATCATGGCACCTAGACAGGGTTCTCACTTATGGCATGGTCAGTTACAAGATCCAATTTTCCTCAAAAATGGCTAGATTGTGAAGGGAATTTTAGAATTTAGAGAAAATTCTAAGCTGTTGGACAATAAACTGAAAAGATGAAATGAGGAAAAACTCTGTTCTTTGACTTTCATGGAATTATCATCCAATTTATTATGTCACCACCAAAAAGTGGTGACATATTGTTATGGTCTCCGTTTTTTTTGACGGCGGTTGGAGGTTGGCTATCGCGTCTTTAACAAATTCTTACAACTTCCAATAACTTAACAAATACTGTTTGACTGACTTCAATTTTTTTCAGAATCATCTACATGTTTTCAGAAGTTCAAATCTGACTTTATATTTAAGATTTGACCTTCAATGACCTTTTCAAGGTCAAAAAGGTCTTGACCAATTTATTTTTTCAAAATCATGTACATTTTCTCAGAAATTCAAATCTGACTTAAGATTGAACTCGTAGTATTGTGAGCAACTAGGTGTTGACATTTTGTCATGTTAATGCCTTGTTGATATATGGTTCTGGTAACATTGTTGATTAAAAATTTTTTGAACAGGTCTGTGGAGAAGCCAAATGCTGCAAAGGAAGTACACGACTCCAGTCCCCCACCATCATCCCATCCACAAACAAGACGTGAAAGCAGCTCTGAGGATGAGATCCCAAATCCTCTGGCTGCAAGCGGTCCATTTATCCCGGGGATATCTGAAATGTCCCAATCAAGGCCAGCTCAAAGGTCAAGGTCAACCAGTAAATCTAGGTCACCACAGATGTCTAGACAACCCCAAAAGTCAAGGTTTTCATCAACAAGCAAGTCTCCCTCTCCAAGAGCAAGTAAAGCGAAACACAACAGCTCAATTGTTAGTGAAGACTCAAGTAGTTCATCATCAGATTCTGAACAGGATGTACCAAGGGGTGCCGAATCTGGTCTCGATGTTTCCTTTATTCCCCTCCCAGGCCAGAGGGCAGCCTCACCCAGTCCCGTCAGGAGAGAGCCCTCTCCCATCCAGCCACGTAGACGCAGCTCCTCCTCCAGTGCCAGTCCTCCAAGGAGTCGCCTGAGGAAGCAATCTAGCTCCCCTTCCCCAAGTCCAGTTAGGCGTAAAAGATCCCCCTCTTCAAGTCCAGTCAGGCGGAAGAGATCCCCCTCCTCAAGTCCAGTCAGACAGAAAAGGTCCCCCTCCTCAAGTCCAGTCAGACGGAAAAGGTCCCCCTCTTCAAGATCTCCAGTGAGACGAAGGAACAGATCAAGCAAATCGCCCTCATCAAGGAAGTCCAGGAACAATAGAAGTCCAAGGAGATCACCTGCCAGGTAAGCCGGGTAATTTAAGAATTTGCAAAGTGATAAATTTTGAAGGCCTCTACAAGTGTGTACATTTGTACCTCAAAGAGAGTGTCCTACCTTTATTAGATCCAGCTTCAAAAACAGCTTATAAATATGTCTATCAGGTACCATAATAAAACTACTGTAAAACAATACACACTTTGAATCATTAAAAATCATACCTGTCTCATTATATTTTAGGAGGCGTTCACCTAGTATAAGACGACGTAGACGTAGCAGATCACGATCCAGAGACCGAAGGTATGACATTAAATGACAATGCTACTGCCTCAATGTTGTAGTCCCCTAAAGTTATCCATAGGATATGGACAAAATGTTAATATGATTGAGAAGTAAAGGATAACTCCTTTGCAAGTATTCTGGCTATTTAATTATTTGAATGGTCTGAGATTGAGATTTTGAGTTGCTTTATCCAGAGCCATTGAACAGTTGAATGAATCTCAATTTCAAAGATTTAATATCTTGTGCACAGCAAACATTTCTCAATGTTGATTCAATGAAAAATTAACATTGATTCAATTTTGAATTTCTCAAGCATTGATCGAGCATTCCAGAGTAAGACCCAAATAATAAAGGGAATTCGATATGAAAATAATTCAATTGTCTTGTTTATGGAACACTTTATCAAAGCTCCTTGAGAGGTATGCCTATACCAAAATTTCATTTGAATGCCTTGGATGTATGAGGATTCCACTAACATTTCAACTCAATTATTCCCAGCATGAAACAAAATGCATAAATAAATAAAATCTATCTGAGCTAAAAATAAAGAAATACCTGCATGTATTTTGTTCGCAAATATAGTGCCCATGCAATTGTATTATTATCTAAATTTTTTATCTCAACTTTATTTGTGCCAGGTATATGTAATTTTGCACATATTCCAAATATTGTATCTATTCTCCTGCACTCATGTGGTGACATACACCCCAATCCCGGGCCTGAAAATGGCAATTTGACATGCCTATTCTCAAACATAAACAGCATAAATGCTGATAATGGGGCTAGATTTGAGGATCTAAAAATCAGAGCAAATTTTGATTTTCCATCAGTCATTAGTATATGTGAGGCAGGTCAAGTACAAGAAATGGTTGCACTAGGCCAACTTGACATAAATAACTATAAAAGACCTATCTTTTCTAAACTTGGTAGGGGTCTACTTCTTTATATTAATTCCAATATACCAACTAAGGAACTTGATCAAAATTTCTATGTACCTGACCTTGACTGTATCTTTACTGAACTAATATTGAATCACAAGCACATCCTGATAGGGGTGTGTTACAGGTCTCCAAGTCAAACAGCACAGGAAACTCGACAATATTTTTCGAGACTCGAACAACAATTCCAAATAATAAAAAACTACCCTACTAATTTTGACCATGTCATCATCTCAGGTGATTTAAATGCCAAAAACTCAGCCTGGTACCAGAATGATGATAATCTGGCTGGGAAACTATTATCTGATCTTATTGATGATTTTGACTTCACCCAACTAATTAACAAACCTACTAGGTTCTCAAAGAACTCTCAATCATGCATCGATCATATTCTTACTGACTCACCTGATATTTTTACATCTTGGAGTATAACTGACCCAATTGGAAGAGCAGATCACTGCACCATTTTATCATATTTAAAACTAAGCATCACAAAGGAACAGCCTGTTAGGAAAACTATTTGGAAATATGATCTGTGTAATCTTGAAAATTTAAACAATGCAATCCGAAACACCGACTGGCAGAAAATTATTGATTCAGACATTGATATAAACAAAGTGACCTCACATTTTGGCAATTCACTTATGAATATTTACTCAAAACACATTCCAAATAAGAATATCACTATCAAATCTAAGGATCAGCCCTGGTTTAATGAAAATCTTAGGCAAGAAATCAACAAAAAGAAATTACTTTTTAGGAAACTCAAATCATCACCTACCACCCTCAATAGACATCTTTATGACAATCAATCAATCAAAGTAACGACTCTTATTACGAATCTTAAAGAATATCATGATAAAAAAAACCGCGATTCCATTAATAACTTTAGTAAAAATGATAAGAATTATTGGAAACTAATAAGGCTGTTTCTTGGTAAAAGTGCTGATTCCCAAATTCCACCACTACTTAATCAAAATCAACCGCCAATAACAGATAACCTTGAGAAGGCAAATGCCTTTCTAAAGCTGTTTGCATCCAAAAATCATATGGATAATATAAATTTTGACCAATTGCCTAATTTTCCTGACAGAACCAACTCTTTACTCATTTCAGTTGCGACCAATCCAGATGAATTGATGAAATTAATTTTGTCACTTGACACTTCAAAAGCCTGTGGACCTGATATGATCACGAACAAAATGCTTAACCTCACAGCACACACAATATCAAGACCTCTATCTACCTTATTTAACAGACTATGTTCAAGAAATGTTTTTCCAGAACCATGGAAGGTGGGCATAGTTTGTCCAATTTTTAAAAAAGGTGACAAGTCTGACATTAACAATTACCGCCCGATTACCTTATTAAACACTATATCCAAACTGTTTGAAAGGGTAATAGCTGATCGAATTCGAACGCATTTGACTTTTAATAATTTACTTTATAAACACCAGGCAGGTTTTCTTCCTGGACATAGCACACAAGCCCAACTTTTGACTATAGAACACTTCCTTCAGAATAATTTTGAAGAAGGAAAGGCATCAAAAGGAATATTTCTTGATATTGCATCAGCATTTGACAAAGTCCCTCATCACTTACTCATATTGAAACTCAAATCTTATGGTATAAGGGGACAGTTACTAAATGTCATAAAATCCTATCTCTCTGACAGAAAAATGTATGTAAATTTAGCTGGTGCTTCGTCTTCTATGTCGGAGGCCAATTTTATCAATTGCGGTGTTCCACAAGGATCAATTTTGGGACCTCTATTTTTTTTACTGTACATAAATGATCTCCCAGATAAAATTGACACAGAGTGCTATATATACGCAGATGATACTTCACTGCAGTTCTCTTTTGACCCCAAAAATCCGAATGAGATTGATCAATCTGTTGCAAGTAACCTGGAAGCAATTCAAAATTGGTCCAAATTATGGAAGCTCGAGTTTAAACCTGAGAAGAGCTGCGAAGTCATTTTCCATACTCCAAGAATGCCAATCGAAAACGTGACCACATCATTTCTCAATAACTCTGAAATCAAAAGAATTGCAACCCATAAACATCTTGGTTACTGTTTTGATGAATGCCTCTCAAATATAAATCATATTGATGAGATTTGTACAAAGGTTAAAAAACTCCAAGGTAAACTGACAGCCAAACATTTGGAGACAATCTTTACCTCATTCATCCGTCCATATTTTGACTATGGTGTTGTATTATACAACAAATCTTCCAAATATTTACTTGAACGGTTGAATAAGCTGTATTACCAAGCAGCCATCTTGTGTTCAGGCTGTTACCATGGTAGTAATACCACTAAAGTGCTCACTTTACTACAATGGCATACATTAGAGGACAGAAGGAAGATGCAAGTTAATAATTTCATGTACAAGGTTGTCAATGGAACAAATCCTGTATATCTAAATGAGATCTTTGAGAAGTACAAAAATAAAAGCATTAGAACTAATCGTAACACTTTTGACTTCAAGCTACCTATCCGCTGTAGCAACAGATTCTTGGAGTCGGCAGTCCTAGGTGCAGTCAGTTCATGGTCAATGCTGCCATCATATATCAGGGAAAAGAAGACACTTCAGACTTTCAAAAAATATCAAAAAACTTATTTTGCTCCCAAAAAACTCACTCTACCATCTACCTTTCTTAATTTGACAAGAAAACAAGAAATAATCATAAACAGACTTAGAGCTGATTTACTTTTTAGGGCTCAACTATACGCCCATAACTTTACCTTCATTGATGGCCCAAATTGCTCATGTGGAGCTACCAGTACGCCAAAGCACTTTTTTCTGAAATGTCCAAATAATGAATTGAATTTTCAAACATTAAAAAATGACATTGAATTGATTGCACCAGGAGCCTTTAATAAACATAAAAATCAAGCTGATTTACTTTCTTTATTCTATTATGGAGATCCTGATCTACCTTTAGAAACAAATTCGCAACTCTTGTCCAAAGTGGCTGATTTTATTTCTGCCAATATCTGAATTCCCTCCTCAAGTGAACCTGTTTAGTCTCCCCTCCAAACACCCCTCCCCTATCCCCACCCTACAAGTGCATCCCCTTTAACCTGTTGTATAGTGTACTATTATGATTTATTATATGTATTAATATATATTGTTTAAATGTCCATTTTTCCTATAATGCCTTCGGGCGATTGGAATTATGTATTTGCTAATAAGTTTGAATGAATAAATTCATATAAAAAAAAAAAAAAAATGTATTTTGTTGCATCTCAAATGTTAATCAGCGATTACAGTACCATACTTGTTATTAAGAATAAAATGTGATGTGTTTGATGATCTATTTTCCAGGAGGTCAAATTCTAGAAATCGTTCCAGAAGGTCAAACTCAAGGTCAAGATCAAGACGTAACCAAAGGTCAAGATCACCAAGAAGGTCACGGAGATCACCCTCAAGTTCAGACTAATTTAAATGAACTGTAATATGAAACATATTATATGAAGTTCATACCTGTGAGGAGAGTGATAATTATTCCTATGGAAACATTTGTATATATAGAAGTACAGTGGATAGAAAGGATTGTGAGTCCAATGTTATCATTGTGGGTTTTTATTCAGACTCCTATCAAGTGCAGTTGTACCTGGAAGTGCCCAATGGACGAGAGTGAACCTCAGTCGCTAGTTGCAGCATTTTATTCAGCATAAACACTTTAGATAATATAATGATGTTTGTATTGCTCAATGAGGTTTGATTATTGAGTTAAACATTCAACAATCAAAAACATAGTCTATCCATCAGCTCTATAGTGATTTATTTTATTTCACGCTATTTTTGTCTCAGATTTATTTATTTGAAACCTCTAAAATTGGGAGTCATTTGAGAAACTCCTACTGGCCAATGCTGAATACATATGAAAGGTTGCTTATTTGCCCACTAGTCCTGCGAGACTAGGATAAGATTGAATTGTTAAGGAGGAAAATAGTAGCCATAAAATCAATAATGCTGAGTTCTGGAGTTTGTGCAATTCTCTACATTCAACAATTAGTTCAAAAAGGATTGTCAATCAAGAAAATGTCAACAAACGTAATCCAATTGTGTTCCAATCCAAATGAAGTAACGTATAACAAGCAGATTTTTTGTATATGAAGCAGATTTGTTTTTTGGAGTATAGAGACTTAAAAGATCATCATCTTGACAATGTTTGCATAATTTATGACATACAAAAATAGGCAGACAGTAACACAAAAATAGGCAAACTGACACAAAAATAGGCTGTCATTGAACTCAACTAAAAACTAGATTCAGACTCGTAGTGAGCAACATTTTTTTCACTGCTATTCCAAAATGAATATGTTTTATAAGGTTGTATTGTTTTAGATCATGGCGAAGTTATTGTAAATTGTACGTTTAAGTAAATTGCTGCTGGAAAGTTCTGAATTATAAATGTATTCACATTTGTGTAAAAAAAGAAACATGAATGTTTAATCTACATTTCATTTGAATAAGCTATTAACTTTTAGCAGTTTTCATTTTAGAAAATAGGTATGACAAGGATTAATATGATCTCCAAACATTGTGCAATTGGTACAATATTTGGAAATGTGCTTTTCATATCTGATTCTACTTCATATAAGTCAGAGAAGAAAATATTTGGTAATACTCATGCATGATTTTGAAGGAGTTATGTAATTTTTTAATTGATTTGTCAGAAAATTGATTTAAATGTTTGTGAAAATAAAACAACACAAGCTGTAATTTAATATATAAATATAAATGTTTTATTGCATTGAAACATTGCTAAACTATGTTGTCCCTTTATACAATGTGAATTCACCTGACTTGGCATTAAGATATATACATAAGTACTACTATACATAATTATATTAAAATGCAACACAGCTGCAATATCTCTTCCCTGTACCTATTGGCTAGTATACAAAAGAATATATGAACCTATATAAATCCTTTAAACTTTGATTGCTAAGGTGGTTATATAATGTACCCAGTACATTACAAATGATCTTACAATAAGGTGTATATGATTTTATAGAAAAATCTTCATATGACATTATCAAGTTTTATACTCCAGCAAAAAGTGGGCATAACCAGCTTGGTTTGTTCCTTAATTCCAGAAATCATTTGATTCCTCCATGTATATAGGAAAGTAATGAATTAATAGAATTATTTGATAAGTTAATTTGAAGAATTAATTTTACTATTTGCTCTTCAGAAAATGTACCAAAATGCAACAAAAATACATTCAATTGTCATTATTGGATAAAATACATTGAATCTATTTAAATTATGTAAGTATTTATATGAACAAAAAGACTCCCTGAAAGCCACATTTTGTGAGTAATAATGACCTTAAAATCTCATCTCTAAAGAAGTACATAAACCATTCCATTGTATAAAGTACTTACTTTTGTCTCTTTATACCATACAGACTCTGAAGGCTTATATACTGAAAACATATATTGTCATATTATAGACAGCCCACTACAGCACTTTGTCCATTTCTAAGTTAATGGTAGGTGGAGAATTTCTCTAATTTACTCCCTATGTGCATCAGTAATGCTAAAGAGCAGAAAATAATTATTACAGTAAAACTGGTCTAATTCAAAAGTATTGAGATTAGCAGTTGCTCAGATTTCAAGTTATTTTCAAATATGTCGTTCAATTGGAGATAACAAAGGGACCAAGAATACATGTAAATATTCAAATTGCCAAGAATCCTAAGTATTCACATTGAGAGGTTTTGGACTAGAAAGGTGTTCGAATATAACAAGTTTCACTTTACTTTCAAATGTTTTTTGGAAACATGTGTGGATGTCACTACTTTTAAATGAATTGTTTCACTAGTTTATAAATCATATCAGCTGGTAATAAACACTTTGATGTTTCATAAGCACTTTGATGTTTTACAAATCCATTATTTTTACATCATCATACAAACTGCACAGAGATGGACATCTGTGATAGAAGTGATGATGAGCCTACGTTCATTGACGTGACTCCTGATAGAAGTGGTGATGAGCTTACGTTCATTGACGTGACTCCTGATAGAAGTGGTGATGAGCCTACGTTCATTGTCATGGTTCTCTTAGAGGCAATTGAACAAACTGCTTGTGTTCACTAATTATTGGAACTTACCTATTTCAAAGGCTGTCTGATTTTTCTGTAGTAACAGAATCAGAGACAGTCTTTGAACTAGATAAATTGGAATATTATATCCTCTGTGTTGTTTGTTCAGTTAGTTTCATGACTTCTGTCAAGTTGGTCTTAATGACTAGTTATTACAGCTAGGCATCACTTGATTCTCGCTTTTGCATATTAGATAGATATGCTAATGTTCTTTTTGTGTTAGATTGAGCAGTTTTATTATTGACAGTATTATTATTCTTTGTTGTATTTGGCTTGTCTGAAGCTGTATGTTTGTCTTTATGTGTTTTACCATCCATTTGATCTTCATCATCAAATGTCTCATATACATCCTCGGGTTCCCACTCAGGGGAGGCTGCATTACCCGAGTCATCATATTCTGCATATGATGGCTGTTCACTAAGCTTAGAGTCTTTGCTCAAGTCCTCAACTTTGCCCATCTTTTTCATTGCTGAGATGTTTGCAATCTGTGACCTTGGGAGGGTGGGCACGGGTTCTTCATACACCTCTTGGTCCTCTTGCATGGGGGCAGGAATCGGGGGTAGCGGACCTCGCTCATTTAGAGATGAACTGGAAGATTGGGTGTCATATTTAGGGTTTGATAGAATTTCAACACTACTACCTCTCTTGGTTTTCATTCCAGTGTAGGCATTAGGTTTAGCTTTTCCCTGAGTTTTTGGCTCTTCAAGATTGCCCTCCGAGTCCCTTTTGAGTTCTAAATATTTACGATCATCACTATCCCTCTTTTCATCTACATTTTGGTAGATTTCTTCACCATTGTTGTAGCCACTATTGGTGAAGGCTGACACTGTGCTGAGCTTAGATTTGTTTACTTGTATTGGGTCATCATAGAAGTCATCGTCCCATTGTTCACCTTCCCACATATCACCATCATCAATCTCCATTCTGTTCAGTTCACGATGGATAGCTGGTTCCTCTAGATTTCTCACAGGGGGAGGTGGAGCTTCTTCATTATCCCTTCTAAATCGTTTCCAGAACATCAACTTCTGCATATCAAAGCCTGCCTCAGGATCATTTGGGTCATGTCGCAATTTATTCCAAAACTTCATTTTCTCCCAGTCAAATGTCTTTTTCTCAAGTCCAGGGTCGGTGTTTGTTGTATCATCATGATCTACATCTCCATTTCTCTTTGGACTCTCAGGAGTTTCATTGTTTCTGTTTCTCCAAATTGGAAGATTTGAGACTTTGACAGGGGCCTCTATGTGTTCCATGGCTTCAGGATTCCTTCTTAGCAGGAGATATCCCAGTAGCAACATTAGAAGGACAGTTATTAGGAAAGTTAGGATGACACTCAGGGTGATAGCCACATTTTTCTCATGTGACATTTGCGTCTGTGGGACTACGGCTACACCACCTGTGGTCATTACATCAACACAGCTAGATAAACGGCAGAATTCAAACGTGAAGCACGTGACATACCCCGTGTTTGATCTCAGGCCTGTTAACAACATTGAGCCATTCTCCGCTGGAATGTTTAATGTTGAGTTTGAATTACTGTTGAATTGTCTAATGTCTACAATGAGGCGTGTGTTTGGAAGAGCGATGAGGCCATTTGGTGTCCATGATACAGCGACTGCAGTGTCAAAAACAGAAGTGACCTTGACATTGAGAGTTGTCCCAGTGCAAGAGGTTGGCACAGTAGGAGTGGAGCCATCCTCACACACTTGGACTGTGTAGTGAGTCACCTTCACATCAGTTCTAGTGCCATTCCCCAACACACATGTAAACTCATCAAATATGTTGATACCTTTCTCAACTATGTAGTTCTTCAATGAATCAAGCGTAGAGTCGCATCTAAATGTGTTCCCGTTCAAGCCTAGTTGCCATAAATTGGGCACATAAGTTAAAACTTCAGGCGATAACGCTTGTAAAGTATTCCCTGATAAATCCAATCTTTGTAGCTGGTTCAATCCACTAAATGTTGATGTTGAAAATAGATCAACTCCACTGGAACTCATTAAAAGAACATTTAGGTATTTCAGCTGTGTGAACTGGGCTACTCCAATAAAACTTCCTGCCAGTAAATTCTCTGACAAATCCAAGTAATTTAATGAACCAATGGTGTTAACAACTGTGAGGATATATGTTGTGAATCTGTTTTTGCGAAGGTTCAATTTTTCTAGGACTTTGCAGTATTGAAATGAGGTTATATCTAATGAGTTGAAGCGGTTAGAGCTGAGGTCCAAGTCCTGGAGACTGACCAAGTCATCAAAGAGGTAGACATTGAGGGACCCAAGGCCATTGTTGGCCAGATTAAGGTAGTCGAGGGATCTGAGGCCACTGAATGCTGACCCTGATATTGTACTTATCATGTTTTCACTCAGGTCCAGATACTGTAGATCTGTCAACCTGTTGAATGCCAGGTCACCTGCAATCACAGAAAATCCACTGATTGAAAATTGCATATTGAGGGTAAGCTATACGATTTTAAGAGAACTTGTATTAGTCTAGCTACAAGCCCTTGTGAGCTCATGCCCCAATACACACCTCCCTATGTGAGAAGGTGTGTAGTCGAGTAGTGAAAGGGAGATCACATGGGCTTGAAGCTAGACTAAACATGTATATGAACGTGTAGAATTATTGCACTCTGGTGATTAGTTTTACTACTTGTCTGATTGCATATAGAAATATGAGTAGAAGGGTTGTAACTAGCTCCATAAAAAACACAATCAATGGGGACAGTTTCCGCTGGGGCCATAATATTTCATGTGCAATACTTATACAAGTTCTCATAAAATAGGTAGCTTCACCTCCCTTGTAAAAGTGTATTCAAGGATTTATATAATTGTCATTCAGTTATCTATTCTCAGAAAATTATGAACAGAAATATAGCGTTCCCTGAAACATTTAGTACACAATTAGTTGATAGTTTAATCTGTTGGTTAAAGCGTTAAGTCCAAATCTTGGACCAAGTTAAAGGTGTTCACATTGAGAGGAGTTCAGATTAGAGGGGTGTTCGTATTTACAGGTTTTACTGCAATTTGTGCAGCTCATTAAAAGGGAGCAAAAGAACACAGTCATCACATTGAATAGAAACATTCAAATATGAAAATATGAGTAGTTACATTGTACAACCAGATTTTTCTCAGCATACAATATATAATTACCATGACACTAAAAGTGTATAATGTACATGCAATATAACTAATAAATCCTATATGATATAGCTGATAAAGGATTATCTCTCTGCAAGTGCTTAACATTGTACTTTGGTCAAGTAAACTATCTCAAGATTACACATACTTGAGGTAGAAATGACACAATTATATTATATTCTGAGAACTGAATCTAGCCTAAACAGACCAATACAATTATGAGTTGACTGGTATAAGTTATTAAACCTTGGATTCCAGTGTTTTAAGTAATTTATTGACATTGAGATATGATGCGAACTGACAACACAATCAGCAAAACATTTTATTGCGTGTTTTCAGGGATGAGATGAGATAGAGTGTGTAAAATGTTAGAATCAATTATATTGTTTCAAAAATCATCCCAATCTTTACCTTACAAATTTTATTTTCTGAAATGAGTTATTCAACATTTTCAATGCAGAAATTCCAAATCACTAGATTTTGAAAAAAGGGGTGTAAAAAGGAGAATTAACATTTTTAAGGATTTCCTGTGTATTCGCTACGCTCAGAAAACCTCTAAATATGAAAACATTTTTTGGTCACATTTTTTTTTATTTAATCTGCTATTGACTTCCATGTGAAAAAATGAAATGTGAACACCTGCCAATCTAAACTCTTTTGCCGATGCCAGTGGCAGAGAGGTTTTACTGTACATACCTATTTGAATGAGGTTATTTCCACGCAATATGAGGCGCTGTGTGTCTGTCCTGAGTATAGGTAGCTTATCCAGACCCCTATAGCTGCAATTCATCTCTTTAATATTCTCATTGCACACACATTCATCTGGGCAAGTCTGGGTCACCACTGGTGTCACATATAGGGATAGCGTCACACATAGCACACATGCTAGAAACCTTATGTAGCAAGAATCCTAAAATATGTTTGAATCGTATTATTTTATTTTTACTATAGTTGATAAAGATGTTGCTATGGTTGACATAGATGTTACTATGGTTGACATAGATGTTACTATAGTTGACAAAGATGTTACTATAGTTGATATAGATGTTACTATGGTTGACATAGATGTTACTATGGTTGACATAGATGTTACTATAGTTGACAAAGATGTTACTATAGTTGATATAGATGTTACTATGGTTGACATAGATGTTACTATTGTTGACATAGTTGTTACTATAGTTGACATAGATGTTACTATAGTTGACATAGATGCTACTATAGTTGACATAGATGTTACTATGGTTGACATAGATGTTACTTTAGTTCAAATAGATCTTTCTACAGTTGACATAGATGTTACAATAGTTGAGATGTTACTAAAGTTGATATAGATGTTACTATAGTTGACATAGATGTTACTATAGTTGATCTAGATGTTACTTTAGCTGACATAGATGTTACTATAGTTGATATAGATGTTACTATAGTTGAGATGTTACTGAAGTTGATATAGATGTTTCTTTAGTTGACAAAGATGTTACTATAGTTGACATAGATGTCACTATAGTTGATAAACTTCAATTTTTTCTTTTGAAATTTTATCCTCAAAGGAAAACTCAATAAAAAGTAATATTAAAACAGACAAATTTTCAGATTTCTTTAATATTTAAATGGTAAAAAATATAAGGAACCTTATAGTAGGTATGGGATACATCCATCGTGTATGGTTGGTTTTAAATACAGGATTTATAAAACCTATATCTGCAACCTCCCAGTACATAACCCTTATTAAGTGAACATGTCAATTGTAATCAAATAGCAGTTTCATAATTTTCATGTACTCATACATTTACTTATAAAGTGATAGGTGTAAAATAAACTAATCTAATTGAAATTAATTACCCTTAAGTTAATTATGATTTTGAAACACATTTATTCTTATTTACCTTAATACAAAAAACTTACCATTCTATTTCGTATTTAATAAATATTCGCTAATGTGACTGTCTTGGTATTCATTGTTGTATAAAATTAGTCAATTCCAAGCAAATATGATGATATATTCCAAATGCTCCATTTCTTAATTGTTTTTACTTTAATCTATTCAAATATACTGGCATTATGCATGTTATGTTGGTTCACATGTTCATGTAATCAATGTCCAATGTGAAATAGCCCCAGTGAGGAATGTCCATATATCAGCTACACTCCTCTCCATAAGTCTGGTCAGTGAAAGTTCAAATTGTATCATTTATCAAAGCCTATGTTTGGTGATTTTAAAAAATCATTTTTGTCAAATTTCAGAACTATTGTAATTAAGAAAAAACAAAATTAAGATTTTAACATTGACAAGATTTGAAATGCTAAACCAATAAAAACTTCTAGTTGCCTTCTGGAGGGGAGTGTATATCAAGTAGAGCTGATAAAATAGTAAATATAACCAGATTAGAATTTTATTAGTAGTGGAACTAGGAACCGACGTCATTTCATCAAGTACTCCTTTGTCCAAATTTGTTATCAGCCCATGTGAGTGGAAATGAATAACTCACATTCCACTTCACTTTTCACCAATCCCCAAATTTCTAAATAATACATCAAAACAACTCAACAATAAATCTTAAAAATGGATAAAATTCATGTCAATTCTATAGTGTCAAATTAGTCACCAGTTTATTTTACTGTATAAAATAAACTTTAAGTTGAAAATTAAATTCTTACATGGGCTAAAACCTAGTATTTGAAGTATATACAGTTGCACCTAGTATCAATATTGCCCCCATATATTTTGATATCCCTGAACTTTGGCCTGGTGGTACATGTCATAAATAGTTATCAGTTGTATCAGTGAAGTATCAATGTACTTGTAGCTAGGAATACCACCATTAGAGGTTGGTATCTCTACCTCATACAAAGGGATCTTGATTGCAATTATTACAAATTATCATGAAAGTGGTGTTATATTATATTTGGCCTTCAGTGTATTATGAAACAAAGCCTTTCAGCATTATTAAAGTTATAGTTTCCATATTATAAGCCCCTGAACACCATCTACTAGTATCTATTTGTTGGAGGGGATGTTTTAGAAAGGTGGGAGAGGGCACAATGGCTTACCATTGCGAGACTATTTACATATGTAAATTATAGGATAGCCCGATGCACCACAACTGAAGATGTTTGTATCACAAAGATGCTTCAAGGAACCAATCGAATTCCCTGAAGGGTTAGATCTTCGGTTGTGGTCCAAAAACATACTTGGCACATACTGCATGCACAATGGACAGATTCCCTACTTCAAAGCAAATAATTGAGACTAATAGAGATAGCAAGTTTACTTGCTTAGTAAGATGGCCAGGAGGATGTCACGATTATACACCAGGAAGTACATTCCACATTCCTCTCATTTATTTACAAGACACTCAGATCATTCGATTTATGATTTGAGTCATAAAATTGAAGAATATAGACTGTAACAGCACTCCATAGGTGTATTTTTCTATAATAATTTATATATTTTCATTGTAGTTATTACATATAATGTACCATTTACCTATACAGTACATACCTACAAACATAATGCAAAACTTCTTAAGGTGAACATTGTCATCTATATATTCAGTATAACAGTTGTGCATTGGTAGCCATAACACATAGAATTCAATAATAAAAAATATATATTTATGCATTCAAAATGAATGAGAATTGGCATTTGACTCAGAGGTAGGCTGGATACTCAAAAATCCAGAACATGATGAACCTATGTAAAAGTATATTTCTAAACAATTAATTGTAGTAATTTCAAAAATGAAAAGAATATTTTATGTTTTTAACATCATTTTATTTTTCAGGAATCCAAAAATACTAATAATTGAGTGTAGTATCTAATGGTAGGTTCTTACTTTACAGCCTTTTTGAAACATTTTAGTGCCTCAAGTTACAAAATATGGAAAGTCAGTATATCAAGGCTTTACTGATATTTTATGTTATTAAAAATGGGATATACCATGGTATAAATAGTTGACTTAGTTTTTCTTTAAAATTTCCAATAGTATTTTACATCATGTATAAATAATATGAAATGGACGGCTAATGATGTCAAAACTAGATATTTTACATATTTATAATAATATACATTTATAAATAAGATGAAATGGAATGATGGAATGTTAAACTATTAATGACTTGTACATATAAATGACATTTTTGTTAAATGATAACTTTAATATATTTTCAAATAACCTCACTTAAGCAGTTCAATGCTACTTGGAAGATTAGATTCTACATGTCTTTAACCAAATAAATAATACAACAACAATTTACCTCAGGTTATCTTGCTTGTCCAGTGTCAAATTGATAAACCACATGTAGTGATTAGAGAATATGATTGTTTTGTTCACTTTATTGTCAACAATTTTGCATTTACTGTTCACCCATTGCACCCGCCATCTTTCCTCCATGGCTCCCTTTGGCTCAAACGTGTTCCTCTGACAGATGTGACAACATTCATAGATGTAGTGATTGTTGTTATGTTTACTCCTGCTCATGGATATGTTTGCTGTTCATCCATATGAGTCCATAAATGTACTGTTCATACATACATATGATGTTCATAAATGTACATACATATGATGTTCATAAATGTACTGTTCATACATACATATGATGTTCATAAATGTACATACATATGATGTTCATAAATGTACTGTTCATACATACATATGATGTTCATAAATGTACATACATATGATGTTCATAAATGTACTGTTCATACATATGATGTCCATAAATGTACTGTTAATTTATACGATGTTCATAAATGTACTTTTCATATATACGATGTTCATAAATGTACTGTTCATATATGCCATGTTCATAAATGTACTGTTCATGTATATAATGTTCATAAATGTACTGTTCATGTATATAATGTTCATAAATGTACTGTTCATGTCACAGGTTTGATAATGGAATGTTTATGTACAATACTATTCACTAGTATGATCACTTAAAATGAAATTATGTACAATAGATGTATATACAATATTCTATATACAATGTTCCTCATATTCTGCATGAATATGGATTGTTTGAGATCCTTCTACATCACTAAAATAATCACTTATTTTTTCTTCCCTTTTGCTGCAGGTTTCCCTGGAAATATAAAGAATTCAAACATTATGCAACAGATGAGAAAATGTGTAAAGATGCGACAACTGACAAGAGTTGGCCACTTAGTACCAAGATGGTTCACATGTACAGTAAGCCTTCTGATATGAATGCTACTGGAAATAGCCAAGTGTTCAGATTTCAATGTTTCTTAATATGTGAGTTGATGGGAGATGGACCTCAAAAAAGAGACTGGGAAAATCTGTTCAGATTGAGAGATGTTCGGATAAGAGGGGTTTGGACAAGTTGCTCGTTTGTGTTGTTTCCTAAGCTAAACCAGTGATAATGGTCTATAAAGTACATAAGTACCTGATCACTTGTGTTATTTTGTTCCTATTCCATTCCATGCCAGGCTTACTACATGTACATACATATTCTACTCACCTTTATTATTCAAAGCTGGCAGTCTGCGTGGGTTCTGTTTGCAGCCATCCTTGCTCATCAAATGAGACTTCCAGCTCTCCTCTCCAGGTGGGAAGTTCAGATGACACAATGGGCAGTGGTTCTTGCCATTCTCTGATGCTAAAAGTTAAGTTAACATGACTAAATGTTTATGCTTTAATACAGTAGTTATTTATGAAACAATTGTACTACATTTCACTTATTTCTAAAATCTTTCTTGTATAGTATTACTTGTTGAATCTTCCAATAACATAGCACGTGTTTGATCTTTCCCATATAAATTGTCTGAGATCAACTCCACCTCCAATCTCTTGCTTTCCTCAATAACACCAATGTATGAGGCTGCATCTGAGAGAACAGAAATGAGAGGTGGCTGATTCATGACTATTGAGTAATTGTAGCATATAAACACTGAATACTTACGTGGACATGATTTTGCCTTGATATGAGCATCTACCTCAGCAGTAGGGAAGGCTTCACTACAACGTGGACACTTGCCATAGTTATCCTTGGCCTCACACTCTGAGAGATAATGGTCAGACAGGCCAGCAATCTCCACCACCTGCTTGCAGTTGGCACATCTTTTCAGCATTGGGCATACCTTCCAATAATGGACATCAAGACCCTTGTCTGAGAATGCCTCATTCTTCTCACCACAGAACACACAAGTGCTGCAATATATGCCAACATATAACTAATTGGGAATGTACTGAACTAATAGGTGATACACATCTACACAATTATGTTTATGCCCCTGGCAGATAGATACATACTTGTCTAAGACTATGGCTGAGATATACATACTTGTCTATGTCTATGGCTGAGATATACATACTTGTCTATGTCTATGGCTGAGATATACATACTTGTCTATGACTATGGCTGAGCTATACATACTTGTTTATGTCTATGGCCCAAATATACATACTTGTCTATGGCTGAGATATACATACTTGTCTATGACTATGGCTGAGATATACATACTTGTCTATGACTATGGCTGAGCTATACATACTTGTTTATGTCTATGGCTGAGATATACATACTTGTCTATGACTATGGCTGAGATACACATACTTGTCTATGACTATGGCTAAGCTATACATACTTGTTTATGTCTATGGCTGAGATACACATACTTGTCTATGGCTATGGCTGAGCTATACATACTTGTTTATGTCTATGGCCCAGATATACATGTATATACTTGTCTATGGCCGAGATATACATTCTTGTCTATGTCTATGGCTGAGATATACATACTTGTCTATGGCGGAGATATACATACTTGTCTATGACTATGGCTGAGATATACATACTTGTCTATGACTATGGCTGAGCTATACATACTTGTTTATGTCTATGGCCCAAATATACATTCTTGTCTATGGCTGAGATATACATACTTGTCTATGACTATGGCTGAGATATACATACTTGTCTATGACTATGGCTGAGATATACATACTTGTCTATGACTATGGCTGAGATACATACTTGTCAATGGCCCAGATATACATACTTGTCCATGTCTATGGCTGAGATATACATACTTGTCTATGACTATGGCTGAGATATACATACTTATCTATGACTATGGCCGAGATACATATTTGTCTATGGCCCAGATATACATACTTGTCTATGACTATGGCTGAGATATACATACTTGTCTATGACTATGGCTGAGATATACATACTTGTCTATGACTATGGCTGAGATATACATACTTGTCTATGACTATGGCCGAGATACATACTTGTCTATGGCCCAGATATACAAACTTGTCCATGTCTATGGCTGAGATATACATACTTGTCTATGACTATGGCTGAGATATACATACTTATCTATGACTATGGCCGAGATACATACTTGTCTATGGCCGAGATATACATTCTTGTCTATGTCTATGGCTGAGATATACATACTTATCCATGTCTATGGCTGAGATATACATACTTGTCCATGTCTATTGCTGAGATATACATACTTGTCTATGTCTATGGCCCAGATATTCATATTTGTCTATGTCTACGGCCCAGATATACATACTTGTCCATGTCTATGGCTGAGATGTACATACTTGTCTATGTCTATGGCTGATATATACATACTTGTCTATATCTATGGCTGAGATATACATACTTGTCTATATCTATGGCTGAGATATACATACTTGTCTATGTCTATGGCCGAGATATACATACTTGTCTATGTCTATGGCTGAGATATACATACTTGTCTATGGCTGAGATATACAAACTTGTCTATGACAATGGGCCAGATATACATACTTGTCTATGTCTATGGCTGAGAGATCATCTTCAATCTCTGGTTTCTTTATAGCACCTTTATCTTGTTTCTCTTGTTTACCACGTGGAGTATTCTTTGCCTGTAATCACAATATTAAAACGTATTGTGAAGATACTACATCATGATTTCACCATAAAATGTGCACGAGTAAGGAAAGCAAAACTCACGAATTAGCGAGATGTTGTTTAATTTGAAATATAATGTGATCTGCTGTTGAATAAGTTTATCATGAGAAAATATTAAATTAATTAAATTTTGATCTTTTTAACTAAACAGTATTACATTTATCACCTTATTTTTTAATGCATTCCTTACCATTCCAAATAAGATACATCTAAAAATACATATGCCAATCAAATCTCAAAATTGATCTGAAAAAAGAGCCTAGTTTGATATACTTTTCCATCGAACCCACCTTAGGTTTATTATTCTGTTTTGATTTATCTGCAACTGGAGTGGACTCTGGAGCACCCTCAGTCTGAAGTGAAGATTTTTAATATTTATTAAGTTTTATTTAATATGATGCTAGTTGGTGAAACAATATATATATATGTGTTTTGTGCCTAAAAGAACAGGAGGGATAATTTCGAGATGGACAAAAATGAATAAAATTGGTTTCAAGAATAAAATTGATGAGAGTGGGTACATTGGTACATGTATAATATTATATACGTTGCTCTAAAAAAAGTGAACATAGATTGCACTATTAAAGCTTTAATTAAAACAATTAATGAAACAAATATTGAATTTGAATGCCAATGCAATGACAGTACAGGCTGTTTGGTTTACAGTTACTTGCTTTTATTCCCTGTTGTTTACTTTTGTTTATTGTCATATACTGTTATTTATTATTGTTTTCTTTTGTTTACTTCATTTGTTTACCTGTTTTTGGAGCTCCTTCAGTTGCTGTAATTGGTTCTTAAGTGCATTAATTTCTTCTTTCTTCTTTGCTTCCTCTTCAGCCTTCTTTTTCTGGAAATAAAAGACAGCATGATATGATCATAATAACAATGTCTTTTTCATTAAAAACAAAGAAAAACCAAACAAAAAACATATATACAGCCCTGTTTTAAACCAGGAGTATATACTATTACATTGTATTTTGTTTACCACCGATGAAGGTGAGCAACACCTCTTGGGTATATCCTATGTAAGGTCGTAATATACGTAATTAACCTGTAAGATAGACCCAGAAACCCCTCCTTGAAGGAGCCCTGTGTTCTTTTATGTGTGCTCAAACCCCGGGGCTCAAACATAGACATACAAGTACACACCACAGCCTTTTGTACGAGTTATGGACCACCCAGACAAACCCCCTGGAATACTTTACGCAAACAAGCATATTATGTCTTGCTTGAAACAGGGACCAATTCTGGGTCATATTGTGTAATTGGTACACAAGCCACCTCTGAGCTACATGGGTGGTATATAATAAGCAGATTTAAAAACTATAGAAATAAAACATATATTTTAAAATACCTTCATTTCAGATCTTGATGGTTTCCCATCTATAGTATCAAAAGCTTCAAACAGCTGCCTATAGAGGGTGTTCTTCCGAGTTTTGTCGTCATCTGGAGGCAAGTGTTTCTTTACATCTTTTTTGTCTTTGTACAGTTGAATTATGATTCGTTCTGCAATATTTCGTGTTCCAGCATCTGTGTGTTCAAGACACCTCAGTAGAAAGTGCATCATGTTATCAAGGGATAGACCTGAGCTGTAAATAATAAACAAAACAAACCATAAATAAACAAATATAAACTAAAACACTGCACCTAATTTAGGATGACATAATTTGCTAATACATAATATAATATAAGCTCAAACTTAATGTCTGCTAGCACATGACAAACTGTTAACACAATACATATATTTACTTGTTGTCGATTCCCAGTTGTTTGTAGAGAGATTCAATGATTTCTGTTCGGCTTTGTGACAGTCTTGGCGCAATATTGGTCTTGAATGGTTTTACGCATTCATGTGGTACAAGATGGGTTGGCTGGAAAGAAGACATGTCATGATCAATATTAACATTTTTATATGAATAATATTATAACTTAAACTTGAATGATGACTTTAAGAAACAGATGACTCAAGAAACTATGATATCAACTGCATAAAGTAGCATGTATCATGTTTTGTGAAACTGTGCTGATAAAAAATTCAGAAACATCCAATATGGGCATGGGGATGTCTACTGTTATGCATGCACCATTACAGAAAAACAATTGTTTTGCACATTGCAGTATATCGCAAGGCACTGTCATTCCATTCCTCCATGTATGAGACAGACAGAGAATGGATTGGAGAACACACAGAAAATATTCTTTAAGTACAACTGAGTCACAGGAAAATGCATCCTTTGAACATGATTTTAATCCATTCTTAAATATAAAAATTGATAAAAGGACTCCAAACTAATACTTACCTTTATTTCTGAGTACATTGCACAGTCCAGAATGTATTCCTTTGCATCATTCCTTATTCGCACTGACGTGTCACCTGACCTCTGGAGCATCACTGGGAGCGTCTTGTGCATACTCTCATTGATGTCACTCCTAGACATACTGGAGAAAATATGATAAACAATTAACATGACAGTTTATCAAGAGTGTATTAAAAAGACGCATTAATTTCTTGTTAACAGGCAAGCTTTAGTCTGGAGGCCATATTGTATATTATATATAATGTTATATGTGCAGGTACAAACTCAAAGTTTACAAGCCTGGTTTTTTAACATATCCTAGACATATCATATAGATGGCGTACCTGTGATCTTTCACAAAGTCATTCATTAGATATTCCAGAACTTTTAATGCTGCTTTGAAAATCTACAAAAAATAGACAAAACATGTTTTAAACATCAGGCTTTAGACAATGTGAGACTATGGTCTATATAAAGACTATAGTATCCATGTTGATAATAGTAGTACATATAGCTAATTTAAAAGCTATAGTAAATATAGAAGCTATATTATATGCATATTATGTGAAACCTAAGTATAGAGAGGCTAGAGTACATGAAGGCTAATAGTATATACCTGCACTAGGATAGTATAAGCAAGTCAAATGTGACAAATAGATATTTCACTGTAATATGGTTGGTACATCAAAGAATATTTCAGAGGGGCTTTTGAAAATTTACCATCCTCAACTTTGAGAGTAAAGTAGCATAATGCAATCAGAGTTGAATTATTTGTAATCTAAATGTTGTCAGGGATTTTAGTGTACCATCATGTAATAATCATATGCAATTCTTTATCAATGCATCAACATACCCCATATACGTTATCTTTGAGCCCTCGGATGACCAAATAGGTGGCAGCACGTAGGGTCTGTGTTGCGTCCCCACTGGAAGACGTCACTTGACTGAGCAATTCCTTGAAACCTTCTTCTTTAGGGACAAATGCTTTCATATATAATTTAGACACCTATAAAATGATTATGTTATTATATATTAAAGAATTTAAATGAGTGCTATTTCTATTCTATTTCTAGTCCCTATAAAAACATAGATACATGTAACTGGAATCACATTTAAAGTGCAAATTATTGAATTCAGTAATATTTAATTTTCATTTGGAGACTACACCATATTGTACCAAATATATATTTAGAACAAGCACTTACCAGATCAAGTCCAAACACATCTATTGGCAATGATGCTTCTCTCTGATCCTTTTCACTCATTGAGCTTGGGGCAGCAGTATCATCTGTCAAGTAAAAGTATACCATCTCAAAAATTTACACCTATAAGGGTATTTACATAATCTTTCATTTTTATTGTAAAAATTTATTTCCCAATTTTGCAAGTTTCTATCAATATTCACCCGGGCTTACCATGAAATAAAGGACAATCTTATATCTGTTTTTAAATCATCATTTATATCCACTCTTGAATGTTAAATCTTATTAATATCCACTGATGGATATAATTTATATTTTTCAAAACCATAGGAATTCATTTGATATCCTAATTCAATAGAAACATGAGATAAATTGCAATTTCATGTAAATCAATTTTATCTATTTATAAACTTCAAATCAACTCAATTCATAATCCACATTGAAATGATATGGACCCATGTGAACTTTACTCATGGGGATACACATTAAGATTGAGGAGTCCACGTGGATCCTGGTGGCATGGAGTCAACCTGCATGTGAGGATTGGTAGTGTACATATGTGAGGATTGGTAGTGTACATATGTGAGGATTGGTAGTGTACATGGGTCATGGGTGTATAAAGTCACATTTCATAGCTTTACAAAGTGATCATTATTAATCTTGAAGTGGAATTTGAAAATCATGATTCTTCTAGGATCTACATTACATATCATTAATTCATGACACTAATATCAGCAATTTGCATTTAGAGCCCTACACATACAACGAAATACTATAAATTGTCAAAGATACCTCAATAATTTGAAATCATTTTGTCACGACATGTTCACATCTTAATTATAGTCATATCCTTTGATAATGTGTTATTAACCATTTCTGATTTATAATATGTTATTACATTTTCTCCATGCCTGAGTAAGATGGTTGATAATTATATAAGTTAATCCACATGGATGTTTAATTTAATGTTCTCCTACAAATATAGGCGTATGCGTCTTGGAAGCTCAGATAAAGAACATGACAACTCGATGATGTTTGGACAATCACATAGGACAGTATCAAATACACTTCCTCAGATGTTAGCAACAAAAGTTACACATTAGAAGAGTTACAATACTTCTCTAAAAACTAAAACTCTAATAACAAAGTGTGATATTCGTGGAATTCTGCACATGTAAGATACAAATGGATGTAAAAATGTGCATGGTTCTATTCACATGTGTCTTGCTTGAACTGGCAACATTTTCTGTGAGTGTTCTGGACAATGAGACAAGAGAGGGCTCATGCCTTGAAGGCTCAATGAACAGCGAAGGCTCAAAGAACAGCAAAGGCTTAATGAACACTGACGTCTCGATAAATACAGAGGGCCCAAAGAATCTTGATGGCTCAATGAAGGGAGAAGCCTTAATGAACACTGAAGGCTTAATGAACAGGGAAGGCTTAATGAACACTGAAGTCTCGATAAATACAGAGGGCCCAAAGAATCTTGAGGGCTCAATGAAGGGAGAAGCCTTAATGAACACTGAAGGCTTAATGAACAGCGAAGGCTTAATGAACACTGAAGTCTCGATAAATACAGAGGGCCCAAAGAATCTTGAGGGCTCAATGAAGGGAGAAGCTTTAATGAACACTGAAGGCTTAATGAACAGCGAAGGCTTAATGAACACTGAAGTCTCGATAAATACAGAGGGCCCAAAGAATCTTGAGGGCTCAACAAAGGAAGAAGCCTTAATGAACACTGAAGGCTTAATGAACAGCGAAGGCTTAATGAACACTGAAGTCTCGATAAATACAGAGGGCCCAAAGAATCTTGAGGGCTCAATGAAGGGAGAAGCCTTAATGAATTACGCAACTTTATCATACATCCCTGAGGCTGTCAATGTCACTACACAAAGCCCATGGCTGAAGGCATGTGTGGTCGCTTTAACAATAGGTGGAAATCAAGGATGGGTGGAAAAGAAATTAAAATGTAGACTCCCACTTGACACTGTCATCACAGGCTACAACCATGAAAAATTAATGGAGATTTGTTTGAAGGATCATCACATTGAAATGTTGGACCTGTTGGCGGCTCTTTTGATAGGCCCTCATGACTATGAAAATCATTGCACATCGGGCAAACCAACATTTGTAGAAAGAACAGGTCAAAATCAAGGTAGAAAGTTGAATAATGCAAAAGCAGGAGATGATGTAAGTGAATCGACAGCAGGAAAAGCAACTGAACTGTTTGTGTGCCTCTATGCAAAGGACGGTGACTTGGAAGCGACAGTTGAATGTACATTGAAGAATGAGACATATGTGAATGACAACATTGTGGAGAAACACTGTCCAATGTTCACTCCAGGAAGCACAATGTGGGGATATATACAAGTGGAACATCTCGGACAGTGTATAAATTTACACTCAACTGAGGGAAAATCGTCAAAGATAGAATCAAATGAACAGTTTGGCACAATCGTCATTGTTATTGACTCACTGTTGTGTGGTGTTGGTGTCGTTGGTAACACTCTTACTGTAATAGTTATGGCCAAGGCAAATGCTCATCCATCAAGGGTCTATATAATATGTATGGTGGCAAGTCAAACTGTTTACTTATTATTTGTACTAGGGGGCAGATTTCATGCACATTTGGCATTTATAGGAGACTCATACTCTGAAATGTCTACACAACTGAATCCATATCTTTGTATGGTTCTTTTACTCACAGAAAATGTCAGTATATGTCTGGTGTTCTATCTCAAAATGGTTGGTAGCATAGATAGATTAGTTGCTGTGAGTAAACCAATGTACTATAGGCAGACTATTGCGACAGGTTCAACCAGGAAGAAAATTTATTTGGCTGTTTTCGGCAGTTTTATCTTTCTTGTTGTAGCCTTTCTAGTTCAAAAGATTGTATTTTACAAAACTCTAGGTTTACATTCTTGTTTTATTAGTGCAAATACGGTGGAGGTGATGCGTATATATCAGAACCTTAACATAGGCATAAGCATTATCCTTTACTTCATCCCTTTCACAGTGATCATTCTGACAAGTTCAATTACAGCCATTCATCTCTTTCAATACAGAAAAGAAAGGCAAAAGATGCTCCAAGTACCAAATGTAAACATAGAAAATAAATCAAACAGAGTCCAAGCTTTGAAAACATTTGGCCAAAGAGCCGAGGTTATTGCTACTATTGCAATGTTAGGAGTCGTTGCTAGCTTCACATTGTTGATAGTGCCCTCTGTTATCATGCATATCTATATCTACTCTGTGGAAGACATGGAAAAAATGGAATTTAAAATGGTTCTGTATATAATTGCCAACTCACTGATGATGCTGGATTTTTCATTGAGCTTCTTCATATATGTTGCGACAATGTCACAATTTAGATCTATCTTAAAGAAAATGATAAACTTAAAAAGAATTCCATGTAAAAAGCCCGACATTTTTTCCAAAGATTCTGGTATGAACTCTAAATCAAAAAATTAAATCAATTAACTGATCAACTTAATTTGGATAAACACAAATATCTGGATCTCCCTCTGTACCTCAAGAGATACAATTATTTCCCTCAGGATAACCCTGTATCCAAAACTTCTCAGTACATAAATTAATTAAATGTGAAACATATATGAGTGAGTATTTTCTGTTAGTCTGTCTGTACAAGATTTAAGGATATAATCTGGTCATAAATGTCAATACCTTCAAATTAAACCAGGAAACATGTATTTGACATATCTTAACAATGTCTCAGAAATTCTGAAGTGATACATTTTCCTCAAAAATGTTGAAATTAAGTTGCATAAAATGCAATATGTTGGCATAAAATGCAACATGTTGGCATAAAATGCAAAATATTGGCATAAAATGCAAAATATTGGCATAAAATGCAACATTACTGATCTTTATTGATCAGAACATCTCTGGAATCTGTGCACTCTGAATGTGGACACTTTTTCAGTCCCATTTTTTTCTTATTTACCATTACATAATACACTTCAATGTTCAAAACCACAAAATGTGAACACATGCCAGTTTCAACACTACTGACCAGCCCCAATCGAGTTTGGATTAGAATGGTTGTACTGTACTCACCTTGATCAGTTCTAGGAGATGGTTCATCTTCATAAGCTGGCTCTGAGGGTTTGCTTTAAGAGAAAGAAATAAGATCAACATACAGTACATGTATTTGTAATGCCATATTCACTGATAAATAGACTTATTATGCATATTTAGGTCTTCTACAATGCGACATAAGCTTTGGCTGAATTTAGTTACTTTCATTCCTGGTTGTTTGTTTATACCGCATAGTTACACATGAAAATAACATGGCACCTGGTCCATGATTCAGTTTTGACACGTAAATCTAACAGCCTTTATGAATCACAAGGTGTAAGCAAAACAATGAGTAGATTATTAATAAGAAAACTTCATAACAAAGGACTTTTGAGGTGATACACAGGCATCAAATTCTTAATAATTCTTAATAATGAATAGTGTCTTATCACAATGCAACTTAACCCTGCTGTGCAACAGATACCAAAGATGACTAAATTGGCCATAAAACAAATTGACTTTAACAAATCAAATTCTAGTTAGCTTCACTCGACTTGTGGCATACTGGACAAGTCATGCCATAATGTCCATCAAGAACAATACAGTAGAACCTCTACATCAGAACACTTGTCCCATTTGAACTTCATCGACTTCAACATTGAAAAAAACCTTGAAATGTGAACACCTGCCAATCTGAACACTTTAGACCAGTCAGTAGTCTTGCTTGAATTAGACAGGTTTTACTATATATAAATAACCAAATAGTCTCACCTGTATAACATATTTTAAGACAATAGAGAATGGGGGGAGGGGGGGGCAGGTGTATGTTTGATGCAAAATAAACATTACCCAAGAATATGTTTCAAATATTCACCTTGACTGAGCAGGTAGAGCACGATTATCATATGGAGTCCTGGCAACTTCTCTAGGGGAAACATCTTCATCAGCTCCTGGGTTCCCTCCACCTCTAAAATACAACAATTCAAAATGTAGAGTGTTGTAGAGATAAGGTTAAGTCTAGTAAAGCAACATTGAATAGTTATGTCAATAGATATGGTCTAGTAAAGCTATTGTAGTCAAGGTATGTAGTACAGCTATTGTAGTCAAGGTATGTAGTACAGCTATTGTAGCCAAGGTATGTAGTACAGCTATTGTAGTCAAGGTATGTAGTAAAGCTGTTGTAGTCAAGGTATGTAGTACAGCTATTGTAGTCAAGGTTGGTAGTACAGCTATTGTAGTCAAGGTATGTAGTACAGCTATTGTAGCCAAGGTATGTAGTACAGCTATTGTAGTCAAGGTATGTAGTACAGCTATTGTAGTCAAGGTATGTAGTACAGCTATTGTAGTCAAGGTATGTAGTACAGCTATTGTAGCCAAGGTATGTAGTACAGCTATTGTAGTCAAGGTATGTAGTACAGCTACTGTAGTCAAGGTATGTAGAACAGCTATTGTAGTCAAGGTATGTAGTACAGCTATTGTAGTCAAGGTATGTAGTACAGCTATTGTAGTCAAGGTATGTAGTACAGCTATTGTAGTCAAGGTATGTAGTACAGCTATTGTAGCCAAGGTATGTAGTACAGCTATTGTAGTCAAGGTATGTAGTACAGCTATTGTAGTCAAGGTATGTAGTACAGCTATTGTAGCCAAGGTATGTAGTACAGCTATTGTAGCCAAGGTATGTAGTACAGCTACTGTAGTCAAGGTATGTAGTACAGCTATTGTAGCCAAGGTATGTAGTACAGCTATTGTAGTCAAGGTATGTAGTACAGCTATTGTAGCCAAGGTATGTAGAACAGCTATTGTAGTCAAGGTATGTAGTACAGCTATTGTAGTCAAGGTATGTAGTACAGCTATTGTAGCAAAGGTATGTAGTACGGCTATTGTAGCCAAGGTATGTAGTACAGCTATTGTAGCCAAGGTATGTAGTAGAGCTATTGTAGCCAAGGTATGTAGTACAGCTGTTGTAGTCAAGGTATGTAGTACAGCTATTGTAGTCAAGGTATGTAGTACAGCTATTGTAGTCAAGGTATGTAGTACAGCTATTGTAGCCAAGGTATGTAGTACAGCTATTGTAGCCAAGGTATGTAGTACAGCTATTGTAGCCAAGGTATGTAGTACAGCTATTGTAGTCAAGGTATGTAGTACAGCTATTGTAGCCAAGGTATGTAGTACAGCTATTGTAGTCAAGGTATGTAGTACAGCTATTGTAGTCAAGGTATGTAGTACAGCTATTGTAGTCAAGGTATGTAGTACAGCTATTGTAGCCAAGGTATGTAGTACAGCTATTGTAGTCAAGTTATGTAGTGTCTAGTTGATTCTATAGTCTAATAAAACTAATAGCTAAGTTATGTAGTGTATGGTACATACATCTCTATAATCTAGCAAAACTATTATTATCATATGTTATTTATTTATTTATTTATTATGTTATATCAGATAAAAGATGGCAGCACTGAGTGGCTTGTCTAGTAGAGAAGATATAAATAGATGAACGACATGACCATCTTATCAACATTATACCTCTTGCTAGCTTAGAGCTTAGCTTATTGTATAGCCTAATAAAAAGGTAAAGAAATATTTCAAATTGCTCAACTGTATGTTAATGACACAGTTAATTACAGAGAAAGCTGTAAATAAATCATATTGTGACTTATTGTAATTATTGACTTGTTTTCATCAGCAGGCATGATATAGTTTTACATCCCCGCTGAGCGGACAAACAGATCATCCTACAGTCGGTTGAGGATATTGAGGTTATCCACTTGGCCAGTATGATATATAATATCTGCCCTCTGGATCTACGTCCCTTTGGGTAGATATATAGAGGATATACTATGATTTTTACGGATACCATTTTTATCCATGAGTGGATATCGCCCATCTCCACGAGTGGGCGCATAATAAATATCATATTTATCCTATGGCCGCTATTTTTGTATGGAAGTTTTTAATAATTTTAAAAATAGTTGTTGTTTTCTAAATCTTTTCTAATTTTTTTCATAATGTTTTCTGAGAACTTATTTTTACAAAATGACTGCATGAAAAACTCATTTTTACTGAGTACATCCTTGGAACTGTATATTGTTGCAGATCAAACAGAAAAGTGGTTATTTGGCGCCAAGTTCAAAACTAATGGAAAATCGTATCCGACAGATACTATTTTTAAGACATCATATAAGTCTGATATGATTTAAAAGATGTCATATGAGTTGGATACGATTTTAGTGGCGCATACCAATTACCAGATAAATTATATCAACCTAAGGGTAATCCCAATATCCTGAACCTCATATAGGATATTATCTATATAATCATATTAATAAAATATAATGACACTATATTATTTATTTAAGTTACATCCAGTGACACTTTCCTCCATCATGCGCTTTGCACAATTTAAAATAATATCATTCATACTGATGATTATCATATAAAACTCACGCTTTTAGTGCAGGTAGTGGTCTCTCATCATAGGCCAATTTTGGGGTGGGGGATGCGTATGTGTCTGCCACTGGAGGGGGTTGAGGAGTGTGGGTCAGCTCTGGGAGCTTAGGGGGAGAAGCTTGCCTAGTTGGCTCCAAATCCACATAGGGAGGGGCATGCTCCTTTGGCTGAAATATTACAAATGCACTCTGAAATATGACAACTGCACTATTATGAATGCACTCTTAATGTTAAAAATGCACTCTTAAATATTACAAATGCATTCTGGAATATGTCAACTGCAATATTGTGAATGTACTCTTAAATATTACAAATGCACTTTGAAATATTACAAATGCACTTCAAATTATTACAAATGCACTCAGAAGTATTACAAAATGTTTCTCAACAGTTGAATAATTTGATACAACATGATATCCATTTTTTGTTCTTTTGAAAACTGAACAAGGCACAGGGTGAACAATATTGTACCTAAAACATAGCAGTGTGAATTTGATGACCCAAAAAGCAAGAGAGCCGCCAAAAACGTAATCAGTTATTCTTACTTCTTACCATGTAACATGTATGAAAATTTGAAGTAAATTCGTCAAGGGGTTTTCCTGGAATCGTGATGACAATAAAGTGAGACGCTGCCTGTTGCCCGCCCATCAAGCAGACGACAATATTGTACCTTTTTTAGGTACTATAAAACGCTGCATGCACTTATTTCCAAGTGTTCATTACATTAGACAACTAGATGCTATTATTACCACATTGTCTGCTAGTAGCTGCTGAATGCCCATGTCTCTGTAAATGTTGATTCTGTACTCGTCCATTTGGAGTTTCTTTTCCTTTGCTTTGTCATAGTCTTCATTCTCTACAGCTTGTCTCTTCTCAATCTCATAGCGTCCCAACTTCTCACCAACCTACATAGAAGAGATCCATTAATATAAGGGAAGGTAGAAAGGATTCTTGAATTGCTGAGTTGGTCAAGAAACAACTTTTCTAAGAATAACTGTTCAGTATAATTGTCACATGAAGTAGCATGTGCCAGCAAATAATACATATTTTATCAAAACAACCATAAAAACAAAGCCAAAAAGCCAAAATGTCAATTTTTCATGAAAATTGGCCTTTTAATGTGAGCGTTTTGATTAAATGCCTTCTTGAAAAGATCGGTTGTATATCAATATAAAAATATGACCAAAGTTGGTTTAAAAGCATCATTCAAGTGTCATTTTTACTGAAATGAGTAGCCATTTTGACCTCTTGGGCAGAGGCTCTATGCTCATAAGGAACTAGCATATAGAATTTCAAGCAAATGTGTCAACAGTAATTTGAGTTACTGCCTGGGCAGACTAATAAAGAACATATGGATGACTTCTCTAATCCCTACAAACACTGTACTCTAGTCACATGAACACACAAATCACCATGAATATTATATATATCTCAGTTGTAAAAAATATGATGAACACTGTAATTCCACTAGAACCAACAAAATAATAGAATAAATATAATAAAAACATACCTTCTGAAGTTCTGTTATAGCACCTTTTAACCTCTTAGCATAGTCAAATCTTTCTTCTGAAAACGAAATTGTATGGTGAAATGAAATTGATACTGTTTAGTATAGACATATAGTAACACATGCCATGAACATACATGACTCTTAATATTAGTTAGTACATTATGCTTTCCTAAAGTAGGCTGAGATCAGTGTTTGCAACTTCTTCAATATAGTGAAATTAAATATATTTATTTATTAAGAGGTACCAAACATCATCAGATCATCAAGTCAAAATATATATATGTAACCATATCCAGAGATAATCCTCGAAAATGAGAAATATTTTTTGGGATTATAAGGTGCAATCATATAGTCAATTAAATGTTTTAAAATGTATTGATGTTTTTAGATGAAAAACACAAGCGAAATGCATGAAAAAACTACCCCGATTCATTCTACAAACAACTCGCAGTCCTTTATTGTTGGTGAAGTGAAAATGTACGGTAAACACTTACGTAATACGGCCTCTTGTTTTTTCTTTTCCAGCTTCCTTATAATGACAGCAATTTCCTTGTCTTGGTACATGTCAAAGGCCAGGTCATCCAGTGGAGAGATGTAGTCAGGTCTAAAAATATGAAATCCTGGGAATCATATACAGTATATAGCAATTTCATCCAGTTGAGAGATGTAGTCAGGTAGTCAGGTCTCAAAATGCATAATTAAAGGAATCCATAGAGTTTATAAATGTAAACTTTACATGTAATACAATAACTGCAGCATCTGTGGCCAAATTGTACTTTTGATATTCCGAAATGTTAGTTAATAGTTGTGTTTAACTATGTCTGCGATGGCACATATTGAGTACAAACTGATAAGTTCACATTGCTATCATAACATTATGCGTATAATCAACTATAATTGCCCTAAATGCCATTTGAAAGAATTGACAATGATAATTAATGAGGACTTTTATAGATGGCATACCACTCATATGTTTTGATTCATTTCTTCCACCATTTCATTCTATGTATATACTGCAATAATAAAGCCCAAAACACAACATTATTCAAACAACATGTAAAGTCATTTTACTCTTCTTAGTTCTGCCCTTCTCTTAGAACACTTCCATTTGATAGTTATAATCATATGTTAGGGGTCGGGTCAATATTTCAATGTCTGTCAAAAAAACATAATTACCCCCCACCCACCTGGTATAAACGAGAGAAAATATTGATTTGCATGCAGTGTACAAGTATAATCCGTAAGCATACAATATCTGCTACTGCTATAAACAACACATTTCAAATTCTCTAGATACATCTGTTGAGTATACATCTGTTGAGTATATTCAATGGGGGCTCCCAAGGGGTATGTGACAAGGTGACTTGGCCTTTAAAATGTGACTAAATGTGAGTTTTGGGTATTTAAAAAAGGACAAATGTGACAACTAAATCCTTACAAATGACAATTTTGTACACTGATCTGACTGATAAGGGTTTTGAATGTGACAAAAATACATAATTCATTCTAAATGTAATTGGATGCAAGTTAAAGTTGTACTAAAACCAATTTAAGAATCTCTTATTATCTTGTTTTTAGCACAAATAGCATCCTTTTTGTTATTTTGACTACAAAACTTAGTGATATTTCCCCACATAACACGATTTATTAAGATAAGACTGTCAACCTCTGAAATGTTGTTATTTTTGCGCACTTTTTGAAGTTGACCTAACCATGATGTACCGTGTGCCAAGTTATTCTGGCGCTAAATCGAAAAGTTGTTGTTGCAAACTACTATGAAGGCTACTACTACTAGCCAAAGTAGAAATATACATTAGTTCCTCATTCGCACGCATTCCAACAGCCTCATAAATATTTTTAATTGATTGAACTTCACAAAAGGAAATTCTTGAAGGGAAGAACACTGCAATATTATTCATAACATATACAAGGAATTCATTGAAATGCATTTGTGAAACAGTATATCGATTGTAATAAAAGACTCCATCTATTTTGCTTTTGCTATCTTTGCTCTTGTTACTGTACTATGTCACACCTTTTTTCTAACAAGACACAGACGTGAACAATATCGTACCTAAACACAGCATTGTGGTCTTGTTGACCAAGAAAGCAAGATGGCCGCAGAAAAGTTAATCAGCTCTAGAACTTATCACTGTGTAACATATGTAAAAAATTTGAACGGTTTGGCTGGAAACCTGTAGACAAGTCTTGAAAGTCAAGATTTTAGGACGGAAAATCCAAAATGGCCACCTTAAGATTTACCCAGAATGCCCAAAAACTAATCAGTTCTTGACGTTGATATGTAGAAACATCCCTGAAAATTTCAGATGAATCTCTCAAATGGTTTGGCTGGAAACCTGTAGACAAGTCTTGAAAGTGAAGATTTTAGGACGGAAAATCCAAAATGGCCACCTTAAGATTTACCCAGAATGCCCAAAAACTAATCAGTTCTTGACGTTGATATGTAGAAACATCCCTGAAAATTTCAGATGAATCCCTCAAATGGTTTGGCTGGAAACCTGTAGACAAGTCTTGAAAGTGAAAATTTTAGGACGGAAAATCCAAAATGGCCACATTAAGATTTACCCAGAATGCCCAAAAACTAATCAGTTGATGTTGATATGTAGAAACATCCCTGAAAATTTCAGATGAATCCCTCAAATGGTTTGGCTGGAAACCTGTAGACAAGTCTTGAAAGTGAAGATTTTAGGACGGAAAATCCAAAATTGCCACCATAAGATTTACCCAGAATGCCCAAAAACTAATCAGTTCTTGACGTTGATATGTAGAAACATCCCTGAAAATTTCAGATGAATCCCTCAAATGGTTTGGCTGGAAACCTGTAGACAAGTCTTGAAAGTGAAGATTTTAGGACGGAAAATCCAAAATGGCCACCTTAAGATTTACCCAGAATGCCCAAAAACTAATCAGTTCTTGACGTTGATATGTAGAAACATCCCTGAAAATTTCAGATGAATCCCTCAAATGGTTTGGCTGGAAACCTGTAGACAAGTCTTGAAAGTGAAGATTTTAGGACAGAAAATCCAAAATGGCAACCTTAAGATTTACCCAGAATGCCCAAAAACTAATCAGTTCTTGACGTTGATATGTAGAAACATCCCTGAAAATTTCAGATGAATCCCTCAAATGGTTTGGCTGGAAACCTGTAGACAAGTCTTGAAAGTGAAGATTTTAGGACGGAAAATCCAAAATGGCCACCTTAAGATTTACCCAGAATGCCCAAAAACTAATCAGTTCTTGACGTTGATATGTAGAAACATCTCTGAAAATTATAGATGAATCCCTGAAATGGTTTGGCTGGAAACCTGTAGACAAGTCTTGAAAGTGAAGATTTTAGGACGGAAAATCCAAAATGGCCACCTTAAGATTTACCCAGAATGCTCAAAAACTAATCAGTTCTTGACGTTGATATGTAGAAACATCCCTGAAAATTTCAGATGAATCCCTCAAATGGTTTGGCTGGAAACCTGTAGACAAGTCTTGAAAGTGAAAATTTTAGGACGGAAAATCCAAAATGGCCACCTTAAGATTTACCCAGAATGCCCAAAAATTAATCAGTTAATGTTGATATGTAGAAACATCCCTGAAAATTTCAGATGAATTCCTGAAATGGTTTGGCTGGAAACCTGTAGACAAGTCTTGAAAGTGAAGATTTTAGGACGGAAAATCCAAAATTGCCACCATAAGATTTACCCAGAATGCCCAAAAACTAATCAGTTCTTGACGTTGATATGTAGAAACATCCCTGAAAATTTCAGATGAATCCCTCAAATGGTTTGGCTGGAAACCTGTAGACAAGTCTTGAAAGTGAAGATTTTAGGACGGAAAATCCAAAATGGCCACCTTAAGATTTACCCAGAATGCCCAAAAACTAATCAGTTCTTGACGTTGATATGTAGAAACATCCCTGAAAATTTCAGATGAATCCCCCAAATGGTTTGGCTGGAAACCTGTAGACAAGTCTTGAAAGTGAAGATTTTAGGACGGAAAATCCAAAATGGCCACCTTAAGATTTACCCAGAATGCCCAAAAACTAATCAGTTCTTAACGTTGACATGTAGAAACATCCCTGAAAATTTCAGATGAATCCCTCAAATGGTTTGGCTGGAAACCTGTAGACAAGTCTTGAAAGTGAAGATTTTTAGGACGGAAAATCCAAAATGGCCACCTTAAGATTTACCCAGAATGCCCAAAAACTAATCAGTTCTTGACGTTGATATGTAGAAACATCCCTGAAAATTTCAGATGAATCCCTCAAATGGTTTGGCTGGAAACCTGTAGACAAGTCTTGAAAGTGAAGATTTTAGGTACGATAAAAAGGTAACAGTTCTGAGCCTGAGGTTTCCAGTCTGCCAATACAAAAAGAATTAGTTGCTCCAGTCTTCACTTGGGTTATTAAGAATGGTTTAACTCTATGCATTTTTGATGGTTGCCATGGCCACAACAAAACAACCCCCAAAACAACTGCTACAACATTGTCTATCAGTCTCAGAATTCCTTTTTGTTGTTGTGACACTGTACCAACATATGAAATATCTCTTATTATGAAATATTACTAATTGTTCACCCAAACATATTTTGACATAAACGGATATAAATAATTTATTGCACCCATTATATCTGCTTAATACTGTAAAAGCATTCCCAATTTGACTCTTTGAATGATTTATGATATACATGTATGTTCCTACAACCTCTCATTTATTTCACTGACATCTGACATCCCTGAACAAACATGCTATACTGAGAAGAAGATGCTGCAATTTGTAAGTACCTTATATTTTTCATGAGGTTATTTAATGGGAGGGACGGAATATGAATTTTATTCCAAAGAAAAAAAATATGATATTTGCTAAGGAAACATCTTATTGACAGAGGGCGATAGCATAGCCAAAGTGTTGATATGATATTTTCCCAGTACTCAAGGGGCGAAGAGGAAAATTCTCAATAAATGGTGTATAGTTGGTTTGGCAGCATTTTCAGTTAGGGGAGAGTCTTGGATGAAACTTCCACCTAGGTGATAGCTTCACAGAGTGGTAGGAAGTTCTTTTTTTTGAGGAATTAGCCCCCCACCCCCCAAAAACACCCCACCCTGGGAAAAAATTGTTCACACTAAATAACCTTAGATATTTTGATGTTTGTAAGTGACATACATAGATATTATATATATGAATCACTTGCAGTATAATTGATGCTGATAACTCCTAAAGAATTTGAAAATTAGTACAAAGTATGTACCCCAGGGGGCAAATTCGTGACTCATTTTCTTACTATTTTGATTCTAACTTTTCAATTAGACACTGTAAGAGGCTGGAAAAATTCATGTGAAGTGCCCAATAGCAGGGTTAGTAACCCTGAAAGATGCAAAGCCATGGAAGAGGTAGGAGCTGAGAAAAAAATTGTTGATTTTTTGAAAAATTTGACATTTCTGACAGCTGGATTTTGTGTATGACTATAGCTGACCCTTATAATTTCTAGATTCATCCCTCTATGATGATATTTATGGTTTTATAGTGTGAAACTAAGATGTAAAACATAATTTAGATGGGTTTTAAGGAAGTTAAAGGTTTTAAACAAGTCCAA